TATCGAAATAAACCACCCCTCTTTTCTCGTTCTCTTGCAAAATCGCAGCCAGCATCACGCATTTTTATCGCAGCCAAACAAACTCGCTCGCTTTCTCTCTGCGTCTGATAAATTGGCAGGTGGGCTCAAAGGAACGCGTGCGGTGGCGCCCACCCCCCGACCCCCTTCCTTCCTGCCTCCGAGTCTTCCTCATCTGTATGTGTAGGTTCGGCATGTTTCAGCATCCCCAGTAACAAGCGAGCGAACGACGTCACACAAAGCACCGTCCATCTCTCTTTCTCTAACCATGGGCTCTCTCTCTCTCTCTCTCTCTCTCTCTCTCTCTTGTGAACCCCTCCAACCCCTTGCAATGCTGAATCGATTTACCCCACAAGCACAGTGTTATCACTGCGAGACCAATCGGCGGCGCTGTCGTTCAGCGGCTCTCCAAACTTACTATTTTGCTTCAATGTATTTTGTAAAATCAAAAATTATTTCTCATATAAAATATTTTAAATTGCTTAATTCAATGATGTTATTTATTTTACCTTTATTATAATTAATTCCATACTTTTTATAGATTTTTGTATATTTAATTGTTTTACAAAAGGTTTTTGAATTTTTTTTTTTTATCAAAATTTAAAGACAAATTAATATTTATGTAAATACAATCAACAACCATTAAATTTGCTGTAAAAGTAATTTATTTTCTTTGTAATTATGAGAGTTTGAGTGTAAGATATTTTAATTATGATATCTTGAGAAATATAAGAATCTATTGAACATTCTCTGAAAATATTGATATAAAATGATACTTTGATAGATTTATTTATGCTCTAATAATTTTCCTCCCTTATTTATATCCCCAATTCTAATTCATTTCACTCTCCCCTGAGACAGATGATGATAGTAATTGCCCTCGCTCGCGCCCCGCCTGCTGCGGAAAGTTAAATGAGATTTGCATAAATTCGCCTGAAAAGTTTTGTCGCGCCGCTTTTGAACAATTTGTATTTTATATTAAGTTGTCAGCTGCAGGCGTGTTCTGCGAATTAAGTTCAATGTTATTAGATTTGCAGGCGGACTCGCGTGCGCACGACTGCATTCGCACCAACATCAAACGTGCGAATCTCTATGTCTGTGCGTGCTCATCAGCAAATGCACGTAGCTTTTTTATTCAAAGTGTGTGTATTTGCAGACACAGTGCTGTGTTTGTGACGTCCCATTTCTCACCACCTTCTTCACACCTTTGAAGAATTCCAAGAAAGATTCATGACGTGATTTCTATATGCGTAAGAATATTTTTTGCCTCTTACATTTTTAATTATTGTTAGATTCAAAGTGTTTTTCATTTTCTATGAGTAATTTTTTCCTTTTTTTTGTGCTGAATTTAGTTACCATTAATAATTGACTAACTTATAAACAGAACTGTCTAAACATAATTTAATTCACATTCTAGACAAAAATAAAAATTATATATCTAGGTGAGTGTACAACCACATAAAAAAAAAACTAAAAAAAACTAAAGTTTAAAATAAACTATACTTTCTCGTAAAAATAATCAAGTTTAAATCGGAATCAATATAAAATTTAATAAATAAATTTCATTAATAAGTAAAAAACAAAATATAAATTGTTTTGGAATATTATCAAAAAGTTATAAATTAATCAAAATTGTTTTTAAATATTATTTAAAAATAATATAATTCTAGTTTTAAGTCCACTATCTGTACATTACATTTTACGTAACTTGGTCAATTAATTATAAATGAATTAAAAAATATATTGTACTAAAATGACATACTTTATTGAGATAAATTTTCTTTTATTTCTTAACTGCTTCTTAATAATCCTCATTTGAGCGAGTGTGAATTTCCAAAATCTTTTATATAAACATGAATCATGAATCTCAGGTTCAATGCAGTGTCATCTAAAACTATGAATTATCATTAGTGTGAAAATCATTTAATAAAAATTTCTATTGAGCATCCATTCATGTTTTAATAAATTTGAAATGTTATACCCTTTAAATATCATTTTTTTTTTAGTCCCATAAACGGAATCGAGCGTCTGAATACAAAAATAAAATATATTTAGTGTCATGTTATGCACAGCCTTTTACTATTTAAAGCCTAGCTGTGCGTCACGCATGATCAATACATTTTCTATTATCTAGCGCGTATCAACTCATCGTTATGCAAGTTTTGCCGGAAAGTTGGTGGGTGATAAATTGCACTTGAGGAGGACTCAGTGCCTTGAGCCCCGAGTTGCCGGCGGGCGCTTTCATGCGAACGCACACAGAAATGATCATGCCTGCGAGAGAGAGGTGCCGCGGAAAATGGATATTTTCGCAAGATGCGCAGATTAAAATGAATAGTGAGAGGAAGGAAGGATAAGACAGTCGCGCTCAGAAACACCGCCGCTCTCTGCTCGCACGCGCGCTCTCCGCGCTCTCGGCGGCCGCTTTTGAAAAAGATGCCATTTCCTGGACGAGGGGAAATCTTATTTTCACCCCGTACCATTTTTCTCCTTCCATAGTAATTCAAAATAATAAGACTTTTGTTTCTTGAGAGTGAAAAATGGGAACTAAAAGTTAAAGAGAAATGAGCGCGTTTCTATTTTACCAAGGATTCTCTTGAATATATCAAATTTTTTTGGTATGTTATATTTCCGATGATGTATTAAAATGATATCTCTACTTCTATTTTCATATCCATGTTTAAAAAAAAAAACATCGATAATTTTCAGGATGGACAAAAAGAGGAAATTGAGACAAAATAAATATACGGAGAATGTTCAGTTTAAAAATAAATAATAAAATTATTTAAAAAAATTCTTCATTACAAATTAACTAAGGAAAATAGTGGTATTATTTTGACATTTTTAACATTAAACCCATACAATAATACAGGGAAGGCAAATCAGACCATGGAGTGTTGGATTTTAGAATCAAACTGCTCTCTTAAATAGAAATGAATAAAAAAAAAAATACATTTATTTAAATATTTAATTTGAATGCATGATTTCTTAAATACACACAGTAAAATGCCAGTTTTGTAATCGATTTCTGATCTTCTCCCTACTTCAAGTAAAGAGTAAACAGCAAACAACACTCTCTTTCTGAGTTTGATTAATTCCTTCGGTTTCATTTTATGCAACTGGCTTTTGATGTTTGTTTGTGATCCCTTTGCAAACTCGTTTGATTTGCCTCAAACACCGAACTTGGGCAAATCTTTTATGCAAATTCCCCGAAAAAGGTCTCGCTCGCTCTTGAACCGCACGCTCTCTCAGCTCTCGTTAATAATATGCCATGATCGCGGCTGAAATTTCGGTCTGGGCGACGCAGCAAAAGCGTTTTTGTGGCTTACGCTCCGAGTAAACTTGTGAATATTTATACCGCGGGCATTAAAATTTAAGCGCGCCGCATAAATAGCGTTGTTTTTGTTGATTTTAAGTCTTCGCCGCACAAGCACACGCACAAGGTAGGAAAGATGGAGAGAAAGCGATGGTGACGCAAACGGCCCTCGACCGACCCGCTGCTTTACGAGCAAGGAAAAAACGTGGTGGACACTACCGGCCTCAAGTGTCCCCATAAACTCGGAAATTGCCTGTTAACGATCTCAATAACCGCGCGTCCTTCCGCATTTATTTCCAGAGCTCCAATTTTAATCATCATTTCACCCAATTTTGCTTTTTACAGCATAAAACATACCTCTTCAAGGTGGTAGTTTCCTTGCAGTGGAAAATGAATATTCCATAAAAAATAATTATAAATTAATGTGCACTTTTGTGGATTTCATATTCTTATTCCCAATTACGTAAACAAGATACTTGGTAATTTATTTACACTCAAGCTCCATTAAAGGTATCAAGGATCATCATTCACTGCACAACATGTTGGTAATAAAATAATTTATGTTTCTCAAAATGAAATTTATAAATTAAGAAATTACAAGAAAATTATAAATTAAATTTTATTTGAATTAAATGTTGAATTTTAATTTATAGATCAAAATATTTAATTTCAAATAATGAAAACATTTAAATAAAAACATGATAATTAAATTATTAAATACTAAGAAATGGGAGTCTAAAATTTTAAATCTTTCGTTTTTTTTTTAAATATTTTTTTAATTTTTTTTTAACAGAATTTAGCCATTACTTTCTAAGTTTTTGAAATAATTTATTCTCATTCTATAGTTGGCAATAAATTTCTATAATATAAGGAAATATAAGGCAAGAGACCGACCCAATAGCCTAATAAGCTCACGGGTGCCATAAGCAAAAAAAAAATTTATAAGGAAATAGTAGAAGTTTGTTGTGATTTTGGATAAAAACTAGAGTTCTGGAGCAGTTCTAATGGAAATAATTTAATTTCCTACCGTTTTCTTCCAAATTCATGTTACAAAATTATGAAAAATATTATTCAACTGTGGTAATGGGCTATGGTAATTTGTATGAGGTAAAAAATGATATGAGGGAGCGCCTATATGAATTTTTCCCACAGAATGGTCCACTTTATCATGCTGATGATGTATAAAACGACGTGATTATCATTAGCTTTACACTTGCTCCACCTTAACTTATTCCGCATAATTCAACCGTAAATATTTGTGCGGCGCTCTTAGACCGCTCGCTGCTGAAATATGTAGAAAAAATAAGCATGCAGCTGTGGCCGGGAGGGCCGCCAAAAGGGGCAGCGCCGCTTTAATATGTAGAGAATTTGTAAATAAAATTCGTAATATAATATTGTGCACAAGAGAGCACTCGAGTGGAAAAGATGCAGCGTAAGGCAAAAGAGTATGAAATATGTGTGGAAATGCGTGGAATGGTTTTCATGTGTACGAATGGGGAGGCGCTGCTACCCAGCACCTCTTTACAACAATTTCCATCAAAGTGTATACATATTATACGGGGGCGCCTAAACTAAAGTGGGGAAAGCTCAGCACAAATTTGATATACATATGCGGGTGTTGTCAGGAGGGGTGGCATACACGACAAATAAAAAAAAACGGCTGGCATACCTGATCCGGAGAAAAGTGGAAGAAGGGAAAATAACACCAATAGCACCAGGAATGGGCGCCAGATGACATCACCAGGCAGCGCTACTCGGATTATTGACAACGAGAGCCGCTTCTGCAGATCCTCTGACGCCATGGCAAAGTATTCTGCAACACAACAATACATTTTTTGTTTATTAACAATTTTGAATATCTTCATAAAGAAACAATAAATCTTTATTTAAAAAATTTAATGATATTTTTCATAAAACTATTTTAATTTTGCATGCAGTATTTCTTATTTTTTGTATAATTTGTGATATCTTATTATTTCATTCATGCTTTTTGCAATATATAATGTTGATGCTGCTATTTGAAGTTGATATTAAAAAACGATATTTATGGCAAGATTTTTTTCTTATAATAGATTTGTTCTATAATTGTATGATGTAATGAAATAAATAACTATTCTTTCTCAATTACGATTATCAAGCCACAAATGGATTAATAATATATAAATCTCATGGCAAAACATTGATCAAATTTATTTTAATTTCTTGTACTGATGGATTTTTTTTACAATGAAAGAAATTAAGTAATTTATTTTGCCTAGAGTGTTTAAATTTAGGCAACCATTTTTATAAAACATTTGTGTTCAACTTTTTCTACCTTGGACTATCCCTTATCCCATAGCTGCTGAAGCATTTTTGAACCAATTAGCCATTTAAACAGTGTTCAATAGAAACTATGCATTTTTAATTATATAAGAGTTCTCAAATATGCAAAATATCTGCAGTGATTACTTTTTTCAAGCATTATTATTCATTTTTTTTTTCTTTTTTGCAATGAAACAGAAAAAATTTAAAAAACGGTCAAGAAGCTTTGTTTTGGGTTTTAAACAAATGCATATTTTTCTTCTATTATATTTCAATACAAAATTCTGAATTCAAAGATATATTTGAGAATTGATCAACAAAAACTAGATGGGACAGGTAATTTCCTCTTTTTTCGACATTTTAAATAAAAGTGTCAAAAGACAAGTATTATCATAATGGGTATAGAAAGGGAGCAAATCAATTCATCTCGTTTGCATCTATTCCTAAGAACTGTGATTTGCATATTATCACATTAAATTTTGTACGATACTCTCTTGTAAAGCACAACTTTTTTATAAGAATGCTGACATTTCCTCTTCAATCTCTCTCAAATATTTTTGTAGCGCTTTCTATTTTAATTTAATTAAAATCTCAAAGTCGCGACAAGTCGTTGTGATGATAACAACTCTCATTTCGTGAGCATCAAGACGAGATTAATGTTTTAATTTGACGAAAAAAAATGCACTCCGGGGCGTTCTGTCACGGGGACGCGCGCGACCATTAATCAAATTTGCGCCGCGTGAAAGGAAGCTTTGTTTAATGAAAATTTTAAACGGCTGGAAGCTTCTGCTGCTGGTGTGCTCTTAACGCGCGCGCACAGTTAAGATTAATACGCGTGTAAATAAAAATATATGTACTTCTGGCACGCGCCCTTCTTCCGCCGCAGAGTGGATGGCGGAAGAGTGTAACGAAAAATTGAAGCGAAGAAATGGAGTCACTTTCACTCCTCTCGCTTCGCACCTGCGTCTGACTTTTAAATTTTCCAAACTAACTTTTACATATATGCGTGAAATCTTCTCTGCAAAATGAACAGTTTGCAGCGGCAACTCGTTTAAGTCACCAGCGTATGTTTATTATTGTCATTATTATGTGTGTTAAAAGCAAGGGTTGATAGAAATTTCCGTTTAATATTGATTTTTGATATGCATAAGTTTCTGTACGTTCAGTGAATCGATAATGTATTTACAAATGTTTCAGCAAGTGGAAAAAAATTCAATTTGAATGAAATAATTTAATTATTATGCAATGAAATTATTATTAGACCCACTATTAACTTACACCACCAGATGCTTTAGCTATGGGTACTCAGAGCTCACAATGCAGTATTTTAATCACAATTAATATCAGTATGGCATTCTAAATGACCTAGTGTCCTAGTGACCAAATTAATGAATTTTTGCCAATTTAATTTTTTATATTGTCAGCTCTCTCTCCCTATGCAATAAATATTATTAATTCTCAATGAGTTTTTACCGAATTTCAGTGCTTTTTTTCAAATTGCAAAATTTAATTGTAGATTGATTTAATTCAAGACCATTATGAAAAATTTGATTTAGATATGGTGATTAATTTCTTATTCTCAACATTCTCTTATAAATATTGTTTGAATATTTTTATTTTTATTATAAGTAAAAAATGCATGAATGCCGAGATCATTAAATAAAAATTTTGAAACATCTACAAAAGAAGAATAAATAGGTTACACAAAACTGGAAAACAAATAATAATAAAAAAAAGTGTTAAATAAACAGTAACTTAATTAGAATTAAATGATATGTTTTTTAAAACTTTTAAAAATCAACTTATTATATTAAATTTGTAATCAACATGTTATTATATTTTAAGCTACAATTTGTTTTATATTGCATAATGGTCAAATTACATTCATATTCGTCAATGATCTGGAATTTGTATTTTACTTTATTAAAATAAATGTATATGTATAATAACACGTTTCCTACTAAATTAACCTTCTTCCAATTTCATTGCCAAATAGTAGTGCTTTTCAGTTACGGTGACGAAAACTCAAAAAAAAAAATTAGAATTAAAAAAATATTAATAATTTGATACTAATTAATACTCGTCTTTTTTTTAGCAGAAGTAGGAGTGTCCCCAGAGTGACAATTGCCTATCTCATTAAAGATGAAAATCAATTTTTGGTGTGTAAACGGAGCGCTTCATCCGTCTTGTAAGAGCTTGCCTCGAAACCACCAAATAAACAATCGAGCCGCCGAATTCGGTGTTGGCACACGTTCTCGTGCATGTACCGCGCCGGTTCAGGGGCAATTGCCGTCTTTCAATTTATAATGAGTGCAGCGGCAAGAAGTTTCGCCTCAAGAGCCACCGACGGCGGCAGCACCTCAACTTTGGCGGCGGTGCATTTTAAAGTCACTTGAGCGCGCGGCTCGTAACCACATGCAATTCGCGCTGTTGAGGCATTTCGCGGCAGGGCGTGGCAGCTCTGAAAAGTCGTGTCAGTATCTCTCCCAGCGCGCTCATGCACAGTTCATAACATCCTCTTAAGGCTCGCAGACTGGTTGCTTCGAGCGCCCCATAATAACACACGGGCCAACTTCTTCTTTTCAAAGAGCAGCGCGTACACTTTTTTGGTGTTAAAGAGAGAAGCCAAAGTTGTACCCCGTGCGAGAGAGAAAGAAAAGAAGGGCGTGGATTAAAATTAGAGCTCGCTCTCTCTCTCTCTGGTGGGCGCAAATGGGGATGTATTCCCAGCCTACCTCCTCGCTACTTCCTCGCCATAAAAGAGCTCCTCAATAATTTATCGGTGCCAAGACCGTTTGGCAAGCGCTGCCAAAGTACAAAAATATTGATTCTCAGTTTGTAGTTCAGTAGTATCACCGGCGTGTCTCTCGATTTTTTTTTATTCTTCCGGGTGCATACGGAGATAAAAGATGGAAGTGAATTCGCGGCTTGTTGGCGGGCTAAGTGAGCGGAAAAAATATAATTAGTGAGTCGTCCACTCCGCAGAGAGAGATAATAAAATAATAAGCCACATGCCATTAGCAGGGCCATTAGTTATCTTTTTGTCTCAACGGCAATCCACGGTCATTATCGTCGCCACTTGGCTGGCCAAAAAAGGAGCTCGCGATAAACGCGAGAGCAAAGGGCCCTATATTCCGTTGGAGTGTCGGCGAACCCATCCGACGGCCTGAATTTCCCGGCGCAAAACGCTCTCGCCATTCTCGGTTAGGCAACCCGTCGGTCAAACGTGATGAACTGATTGCCTACTTACGAAAGCTGCAGGCGCTCCCGTTGCGAGCAGCAGTGCCACGGCGGGAAGGGAGGGGCTAGAAAAATGCTCGTCCTAGAAGAAGAGACGAGGCGCAAGCGGTCGCTGTTTTCTATAAAAATAATAAAAAGTTGGATGCCCTCAATACAACAGTGGAACAAAATCAGGTTAATTAGGTAAATTAATTAGGTAACTACTAAACACAAAAGTCTTAAATTTAATTTAAGATTTATTTGCCGCAATATTCTTAGTTTTTTAGGGAGTATAATAATTAATTTGTAAAGAAAAAATATTATTATTATATATTATTATAAATATTTCAAATATTTCCAGTAGAAAGTGATTTAAAAACGCTTTTGAATATTTAGCGGAGCATCTGCAAGTGGAGATTAAGTCGCAGCCCATCAAAGGAAGCCTTTGAACGAAGCCAAATCGCGTGAATGAGTCGGTGGCAGACGAATTATTTCAATCGAGCGGAAAAAATGAATGGGCGATTTCTGAGGCATCAGCGATAGAGTGAGAGAGAGTGGGCCATGTGCGAAACAACAACAACAAATACAAGGCCAACGGGACGGTGAGGTTATCAATGCATGGGCCGTCAGAGTCCGCGGGATGATGTCGAAGGTCGCCAAAGACCCTGAATAACAAACCTTGAACTGGCGCAATTTTCGCGACAAACGTAGCGGGACATACATATTTAATGTGCGCCACGATCGACGGGCCGCGCCCGCCGCCGCTAGCGAGGCCCCCCTCGGACGGCCCAAGAGCCCCCGGACGCGAGGGCGCAACTCACCTAAAAACAGGAGGATTTCCAGACGCAAAAACAGGGTGTTTTTCCGAGGTGGCGGCGGCCATTTTCCCCTAGCCGGGAGGCTGGTGCTGCTCGGAAGGTGTTGGCTGCTCCTCTTGCAGATAGCAGCGGCGGCAACCTGGTCTGCACAGTCTGCACACGTGGGCATGGGCCACCGGAAACGAGGTCGCCGACCCAGATCACAGCACCACACGGGCGGTTCACTCGGAAGAAACCCTGAGGCGGTGGTGGCCCCTCGGTGGAAAGCCTCATACGTTCGCAGCATCCATCCTACTTCTTACGTGCTTCTCTAGCCTGTCAAGACACGGTGGAGGGCGTCGAGCAGAGCATTATCGCGGCTGGCCACCGGCAGGCTCACAGCATCGCTCTTGTTGCTGGCCCGTCTCGTCCTTAAGCAGCGCGCCCAGACATTAATTGCAACACGTCTCGCTGATATTCTGGCCAAAGCACAATTCGGTCTCGGGCCCAGCCGCCCCTGCTCCAGTGGCTGCTACCAAGCCAATCCGCTAGGTACCGCCGTCGACGCAGGGAGAGTTCATCTCGGCCGAGCGGGGGAAGTTGCCCCTTCCCGCGCCTCAATTATGCAGCCCGCGCCGCATCTCTCTCTCTCGCTCGCATTATATTTCTCCGATTGACTTGCGGGCCCATAGCATTCCTCTGCGCCTTGACTCGGCCCGGGGTCCGCCAAGGCCCCAATAATATGTCTCCTTGGCAATATTAATATTAGATATACTATCGCGAATGACCACACGACGTGCACCCCCTGGCCAAAATCAATACTGCAGTGTCGCGCACGTGTCCGTCTGGGAAAACCGCGCGCGGGACTGTATCTAGCGGGTGTGCTCTGCTCTGGTTCACGAGGTCGAAAATGAAAAGGGCCTGAGGGGATGCACGTCCGGCCAACAGCTGGTCACTGTTGGTCAGTGGGAAAGTGCATGGCAAGATTTCTTGCGCCGGCAACACGCAATCAATATTGGGTGGGGCAGTAGGAGGGCATATTGATCTCGGCCAAGCAAATTGAGTGAGACAACATCAGGGAGGTACATGCTGCAGCGCGCGAGGGGCCAAAGATATACGCAACCAGAGAAAGCGAGTTTGCCCAATCCAACTACACTTGGCGATCTCTCTGGCTTTGATGTGTCGCGCTCAATGTATTGGCCGCAAATTCTCGAAAGGTTTCGCGTTTCGCCTATTAAAATGTCTGAGGTTTCTGTTCTCTCTCAGCGAGAACCGCAACAACCCTCAAATTTGGCGCAGCAGCTCGCTTGACGTACTATTTTGGTGTTTGGTTCACGTAAGGAACATCAGGAAAGCAACTTTTAGTTTGGTGGAAACTATCAAGATAAAAAAGTAATCTAAAAGGAGAGAGTGGTAAAGAATTTTGAGAAGTGTGTCGGTAAAAATATTAAGGATGCAGCTTGGAAAAAGTTATTTTAATAAAACAGAACGTTAAAATAAAACATAAATATTTGCTATAAAAATTTACTTTTAAATTAACTTTTTTCTTTCTACTTTCAAAGACTTAAGTAATTCTGCATAACATATTTTTCATGTTAATAAGTGAATTTATTTTTAAAATGTTTACACCAATATATTTACATTTATATAATATAAAAAATTATAAAAGTAGCTTCTTTCTTAATGTTTTATTACTTCATACATATTTTATTTTTTATTAATTTATTTTGTCGAATGACAAAATGTTTTAATTTTATGCGTCATAATAAAGAATCAAAGGAATACAAATTTTTAACTCTCATTTTAAATTAAAAAAAAAAAGCTTTTTAGTTTTATTTTACGCGAAAGAAATTTCACTTTAAAACTTAATATAAATTATTTTAGCATGATGTATTGAAATAAATTTCTAACTATATGATTATTCTAAATGTTGTGATATGATTTTAGGTTTTTTTTTTATTGAGAATTGATATCATGGTATGTAATTCATAATCATAACATTATTTTTTTCAAAGTGGAAAATTCCGCCGATTATATTTAACTAAAAAGACTTTTTATCGATCAATTTAATTTCACAGTATTAAAAAAGAGAAAATCAACACTCATATAATATTTGATTTTGTATTTAAAGATTGGTGGTTAAGTTCAAAAGAAAAACAACATTCAGTATATCTCTTACAACTTTATTGAGACATGTAAGGGGATTACATAAAGCCGTATAATGCAACTGAACAGCCAGTGCCTTTTTATATTATTTTTCAATTATTCTGCTATATACTGACCCAAATTGAACATGAACCAAGTATATAATCCGAAAGTGTCATCATCGTTCCATTCAAGTTGAATATAGCGACAATCATAATTTTTAAACTTTTATTCCCAAACGTGAGTTAAATACTTTTTTAAAGTTTTCTATCATCAAAACTTTTCTTCTTTGCTTTTTTTTTTTTAGATAAAGAGGCATTACTATAGTACACTTAACTTTACACTGCCAATTAAATTTATTGTGAATGCAGAGGGGACAATCTAAATTATTGTAATTGAATGAAGGAAATAAAAAAGGAAAAGAAACTGCAGAATTAATGAAAAAAACTCCGAGTGGGCCTAAAATTTAATGAAGCACAAAAAGTTCTTCATGATAAAATTTAACATGCAATAAAATAGGATAAAAGGAAAATACAATATTAGAAATAGTTGATCGTGTATTGAAATACACTCTTGAAATTCAATTGAAGTTTATAAACGAGCGTGCCGTAAAAGAAGAAAATTCAATAAAAATAAATGTATAATTAATGTATTAATTTACATCACAAAAGGGTGCACGTCTCAGCAAATTATTATCATCATTTTTTTCGCGTTTTTCGTTTTATTATAAAAATCATGCTTGAACCGAAGGTAACATACCCTCGACACAAGTATTTTTGCTTTTATTCATTAGCATTTAATTATTATTATTTGAAGACATGAAATTTTTCATTGAACAAACCAACACTGGAGGCGATACAATATTTGTCTAGAGCGTTCAACATCTTGTCCAGGGCGGCGACCCGAACAGCCAGTGTCCGGGCGCGCCGGCCGCTTTTAAACATCCTCATCAAAATTCGCTTGATTTCCAGTATCCAAATATGGATCAAACACTCGTATTTAAAATATACCGGGTTAACAATTCTTTCCGCGCTCTGCCAACATGTCCATCCACCTTCCAGGATGAGAAACTAACAAAAGCTATTAAATTTTCCAGCGTTTCTTTTTTACTTCACGAGAGTTGATTTCATAATTATTATAATTTCTTTTCTTTCTTTGTGTAAAATAATATTTTTTTTACTCTTTTAAATTTAAAAATAATTCATAACATTGTACATAATTATTTAAAAGTAATTGCTATCAAAGCCAAAACCCACTCCTCACAATTACCAGAGAAATTTTATAGTTATGTGTAATTAAAACCTAAACAAAAAATTCAAAATGACAATAGCGTTTTTGTGGTATTCACAAAAATTCTTTGCTGGTCATGGATTTTTGCGCCTTCTGTTTGTGTTGTAGTTGTTGTAGTACAAAAAATAAAAATCCATTACCGGCTGGGACAAAAAGAACTTCTCGCCATTTCCCGCCGCCAAGTGGCTCGGCGTCGGAAATATCGCACATAATTAAGTGGGGCGGCTGCCGCCCCCCGCGGGGGACGAGCAGCCGCCCCTCTTGAACACAATGTTAGTTGAGAACATGCATTAACGGGTACTGTACCGCGCCTACTTCTTAATACCAAGAGATGAGATTATACTTTGCAGTTTTGGCACATTGAATAGTAGGACAATATGCTCTTCTTGTTGTGGTTTCACCCATGCACATTAAATAATTAACATTTTTATTTTCATACGATTCAACAAGGGGGCGCAAAAAAGTCGCCGTCCCTACTTCTTATGTCACATTTTACATCAGTCTTACGCATGCTTTTTTCTGAAAAAAGCATCTCAGCAATCTTGTTTCAACATCCCTTATCAACCCATTCATCCATCCATGACAATTTGTTGTTTGTGTGTCTCTGTTAATCTTTCCAGTTGAATTTTCATCGTTTGAACTTTTTTTACGGTTGGTTGTTTTTTCGTCATTAGATTTTTCGTCACTACTCAGCAAAGACCAAGTTTGTGTATACCACTATTGCAATAATTAAGCCTATTATATGAATTACAATCAAAAACTGCTGTCGACATGAATATTGTAGATGATGTATGCAGTAGGTGTAAAAAGGTAATACAGAAAATTGAGGCGATCGGCACGTTCGACCAACCCGAGCGCCGGACGGCCGTCCAACTGCTGTGTCATTCCGATCCACCGACCGAGAGCCGGCGGTCGGGTCCGTTCAAGCCACCAATCGCCGGCAACTACGTCAAATAATTACAACTTAACATTGAAAACTTACAAGAACATTATTAATTCAAAAAAATTTACTGTGTAAATCAAATCTATGTATATAAAAGAAACACTAAAAATGCCAAACTGTTAAAAATCAATTCATCTCGCTAGTCCCATGTTGCATTACTTGCACAAACAATTAAAAGCCTTGGCATATTCATCTGTCAGGAGCTCGATTTAGTGGGTCTGCGTAAATTGCGGGAGTACTCCTGATTTCAAGTGGTGTTTTCTTGTCATTTTGTCAAATACCGCGCCCGCACTTACAAATTAAATATTTATAATCAATCGATCAATTAAAATCGTGATAATCGGCATTATTAAATCGTGTGAGTTTTAACTTTTAGCATAGCGTGGTTCTGTTTTTCGGGTGTCCCCCACAGTGTGATGTGGTCGCCAGAACTTAGGGGGGTTAAAAAAAGGAGAGGCAACTGATTGCATATGCGCAAGGGAGGGCTACAAAAATAATAAACGTTTTTCTGGAATTTCTAATTTCTGTAAAAAAGGTTTTTAAAACCGTCGGTTAATATCTGTTTTGCTTTTGTCATCATTTGAATCCCTGGTAAATTTCAGCAGTGTAATAGAACATTCACTGAGTGTATGTAATTTTCTCGTTTACAATTTGTAGTAATACTAATCAAACTATTTAAGTGCTTTACAAGCACGCACGATTTGGAAATAAATAATTTTTTCACCATTGATAACATTTTTATCACAAACTTGGGCTTAGACCATTAAATGCGTTGTTAGGGTTTCAAACAACAATTATTTCCATCATGAATAACATGCATTAAAATTTCGTAAACACTCTTTTTAAAAGTTTTTAACAAGAATGCGTGTGTATGTTTCTTTGTATATCTTTTTTTCACTTGCGTGATTAACATGCTAATTCATGTTCCTAGTCTACCTACAGAGTGAGTGTTCTTCCTACGGTAAGACCAAGAGTGTGATAAAATATTACCTTTCATTTCTATTACAGAGTGGACCTTTTTGTTTCTTGTTTTTTAAAAACACCATTTGCATGGGAATTACTTTTTTTTAGAGCAACATAGCATTTTGAATGAACTGTATTATTATTAATATTGAATTTCGGATAAGACCGAGTAGTTTTGTTGTTGCTTGTGTGCAGTACATAATTTCATTTTTTTTTGTTGTATGGATGTTTTTTAAGTGTACAAAGTGGGTTTGCTGAGCAACAATTCTCACTTAAGAAGTAAACAAACAAAAATTCGAGCGACTTCCTTCTTCTCTAAGATTTTTTCAAAATAGGCTAGAGACGAAGTAAGTGGCTGAAAATTATTCACTTGCAGTTCATTACAACAACATTCTCTCGACCGTTACTCCCCCCTCCGATATGTCCTGCAATTAATTCCTCTTATTGTGTCAACTTCCAACACAGGGGTATCGTTTGAATTTTAGGCTGGATACAGTAGTAGGAGGCTGCTTTAGATGATGCTGTTGTTAAAAGGGGTGGTTTTGTGTATGTGTGTGGGTGGTTTTCGTGTTTTGCTCTTTTTCTGAGAGAGAAGAATTCCGCTGGTTCTACGGGGAGAACTGACACCTTAATTCCATGATTGTCCATATGAGTCTTGGTACCACTGCTGGTCTCCTCCTCCTCCGCTGTTGGGCGAGCAATAGGTATTGCCACCATTGACACCACCACCGATAAACGATGCACTCAAGGGCTGCTGTGGAATTGGCTGACTGCCCCATGTGTTGCTTCCACTGCCCTCTCCGCCACTAGCTGCCGATGAGCTGCTTCCTCCTGCTTCTCCTCCATTGTTGCCTCCTGATGAAGCTGTGGTTTGGAAGCGCCTCTTTGACTCCCCTTGGTTCTGGTGCCCTCCGTCGAACTTGCGTTTACCTGTGCCAGAGAGGAAACGCTTATTACTTACACCTGCAGTCGCGCCTCCTGCTAATTGGATTTTGTGGCCAATCCGATTATTTGCGAGAGAAACATTCCGCAGTGCTTCGACCAAAGGAAAAGTCAATTTCAATTGTCGAAGGACCTTCGAACTGTTGTCCCGCAAATCAGTCACTAATGTAACTTAGGTACTTAACGGTTGGATTAGTTCTTGCAGAAGCCGTCTTGCAGTTAAACAAGCCACGGTTCATAGTAACTAAGCAACCATTTGGATGTCTCAAAAAAATTGGCTCATTTGTTAAGAATTATTGCAAAAGTTAGAAAAACTTGCACATGGACATACTCCTACATAATTAGCAGATGCAGCTAGTATATGCATGTATTTATATTGTCCTGTCTAAATAAGTAAGCCAATAACAATAACCTATCATAAGCCAATTCGATCTATGAGACGAGCTCCCCCAAAAGAAAATTACCAACCGAGAATCGGGGATCCAAATGTGAAAAAAATAATTATTCATATAATGGAAATTATGCGGCCGAAAACTAGTGTTCTTGTTGAGAATTTTGGATGGGAAGATTACAGGGTGCGGATGGTTGTCTTTCAAAAGAGCTCAGGTGGTGAATACCAAAACAAAAATATTCACCAAAATGCATGCTTCTCTGCCGTCCGTAAATGAACAAGATGGAAAAAGAAAAATAAGTAAAAAAAAAAAATGTAAATGTGACAAGACTCAGAGGAACACACATTCTCAATTTTAAATAAAATGTACAAAAGAGTAAAAAAGGAACCAATACAGACCATCCTCACCTGGTAAACTTGGGCCCGCCGATTTGGCGGCTGCCGCCTCTTTGGCTGCTGCCGTTGTTGCCCCACGTGTTCCGTTGTTGTTGGCCTTGCCACGTGTTCCCCCGTTGTTGGCCCCCCCTCGGCTGGGTGTTCCCCGGCCACGCTGTGGCATTCCCGGAGGGCCACCGGCCCTGCCACGCGCTACCACCCCACGCCCACGGGAAGCCGCCTGTAACACGATCAACAAACACAGTGACTAGGTGTTCTTGCGGGGCCAAACAGGTCAGAATTTCGCCAAACAAAGGTGAGCCAATTCTTGATTAGTGATGTGAGGAATTTAGTTGTTTTAGAATTTTATGTGTAATGACCAGCTCAATGATTGAAGAAGACAGCAATGAAAAATTTTTTATAGATAGAGAGGACCTTCTGGTCTCGGTTGGCAGGACTCGAAATGGAAAAGCTCACTCGGTGAAAAAAGTAGAAAAGTGCATGCTGCTACCTGCTATGCTCTCAACTGTGCTGTTGTGTAAGCCAGTTTTTACCTTGTTGCTCGACTATCCGACTAAGGGCTATTATGAGGGCCATGCTGTAAGGGTTAATGGAAGTGCATTCATCTCCATTCACACCACAACACTGAAAACCTTGGCAGAAGCAGCATCATCACAAGCAGCCGGTCTTAGAAAGCGGATGTAGGTATGCTATTTTGGGGGATGGCTTGGCAGCTAGACCTGTTGTAACAAAATTGGCCAGAATAAGTGCAGAAGTGTGCGCGGTTCCGTTTGTACAACAGGACTGGCTGCAAGCATTGCGTTGCAACTACATTACTAACTACAAGAAACACTAGTTTTCCAAAATATAGGTAATATATATTTATTACTTTAAGTCTCTTATCCAAAAATCATATCTAAGCAAAAAACTTACTAACAATACTGGTTTGTATATTATAATATATGTATGTATTTATAACTTTAATATTTGTATATAAAATGCTCAAGTCTTGTCGCCCCAGCTCAGATATGATGGCTTAACATTTAATCACAATTGAAAAATTTTGATAAAGAGGGCCAAGCTCGCGACTCTTACATCAGCATAACTCGAGCGCAAGTGTGACTGAGAATGGCAGTCATTATGTCTGATGTTGGGACACGAGCGGCTCCTCGCCGTAAGACATTCAACAATCATCTAACAAATTTGAAAAAATTTTAAAAACCCACCGGCTGGGGCTGCCTGCCTCTTCCACGTGGGGCCGCGGATGGATGCAAGGCGTAATCATAATAGTAATCGTCGTATCTATAATAGTCATCAAAATAAGGATCACTGTAGCCGCCACGATAATCACCATAACCGTAATAGTCGTAATCATAATCTAAAAACAGCCAAGAGAGATCCAATTTAGCCGAAATTGCCCCACCATTGATTGTTTAAATTAAAATCTTTGGTATAAAACGAACTTAAAAATAATGGCATGCTGTGATATCAAAGAGGTCTAATACTTCTCAAAGAGAGGGACAACTGCAGAAGTATCAGACTACAAAAAGAACTTTTAATGTAACTGGCACCACAACCACAAGTTCTCTCCTTGCCTTGTCAAATTTAAGTTACAACAAGGATAGTTGAGCACAGGTTAAGAGCCATGCTACTGTGATAGGTGATGACTGAAATAAAACAAAACCATTCATGCAAACAAAATAAAATCACGATGAAATGATATTTGAGAAGAATATATATTGAGGAGCCATGATATGAATTTAAATTTAAGACAATTAAAAAATATTAATTAAAAAAAAGCTCACATCACTGGGCACAGGGTTTAATGAAATGATAATAGCAGAACACATATGTAATGTAGGGACACAAGACTCGAAACAGAAAATGACGGGACAGAATGAGTGGTAATGAGTGTGACAGGTAGTTATTTTTGATTTGGAAATGAAACTGCAGTCTGGCAGTGGGAGAGGTCAAGAGGAGTGATGAAGCTACCACAGAAAGGCATTTGGAGGATGTGTCAAGGAAATGTCGCCAGCACCACAGTGTAAAGGGTTTATCCTGCTGGGCTTACCATAGTCACCACGAGTAAGACCGCCTCTCAAGGGGGTGCCACCTGGGCCTCCACGGGGGCCAATGCCAATGCTGCAATTAACTGCAATGAGCAATCTGCTACCGTAAGGGTTGTGTTTCCAACATACCCTGCTCTTTGGCCGATCATCTGCATCATGCGCCTCTCACGGGCTCTCAACATTTCCTCTTTTTTCTTTTTGTCGGAAGGAGGCTTGGCTAATGAAACCTCAATGTGTGCTCCATTAATGTCCTTTCCATTCAACTCATTCATAGCCTGTCGATAAGCCTTAAATGTAAATTGGGACCATATTTATAGGTAAAATCAACTCACCAAAACAGCTTGATCACGGTCCTCAAAGTGCACAAATGCATAATCCTTGATTTTCTTTACCCTCTCTACCTTTCCAAATGACTCAAACGATTCCTTCAACTTTTCCTCAGTGCAGTCTTGTGTAAGATTCCTCACATAAAGCACCTTCACCTGCAAGCAACAAAGACAAATTTATTACTTATTTAATACCCCTTCATTTTATTGTTACCTTCGACATTGTCTCTTCATCAGGCTCCTCTTGCGGATCTGCCCAGTCTACAATAATATCACAGCCCCAAACCTTTACACGACCTGTTCCCAAGCGACGCTTTGCTAATGATGCTGCCTTGTGGGATTCGTACTCCAAAAAGCAAAAACCCCTATTCTTCTTCTTGTCATCTGGAGAACTGTAGATTATCACCTCTGTGAGGCCAGCTGCAATTGACAGAAACGATTAACCAAAACTTTTAGTCACAAGCTGTCAGAAATGTGAGGAGTGGAATAATGAAAATTTAGCAATCGACGTGGAAACTGCTTGTGAATATTATAACACTATGTACAAATAGTGTGACCAAGAAGTGCAGTCGCCGGCTGGAAAGAAGCAGTCTCCAGGCGATTCTAAAAAATATATGATACCAGTCAACCCCCGTAACAAACGCACGCCGATGCATTTTGCCACGCACTGGATAGCCAGCAAGGTGCCTCCGATTGATGTCAGCGGGATCAAATTTGTGGAGGGCAAAGCCTCTGCAGTGAGATGATGAGCTCAAGGCAGAGACTCTTTTTAGAGAATAGCAGCCACACATTTTAACCCACTGTGACTGGTATTATATTGAGAGATGAGCCAGATCATTATTTACAAAGAGACGTGGATGTAAGAAGGGTTAAAATAAGATGATGTAATTATAATAAAAACGAATAATTATTAGGATGTAAAAAAATATTGAAGTACATCAAAATGCAGCTGGCTCAACTTACGTGCATGTTTTGTAAACTCTTCTAATAATTCATCCCGATCACGGTTCTTAGGTATATTTCCAACAAACAATCGATGATTATTATAGGAAATGGTAACACCAATCTTTTTGCCTTTTCGAATTTCATAATCATTCAGCTGGAAACAATGATAAAAGCATACAGAAAGCCAATTAGTACAATAATTGGTATCTATGCTTTTGGGTGGGCTTTGATTTGTTTTTGTTCAAAATCATATATATATGAATAAATTGCATGGAGGAAGGGAACTGGCTGAAAAAGAGGGGTGTGGTAGTGAGAAGGCAGGCGTACGCATTTCGTTATTAAACATTAGGGCAGCACCCTGACTGGCTCCTGTTTTTCTGACCCTTTCCTAACCCTTGACTCCTGGCACTTTTGCTTAATTTATTTGTTTCAGCTTGATTTTTTCATCAGCTTAACTTATGAGCAAAAAAGATAGAAACTTCGAACCGACACCTCTGTCCGATTTTTCTTTTCAACTTTACCTGTTAATTTACCGAATTCTTCCATTATCTCCTCTTTGCCTCTAGACTTAGGAATGTTGCCGACAAAAAGACGCAGATTCGGAACACTAATGTTAACTTTCAGTGTCTTGCCAGGTTTGATCTCATAACTATCGAGCTGTGAAGAAAACAGATTCATGCCAAAGATTCTGACTTTTGTAACTTTCCTTAACAAAGAATAAAAAACAAAAAAAGAATAATATAACGCACCCCGCTGAAGGGCGGAGAGAAGACAACAAGCAAGTTTCAAAAGAAAGAAAAATGCCTATAGGAAGAATCAAAATCATAAAATGGCTGTTATGTCGTATCACTACTTCCAAAGGAAAAATCAACAGGGCATGCAATCTCTTGATTTTACAACAAAAAATAATTGAGTCAACTAAAAAGTAAAGCAAAAACGTAAAAAAAAAATTAAAAAACTCATGTTCAACAAAACATGGTGATAATAACTTGCTTTCTTTAAGTACTTGGCTCCGATGGTGGAAGTGGATTGATTTTCCGAACATCCTCCTAACGCACTATGAACCAAGTCCCAATTTTGCTCATTTAAACAAAAGCAAAGAGGAGACCTGGAAGCAACAGGAGCCCATTTGTGTGCCGCCTTTTGCGAGGCCCTTCACGCCTGGCTGCTCGCTCCAGGGGTTTTTTCTACTCGAACTAGTTCAACTACTTGGTGGTTTCAATCAGGAAGGGGATTGGTAGGGGGCAGATAGAATAAAGACAGAGAAATAGAGAAACTGTCGAGTACAACTCAGTGAATATTTGATCGGTTGTAAAGACTTTTTTGTTAATTTGAGAGAAAAGTAGATAAAACGTTAGGCCCAAATACCAATAGGTGAGTGGTATTCAATCGGTTTTGTGTCTTACCTCACGAACAGCCTGCTGAGCAGCATCCCTCGAGGTAAATGTGACAAATGCATATCCTCGATTTTGCCCGGTCATCGGGTCCATCATGAGCCTCAGGTCCCAGATCTTGCCACATTTTTCAAACAAGGGGATAAGTTCGTCCTCGTACATGTCTCGAGGTATTTTTCCGCAAAACACCTAAAACATGGCATATTGTCTGAATTAGCAAAATAATCATTATAAATTATATAGCAAAAATATTAAATATTTTCTTTACAAAAATAATAATAATAAGGGCCCTTGTGAAAAATATTGCTGAAGTTAATATTCTAAATGTATGAAGGGGGGGGGGGGTTAACACAGAAGTTAAGGACTCCTTATTGGCAAAGTCAAATCAAGTCTTTACAACAATGGTGATTAAAATTTCCAATTGTCTTTCAACAATCGCAAAAATCTGTTTATATTGTTGTATCGACTTGATTTGACTATGTCAATAAGAAGTCCTTAACAAAACGGAATCCATCTTAATACTTAATAGGCTTTATGTTTGTGTTTCCAATTAATTAATTTTCACATTTTTAGTAGTATAGGAACCATAACATGTATCTATTAATTTGTTCAAAATCAGTTATTTCAATAATCATTATTTTTGTATGAAATTACAAACGTAAAATTTTTAGAATGGCTTTATTTCCAATGCATTTGTTTGCCTTTATATTAAAATATAATTTGAGTTTTTTAAATAATTATTTTACTGACGACCATAACATGATTACAATTTTTTTAGTTAATTTATAGAGGAGTGCGGATTTTATATTTTTTTCTAAGAAAATGAAGGTTTGGCTGATAAGAGAAGAAACAGACATCCACTTCCACTTAACAGGAAATTATATTTTTAGTCATTGTTAAAGACTCATAACATAGAATTATAGGAATCTTAAGCAACAGTTTTAATTTATTGAGAAATATTCAGCAATTTTTTCTAATTTTAAAACCATTCTTTAAAATTTTAGAAGTAAATTATTAATAATTGTTATGCCCAAATACATAAATGAATAACTATGAAGATTGAAGATAAATAAATTGGCTGAAAAATTTATTTACTTAAAATTGGGATTTTCCACGCGCAAAATACATAACATTATTGCTTTTTAATGTCAGCAATGTTTTGAGCTGATCATTGTTTAACTTCCTGTTTAAACGCGTCAGCAGTTTTTATTTCCATCAAAACAAAAATTTATTGTGTTTCGTTAGGGCTGACGTGTACCAAAATTCAAAATGTTCGAAATAATGAAATACATAAAAAAAACAGTTACAAGCTACCACTAATTGTGTTAATTAAAAACAAACAGTACCTCGCATCCATTTCCAGGTGTTGGCTTCTCCCAATTGGGTGGTGGTCCGCCGTATTTGCGTTGACCAGTTGTGACGTCAAGGGTGTAGCCAGTTCTGTCAAGGATGGCCCGAATTTTGTCTTCATCGGGCGCCTTGGCGGTTGTAGGTACTTGTGAAGTTTGGCCGGCACGGCTCTTCTGGCGGTAGGTTTTCATGACCCCGCATAGGAACGCAGATTTGTTGGAGACATGCTCCAGATTAGAGTCCAGAAACTGTGTCAGGACATTTAGAGCACCATCGACCGGGAACTCTTTCAGGGCATCTAATGCTCTTTCGTCCAGGTCTGCATGAGCTAATTTTCCTGCACGACAAAACAGCACACACATCAGCTCACGTGTCACAAAATTGCACACTCGGAATGACCAACCTGTTTTGTAGATTTCATCTAACTTTGAGGCAACTTTTTCATCTAATCCGTACTCGATGAGTTTGCTGTAGTCCTCGGAGTGAGGCTCTGATGAGCTTTTGTCTAGTTCTTCTTTATGGTCCATCTTGGGGTCACCATTTCCCTCTGCCATAACTGCCAACACAAGGTCAAAAACAAACAATTAGAAATGATTTTTTAGGAAAAGAATTCGGAGAGAATTTGGAAAAAGTGTCCCGGCGCGATGACAACACCACAAAGGAACTCGCCCGTGTCCATAACGAATGTATATTTTCGGCTGCAGCAATAACAAGCAACGTCTCTAATTGCCCGCTACCCCCCGAAGCTAAACACGCGTCGTGATGGCCCTCGAAAAATCAAAACACTGGTCCCGAAATGGTTTGCCGAGCACCAACGACCTTCGAATGTGACAACCCACCGTTCGGCGCGTGTCCGATAGGCGGAATCGGCCCGCAGAATTCGCGAATTCGTACATTCCTGAGCACCGTCTCGGTACACTCATCGCGCCAATTTGCAAGCCTCCATTACGAATCTAAGTGCACGCCAGCACCGTATTACCAAAATCCGCGATACCAGTAGAAATTAGGTCGTATTCGGTTGGGACAGCGAAGGAATTCTTGGTGCGGCCGTTATTTGATGGCGAGGCAGTGGCGGGTTGGGGTGGCCGCCGACGAGATCGAACAAGAATCAACAATCAAATTTGGCCGGCCGGTTCGCAGGCGGTTGTTGTGCGGGACGAGAAAACGGTCACCGAATAGTGACACGTTCGAACGCGTTTCCGACGTGTCGCGAGCCCCCTAAAAATGACCCCGGGCGGCGGCGCAACCAGAAAGAAATGACGAGTACCTGGAAGACGGCGTGAGGTGCGAATCTAACGAATAATCACCAAAAACATTACCTTATAAACACACTAATTGTATCCTCCGCGAGGGAAATGGCGTCGAGGGCAACGTCAAGCAACGTGATCAGCCAGATATCTCGGGGGTTTCAAAATGACGCGCAAGGACTAGCCTCGCGCGCAGACCGCTGCAAATGTGCGCCAGCTTATCAACGGGCAACGCAAAACGGCGTACGCGAGTACCTCGGTGGAAACTTGAAACCGGCCGAGGCATGTGCGTCGAGAGTTCGCATTTTTACGTCTCACTCATTCGCGTTCAAACTAGACAGACAGCGCACCACGGTCGCAAGTGGGAGATATTGCCATTTTTTCGCCACCGCTGACAAATGCAAAATTTTGCGAGCGAAATTAAATTCGATGGGCACTGAAATCAAAGAATTGATTAAACCTGAAACAGTAAAATAAAATTTAATACAAATTATTTTGAAATTTTGCAAAAATTAATTTCAAATTTAATTAAAAATTTGCACACATTTAAAAAAAAATTTGAAAGTTAAAAAAATGTAAAAGTACCTCATACAATATAAAATCACTTGGTAACCTCGTCTATTAAATTTGCGAATTTGCAAAAATTACTCCAGTGGCGCGGAGATTCAAACTGCCAGACTAGCAAACGACGCTCCCATTTACCAAGCAATGCCAACATGTGTACGTCATGAACATAACACACCCTCCCAAGATAACACACAAAGAGAGAAACTATGTATGTATGTGTGATAATATTGATAGAGATGGCACAGGAATCATAATTCTGTATCAAAAAGATTTCCTTCAAAAAATCAAAATTTATTGTTAACAAATTTTTTTAAGCAGACTAAAAACTGAGTTAATTCAAAGTGCACATTATAGTAAATTGCAGTCTCATTGTTAACATCCAAGCACAACTTCAGGAGGTTAAACAGACCCCAGAAATCCAGACTTTTCCAGCAGCTGGTCTCAATACGAGCTTTTCCATTATTCGATGAAACACTATTATGGCTAGAGAAGAAAAATTGTTATGTACAGAAATATTTTGTGTCTGGCTATAATTATAATTGGTTGGGAAAAGCTAATAGTTCACAAGTTGCGATTTGAGGCATAAAAAACAACCTCATCTTTTCAAATGAAATTCCGATTTTTCATACTAGAACTGGGTTGCTTATCAGTGTAATTTATTATGATAGTTTTTTCGCTTTGTGATAAAGTGTGTCAACAACTTTGCCCATGCTGTGGATCGTCTCCAGGGATGACTCAAACGTCTTGTCAGTGGGCGTCTCCTCAAATACTACTAACACACCCTCGCCTTGATCCAAAATTCCGTGGAATTTCTTATCGAGGATCATTTGCGACAACTTCTTTTCCACTTGTAGCATGGGAAGATCAATGGTTTTGGATATGTAATCCACCTATAATAAAAAAAAATGTGTTATTTTTTAATTTTTTAAAAACCAACAGAGCCGTATTTTAATTTAACAGTTTTATCTTTTAATTAACGCAGAAATTATTGTTTAATTTAAATAATATTTAGCCGATTCGAGACTTACCTGAACTCTAGAGTATGGTTCAATGATTCTACACAGGTTCTGCTCAAGCATGGTGTCGTACAGAGTGTCAAGATGTGCCCTGACGATTGGGTCATTTTTCAGTTCTGGTCCGTAAAGTTCAAGAGCCTTTGGGAAAAATATTATTTTTTGTTTGAGAAAGGCAGCAAGTAAAAACTTTCGAGTCATTACATTGCAAAATGGATTCTTCGCTAGATATTACTTACTTTAAATTGACTTGTTTCGGTTCATTTTAAAATTTCATTCAACAATTATTTTTACCAATTTGTATCAAAGATCTTCATTAAAAATCAAAATTTCTATCACTTTTTCTAATATTTAGCAACTCTTTAAATTTTGTACTTTTCCAGCTGGGAAATTATGGTTGATTTTACATATTAAATTTTTCATTGATTGACTCAAATAAATAATATCTTCTTAATGTCACAACTAACCGATTTGAAGTCGGCCAGGGACCTCTTGTGGCTGGCCATTGCCACCATTTTCATTGCCTCGATGTCCCTGCCTGCATACTTGAGGGCAAGCTTTCCACTGACAATGTTCTGCACGTCATCTGGCCTGGAAAATTCAATGCAAAAATGTAATTTTCCCCCTTCAACGTTATTTCTAAGTGTACGTGTTGAGCATGATTTTGGAGAGAAGCATGTACTTGAGGGCAGTGAGGGCTCTGCTGCTCTCGCCGGTATCGTAACCTTCAAACGCTTCGTAGAAATACGAGTATGCAGTTTTGAAGTCTCGCTCATCCGCAGCATGCAATATTCCTGGAATAACAATTTAAATTAATAATTTGTCAAATCTTCCCTTTCAATAACTCGTGTTGATAGGCTACAACACGAGTAGCCACAGGATATTAATTTTACTAGGACTTTTTTTTAAGGTTTTTATTTTATAAACCTCTCTTATTCACTAAACTTGAAGGATGTTTGTGCTTTTGAAGACACTGCATTATGAATAAATAAAAGGTAACATTTTCTGCCAATTTTACCTGACTGAAGGTCCAGAGACGCTTGCATTTTAGGAGGGCAGTAGATGGAGTTGGCCGTTGTTCTGGCTGAAGTAAGAGCAGCACGTGCCTTGGGCAGATTGCTCAGGGCATGATATGTCTTGCTCTCCAGCAGTTGAACCTGGGCATTGCATAATATAATAAAAGCTCAAACCTAAAACTTTCAATTTCTACCTCGACCAACAGATTTTTGTCATCCAATTTTTTGAGCTCTTTCAGCAGAGTGGAACCAAGGTGCAGGGCGTCTGTGTACATTTTGGTGTCAAAATACAAAGCTACTAATCTGGCTTCTAGGGACTGTCTGAGGAAGGTCCTCTTTTCCTGTTTTGCCCAATCAATGCATTCCTGTTTCAGACGAGGAAAATTTTATGTTTTAAAAATAGGAAATTTAGTTAAAATTACCAAACACAAAGGAACTTCGATGCCGATCCCGGCTTCAAGGTCCAAGAACATGTCCACTAGGGAGCGAACAAGTTTAGCAGCCTTAGCTTTGCTGATGAGACTGAGGAAAGGCCGTGTTGCCTTGATCAGCTCTCCAAGTTCTAGAAATTATAATTAGTATTAATGAGTTTTGAAAACTGATTTTTTTTACCTTTAGCTTTCTTCTCCTTCTTGAATAGCTCTCCCAATTGCATAATGCCTTGCTCCTTAATTCGAATTGATTCCTCGTCAATTGCATCTGGATCAAGTTTCCAAACTGTAAAAGAAACTAAATATCAAAACTCCAAACTTTGAAGAGAGATATATACATAAGCCAAAACAGTGAGAGTAATATTATTGACCGTTAATGAATTGAAGAGTAAATAAATTATATTTCAATTAAAAAATATAACTATAATTTAAATTTGATTTTAATCCAAGTATTAAGCAAAAGTAATGACTCTAAGTTGCTCAAGGTTGCATTGAAAACGTTCGATGAAAACTAAGTTGTTGGACTTTATTATTTCATCTTTATTCCGAGACTTAATTTTTCGAAGCGGTTGATCGTTAGAATTCTGCATATTCAGAACACTAGAATGGGCGAAACGGGTTTGTAACTTGGAAATGATTCCCAAAATTGGATTTAAAAGGCGCCGGGAGATCAGTGACCCCAAAATTTACACATGCCTCCAAAATTTTAAGTTTCTTCAGAATTCGCACAAACTCGACGGCTGCAAATTTTGATGTCAGATGAGAAATCATCCAAAATATTTTATAAAGCGTTTTACAAAAATTGAGACGCAGTAAATTATTGCAAAACGAGAGAAACTTAGACGTGACACTGCAAATTTTGCAATACGAAAACACGTCTCAATCGATGCGAATTTCCAAAAATCCGCACCAGTCAAGGCGACGATTTATGGTTTCAATGAAAGATCAGAGTGTTATCTACAAAATAACTCACCGATTTCTTTGTATATGCTAATTCCTTTCTCAGTATCTATCGAAGAAATCGCCTCGGCGCGTTCTAGCAACAGTGCAGTAGCCATTTTGGAAGCAGACGGGTCTCGACTCTCGACTGGCCGCGATCTCACGTTTTGCCGTCATCAGAGATTCCTCGACTGCCCGCTGCAATCTTCAGCGCTGCTGTCAGTGGCGCGAAACTATGCTGCTGCACTTGCACTGCTCTCAAATTCCACTTTCTGACTTCTGAGTCTTCTGATTCTGACGCGAATTATTTTTCGAAATAATTCTAGGTTTCAACGGTTTCACTCACAACCTTTTCCAAGAAGACAAAAAACAATTGAACAAATTTAATAAAACATTGTTGCGAAATTGAGTTCTCTGTCTCTAACAATGCAGACAAAAAAAAATTTGAGTGGATATTACATTGCAGTTTCAAGACTGGAAAAGGTATTAGGGTAAATTTGTTTTTGATGCAAACATATTGCATTAAATCTCTATCCCTCTACTGATTACCTCCATACCGATCCATAAATTTTCCATTTATTTTTATTTTATATCGTTTTATATAAAATTGAAGAGATGTGAATTATAGAAATATAATGGAGAGAAAGAGAGAATGGAAATATTTTAAATATTTTTATCGATTTTTATTGTTCAAAAATTTTAATCATGCAAAAGGATTATAACATGATACAATAGCTCTTATAAATAAATATAACTCTCATAAAGGCTGATTTTAATTTCTAATTTTTCGAAATTTAGAAAATTTCCTTTTTAACTAAAAGAAAATGCGTTGCAAAATTGAGCAGAATATCAATTAATCTTTTGCGTTTTTCTTTCTTTCTATATATTAGAAAAAAATGTGTGTCGTCATTCTATTAACAGTACAATTTTATGATTCTTATCTTAATATCTGATGGAATTATCATTATGCATTTTAGGACAAAGAATTGTAATAAAATTGACACAATTTTTTTTAGGAAATTATCCGTGTTACTTTTTAAAATAGTGATTATCGGTGATTTGATTAAGATAAGACGTCGACGTCATTTACTTTTAATTTATAGAATTTGTACAACAGGGAATTACCAGAAAACTTTTAGGTTCAAATTCGCAGTTTTTTCCAATAACAATAGTGATTTATTAACATTTATCAATATTTTAAATAATACCAGTTATTATTTGCTCTTTATTTATGATTAAACAACAGAGAATAAAATTATCATTTATTTGAGCCAAGTCTGATTGATATTTCTTTTTTGTATTTGAAAATTTTTTCGTTCAATAGACGCTATGCAGTTTTAAATTTGATACAAAATTTATAATTTACGTTCAAGTGATTTACTGCAAGAATTCAAAACATTGTACTAAATAAGTTTATTTCGTTTTTCTTTTTTTAATTTCAGTTTTTTATTCCATAAATAATGATTTTTTTTTATTACAATTTAATATAAGCATTATTCATTTGTAAAATTTTTGTGCTGGAAATTTCAAAGAGAATTTAAAATTTTGGTGGTGCAAAAAATGCGAGAGGCGGTGAAGTTTTGATTTAGATTTTTTTTTTTTTATTATCTCCCTGCGGAGTGCGGACGTCTTGCAAATTTTATTAAAGTACATTCTGCAGTTATTCCACTCAACTCGCACGCAGTCACAAACTACAAAGCATTCCGAGGATGAGAGAGAGGGGAAAGGGACTTTTTATCGCAGAGAGCGGTTGATGCGGTTCTTCACCTTTGCGGCGGCGGCGGCCTTTCTTCTTTTTAGAGGTGTCGCATAAAGCGCGCGGATAAATATTTAGGTTCAGCCGCCAGGTGACTCTGGAATGCAGTTCCATGCTGGCAAGTTGCTGGCAGCATCCTCCGTCCTAGTAAACGTCGTCATCTCTTGGTGGCGCCTTCTCAAAGACAGAAAGACGAAAGACCTAGCGAAAGACACACATGGGGTGATTTACGGCTGCTGGTGGGTTGTTGTGCTGCGGTACTGGTCTATAACAGTCAAGTTCTCGGCCGGCGCTCGACACCCGCGGGCCGTTCCTTTTGTCAGTCTTCAGAGGCCCCGTCCGAGAGAAAGGAAGAGCACGGCCGATGCTAATTCACCGCTAGCCCACCATGGATAAGGACGTGCGGGTCATCCTGCGCCGGGTCATCATCGACTGCCTCATTTTAGGATCAGGTGAGATTTTATTTTATTTAAAAAAATCCTCAAAATTAATCATTAAAAATTTATATTTTTTTTATATTATTATTTAATGCACTGACCTGATTTCTTTCAGTGGCCTTGCCGTTATTGATTTTCAAAATATGGGGCACGCCGTACAAGCGCGGGTTCTTCTGCAACGACGAGTCCCTCAAGCACCCCTTCAAAGACTCGACGGTGACCTCTGAGATGCTCTACGTCACCGGTTTTGCCGTGCCGATCGCTATAGTGCGTAAACGATCAGGTGGTCTCTCAGCGAAAACTAACTGTTTGCATTTTATTTTTAGTTCCTCGCCACCGAGTTCCGTCACCACCATGGCACCCGCTCCATCGGCTCCAAGCCGGTGCCTCTGTGGGTTTGGGAGAGTTACAAAATCATCGGAATCTTTTTGTTCGGCGCCGCATGCTCGCAACTGACTACTGACATTGCCAAGTACACCATTGGCAGACTACGGCCGCACTTCTTCGACATCTGTCAGCCCGACATTGACTGCAACTTGGCTGAGAATAAGCATGTGTACCACGAGGCCTTTGTCTGCACAAACAGACAGGTCAGCGCCTTCCGACTCAAGGAAATTCGTCTCTCCTTCTTATCGGGACACTCGTCCTTCTCCGCCTACACAATGGTCTTCCTAGTGGTAAGTTTTGTATTTTTTTGGAAGAATTTCATATTTTCATGATTGAAGGTTAATCCATTGAATTTAATTTTGGCTTTTCTACAATGAGGGTTTCTTTAAAATTCTTTTTCTTTTATTATTGTTTGTAGGGTTTGTAGGATGATTTTTTTTACTAGGATTTTGTTTGTCTTTGTAAGAAAAAAAGCACCGAGGAAAAGTTGAATGTAAATTTAGTGTGAACAATTTGTTTTTGAAATTTAAAATAATCAGAAAACTACTGAAACATAAACTTACTGTTAACAGAGAAGTAACCTGAGCTTTATTTTTTTGCCATAATGATTTATTTTAACTTTATTTAATCGTTTTAAAATTTAATTATATATATGTGATTATATGGCTGTAAGCATTCAATCAAACTAAATCTTGTGGCGTTGTGGTTATAGTATTGGATTTTATGAATTATTTCTACAAATTTAATTTTCCGCGTTTTTCCAGATGTATTTGCAAATGCGATGGAATCGACGGTTTTCGACTCTGCTGCGCCACTTTCTTCAATTTTTGGCGCTCACCATGGCCTGGTACACTGCCTTGACCAGGGTGTCCGACTACAAACACCACTGGAGTGACTGCCTTGCAGGGTCCGCACAAGGAGCTCTTGTGGCCATCCTAATTGTGAGTGACGCTCTTGAATTGTATCTCAAGCAAACAACTTTTGACTCTTATCTTCAAAATACACATTCCTGTGGCTAAAAAGCCAGATTTGTGTCAAGTTAATGCGCGTGTGTAATTAAGTTAATCAAACAAGCGTTCTTGGCACAATAGGAATATTAAGGCGTTTTCTCACTTTTTCTCCTTTGCTGCTTTGGAGTTTTTCTTTGTTTCTATTTTTGCTACTACAATGAGAAACATGCTGGTATCAAATTTCATTTCAAAGTAAAAAGACGCCTGGTAACAAAATATTGTGCGTCATATTCTCATTTTCAAGCTAAACGCACTCTTAACTTAACTAGAGATTAAAACAAAATAATTTGGGACAAGAAAAATCTTTTGCTTAAGAAAATTGAATTGATTTGAAATATGAGTAAAAGTTTTATGGAAAAAGACTTCAAAATTAAAGCAGAGTGTAAAAATATTTAAGTTAATCGAATTGGGAAGCTTGCAATTTCGACTTAAAACAGATTCTTGGAAAATTGGAGTTTTAAAATATCACAATTGGATGAATTGGAATTATTTTATTAAAGAAATTATTTGAATATTGCATTTTTATGAAAATCATAAAATGTTATACAATCGCAAGTTTTCCACAAATTATATTACAAATTTTTCATATTATAATGCATCAATGAATAAAAATTATTTATGTAGAAGCCGCTAACACAGACGGGTATATTAATAGATTAAGTGGCGTTTACTTGTTGTTTCACTGTCAAAAATTCCATTGAATTAAACAGATGTGGGTTTTGGAGGAAGTAAAATCCTTCTGTGTTCCCGTATTGAATAAAGGCAGCACTCTCTTCTGCTTGGAGCTCATTAAACTAAGTAAGTTCTCTTCCCCGTCAAGCCATTAAATCTCTGAGGGGTCTGCGTCTCTCTCAGTCGGCTTCAAACGCGGGTGCTTAACTTATACTTTCCATTTGACAGCCGCGCCCGATAAGAAAATTAAAAGGCTTTGTTATCGGCAACTTCCCACTGTGCAGTATGACTAATTTGAGTCTCGAAAAAGGCGTGCGACGAATTAACGCTGGTCGTCTGTTTCTCTCGTGCGTGAAATCATCTCTGTTTGCTCAGCCTTTTGCTCGCAATTAGATTACACTTTTTGTCTCGCCGCGCTAACTCCATTTGACCTCTCATGCCACTTCTGACACACTCGCCGTTTTCCAATCGACTCGTCCTTGGAGCCGCTCTATTGCTAGAGAGCATCTGCAGCGGCAGACGCGACTTGCGGGCGAGCAGGCCAACTCATTAAAAAATGAAATGCCGGATCAATTTGGTTGATGTGAATCTTTTATTGTTGGCGCCGACAATATTTATTTAATATAATATCAATGATTTAGCCACAATGCTATCAAATCTTACCCAAAAAGTGGCCACTTGTGCTGATTAGCAATCATTCTTTGATTCGCTCGTGGTTATTTGCAAAGAGATAAAAAGAGAAACAAATTGCAGTTCAAGTCTGCAAAGGTCAATCAATAAATTCTTGTTTATCATAAGATAAAAATTTAATTTATCTATTAAAAAAATATAATATAATCTAAAACATCGTTGTTTTGCTATTGAAAAAAAGCACACTTGATTTTTTTTAGAAAGTATTTGAATTATTTATTAAGATTTATATGAATTTCAGAATCAATTGATGATTGAATTTCAAGTGCACCTTGTATAGTGATTATGAATTCTGAACGGTAGTTTTTTTTTTTTTTTTTTTTTTTTAATTAAAAAATAAATCAGAAACAAGCTTAGAGAAGCTCATTAATACTAATTACTTTTTATTTTGTTGTAAAATATTTTGATATCTCGTTTATTAATTATGTTCTTTTTTATATTTACGTACAACCTATTCTCCCAATACTTATAGAAGCGTATTGTTTTTATTGAAATAAATATTTATTTGTTTTATAAATGTGGAAGGCTCTGAGGGTACTTAAAGTAAAAAAAATAAGAAAATCTTCAAGTACGTCAATCCAGTTGAGCACGTTCTTACTTATATTATCAAATAACTTAAAGTACCAGTATGTTATGTACCATAAGAAATTAATCAGAAAAATTCTAGATTCATACGATTTCAAAATGCAAAAATCTGAGCGTTTAGACAAACGTGATTTTTATCATTTACTACTGCTCACTCATTTTTATCAATTTCGATTTCATTAAACTATCACATAGTAGGTTTATTAGTCACTTCTAAGTAAGCTTATCGGAAAAAACGGACAATAATTTGACCGAAAATCACATGAGCAGAGAGAAGAGTCATCTTCCTCTCCAGATTGTAAGTGCAGACGTTGGAGAGGAAGAGATAAAATCAACAGCTCGCAAATTCGATCAACATATTGCCGCGACTGATGATGCAAAAAGAGCGGCGGCGTCTCTTTCTCTTCCTCTAGCGCAGCGCCTTAAAAACATAACAAGCCCCCCATTCATTAAACCCTCTCAGAATAAGTAGCTGCGGTCGTCGTTGTAAAAAAAAGCAATCAAGTGCGCGCCAATGAGAAACAAAACACCCATTAGCCGAGAGTAAAAACATAAGCGGAGGGAGAGAGGAAGTAGCTGAATGAAGCATCGCCTTTTGTCTGTTGTAGGTGACGTGTGTGTCTGGCCTGACGAAGAAGAGGCCGAATCTCGACTCAAGCGGCAGCCTGCCGATGGTCCAGCCGGGCACCAACAGCTCCATAGACACCTGACAGACGATAAAGGGAAACGGCAGCATTTTTTAAAACAAAACATCAATGAACATTAAGAACAAGTCTTAATTAACTCCAGCAGATTTTAATATTAGAAAGGGATACAAGTGAAAGAGATTTTAAATAATATTTTTCTTTTATTGTTAACTAAAGCAAGGCCTTAAATCCACTCCGGACTAAATTATAATTAAATAATTGTTAAATAAAAAGAACTTGTTGAATAGCGATTATATATGATGATATTAATAAAGAGGCAGCGATATATTCTATTGATATTAATTTTTATCTTTCCTTATCTCCCTGCCTATCTATGCATGCCCGTGGATGGGACGGGGCCCCTCCTCGTTGACACTCAGTCAGCCGAGCATGGCGAAACTGATCGGCTTCCTGGGCAGGTCGGTCCTTGTTGACTGGGGCGTCCTGGTGGCAGGTGCGTTTTTCTCAAGCTTCTTTGCGCCGCCGAGCCCCCGCTTGCGTCACCAGCGGCCTTAATTGGTCCTAAATCGCGGTTAATAATCCCGCCAACCATACCAGCAGCAGTATCACTTACAGCCTCCACTTTTATTGTCAGTGTGTGTCAGTTTGCCTGGGGACTCATCCGTCATACTTTTGCCTCTGGACATTTTTTTTGTACCATTTTTAATAATATTTCCTTCCTCTTGAGAGGGCATCACCGTGCTGCTGGTGCCGCTCTTTTCCAGTCCCACATTGCGCGGGTTTTCCTGCTCGGACAGCTCAATCCGCCTACCCTACCTAGGAGATACAATTCCGACATGGGCACTCGGTGTTGGATTCATCGTTGGAGGCCTCGCCTTGGTATTTTAATTGCTGATCTATTTTAAACACCTTTGACACCTTGTTGAATCTAACTTGTAAGCGGAGTCACGCGTTGCCAAAGAGAGATATTTACGCAATTTCTCGCGGCAGGAAATTGCCGGCAAGTTTAATTAATGCTCAATCGACCGTGCAGACTCTGAGTGCGGCTCTTTTACACCGTCTGGCGCATCTAATCACTTATTTTTGTATTCTTTTCAGTTGAAACGAGCTTAATTATAATAATTATAAATTGGAAAATCATTTATCCTACTTTTATTAATTTTTTTACCATGTATTAAAAATAGCTTCAATTTTCTGTACTAAAAATCAGATGTGGAAGAGCTTGTACTTATGATTTGAGTTTAATTTTCCTAAAATTTAATTATTTAAATTCTTAATTGTAAATCTAGAACAAACTAGAGTATAAATATGTTTATTGCTATATCTTAATTAGGTCATATTCTGCATATGCAATGATTTATTTTTATTAATTTAATTTCAATTTAAATTATAGGAAAAGCTATAATTCACGATTATATTGATAGATTAAATCCAAGAAGACGTTTTAATATCATTTTCATAGTAAGAAAATGCCCTGCAATTGAAGAAAACAGTTATAATAGGAAAAGGCAATTATTTAAAATCAAACCTGAAAATCTTCATTATTTTCGTTTTTTAATATTTTTTAATAACAACAGCAATTTATATTTATCCAGATGGTTTTACTCGAAATTTTTCTTTCAACCCCTGGTCCGAGTGGCGTTCTCTGCCGAGGTCGCGCCTTGCCAGTGTGGCTGGTCCAACTGTACTCGGTCATAACCGCATTCCTTTGTGGCGCGGGATTCAGCCAAATAACCACGGACATCGGTAACGTTGCTTATAATTACACACGTGCGCCGGCCGCAGAGCTCGCTCGGGCCGACCTTTTTTACGACACCGATGGATGCTAACTGAATTTCAACAGCCAAATACCACGTGGGAGCCCTGCGACCGCACTTCTACCAGCTATGCGATCCTGGTAACTTGTGCGAGAGTGTCACGGATCCGTTCAAGTATTTCTACCCTGGGGATGGCTTTGAAAATTACCAATGCAAAGGATGGGACTTACATCGAATCAAAGAGGCCCGCTTATCTTTTCCTTCTGGACACGCCAGTTTGTCCTTTTACGTTTCAACATATCTTATTGTGAGTCAACATGCATAAATATGCCATTTTTTGATAATAAATGCCTTCAGCCAGTGGTATAGAATAATGTGAAACAGATTAAAAAAAATTCGAAAAATTTAGATAAGACTAACTCAGTCACATACAGACCTAATTATTCAACTTTCTGATCAATATCATATACAAATAAGGTTAAAATTCCTCTGCATGATTTTCTCTGCGATAAATTCCAATTAAAAACTACTTTAGGACTGAACCTTGTTTAATTTTTTTTTTTTTAATTTAATGCTCTTTCCAGTTCTACTTCCACAGTAGATTAAGGGACTGCAAAACGCAGAGAGCATTAGCGTGCTTCATCGTCAGGCCGTTCATCCAAGGGTTGGCTCTTTTGGCCGCGTGGTTCACTGCCGTGTCGAGGGTCATGGACAACATGCACCACTGGCGAGATGTCACCGCCGGAGGCCTCATAGGAATAACGGCCGCCGTTTTGATAGTAATGCCATTCCATAAAAAAAAGGAAAATTTTACGGTGAAATCTTTCTTCTTTTTTTTTGCACAGGTTCAAAGTTTAAAACCATTCAAAGATGTGCGTTGTCTGAAACCAAATGAGGAGTCACCGCTGCGGCACCTGCAGGCAGGTCGGACGGGTCTGAACGACATTGAGAGCAATTCAAATTGACTGGGAAAATAAAAGTGTCAAAAACATTAATTACCGCTCAACTTAACTGTGAATATTCGTTGAAAACGATTGTTTACTTTGACAATTTATAAAAAAAAATCGCGCATATTTAGGAATGTACAGTGCGTTTGGTTTTTGAATAATTACATATATTAAATATTTGTCAGAGAAGAGAGAAAATAAATCAACACTGTTTAGGATGATATTTTTTGCAAACAAGAGAAGCTAAAGTTATGAGATGTAGCAGCGTGACCAACAATATACGATTTATTAAATATTTGTTGCGTTTTGGAATTAATTAATTTATTGAAATTTTGGCATTGTTATTTTCACTTAAAGATTGTTTAAAAATTATCTTAGCTGTGATTGGGCTTTAAAATCATAATAGCAGAAAATTATAATTAGCATGAAAATCTATTTCTAGCTGCGTGCTTTCCTGAGGCAAGATAAAAAAAGCAATAATTTATTAATAATAACAATAAAAGCTGATATAATATATTAAAAATAAAGCTGCGTGCTGTAATTAAATTGCATTTCAGAGAAATAATTTAGTTTTTAGCTATAATTCAGTCAAGATGGAGGCAACAGGGCACAATTAATTTCACCACAAGATAGCGAAATATGAATATCTGAGAGTTTTGAAGTATATATTCATTTTAGTATCTCAAGTGCGTGTTAAAAAAAGACGAAAAATTTTATGATAGTAATGTATATAAATAAAAAAATAAAAATTTATGACTGAATTTTTTTTTATAATTCATGACTATATAACAATTAACTTTAAATTTTTATACTAATTAGAACATTGTATTGCAACTTATAACTATTTTTTCCTCATTTCTGTCTTCAATATTACATAAATGTGAGCTTTCATAGAATAACATTCTGTTTTAAAAATTGCGTTAGTCTTTAAGGAAGGTCCGCCAGTGCTTTATATAAAATAAAAGTAGTAAATCTTCTTCAAAATTATCCCATATGAAAAAGAAAAATTTAATATTATTTGGAGAAAAGACCCTTGCATCCTTGCATCACTTGCATGATTGATACAGTATAATAAAAGCAGAGCTGAAGCAGAGTTTGAATTCTGATTATATCAATGATCAAAATCAAACAAGGTCCACATCTGATGTTAATTGACTAAAATTAATTATTATTATTGTAATTCATGACATGACAGAGTATTATTCATTACTCGCATATGATTATACTCATCAAGAAATGCAGATAATAATTGAAATGAAAATCCACGATTAGATATGCGTCATTTTCAACTCCAGATTCATAAAGACGTTGGAGTTTAAGATGAGTGATAAAATTAACAGCTTGCAAATTTGATAATCGTCAGCATAATATCGCAGCAACTATGATTGACGCAAAAAGAGCGACCAACGTCTTTCCCCGGCAGCCCCTGATGCATATTGCATCCTCTAAAGAGGCAGCGATATAATATATATTATGTTGATATATTTTTATCGCTAAATATCTCTTTGCTTATCTAACAATAAGGGGTGCCTGGCATATATGACAAGGATCCTTCCCTTCCAGGCTCATTGTCAGTCATCCGAGAATGGCGAAACTGGTCGGCATATTAGGCAGGTCAGTCCTTGTCGACTGGGGCATCCTAGTGGCAGGTGCGCTTATCTCTAGCTGTTTTTATTTTTGAGCAGCCTTAAATATAAATCCTTAATCGCGTCTAATTAGTCTCTTCATTTTCACTTTCTTTTTAATCTAATAAATGTCACCTTCTAATTCTATGTATGTATGTTCTACAATATATTTCACTCTCCTTAAGAGGGACTCACCGTGATTCTGGTGCCGCTCTTGAACGTTCCTATTAATCGCGGGTTTTCCTGCTCGGACAATTCAATCCGCCTACCCTACCTAGAAGGTACCATTCCAACATGGGCACTTGGCGTCAGCTTTATCGTTGGAGGCCTAGCATTGGTATGTATAGTTTAGAATTTTCTATTTTAAACACCTAGTTGATTATAAGGGGAATTAAGTAAATTATCTTTTTCTTGTATTGACTGCAAATTTGAACTAAACAAGTTAATTTAAAGTGCGCAGTTTTTGAGTGCGCGCGGGAGCTCTCTGCTTTTTGTATCTCGCCCTCTGCACATCCAATCACTTTTTCACATTTTCTGAACATAGCAAGCAGATAGCAAGTTTACTAATCGATCTGATTAGCTATCATCACGCAATTATAATTACTATCTCACAGATTAAACCGCGTTTCATAGCAATATGGAATTGAGGCTCAATAGAGTTATCTTATTATTTTGTGAAAATCTCATTTTTAAAAATAATTTTGACTATACAGGAAGATATTCTCTTTTATCTTATTTAAGTCCAAATATCCCAATAATCTTAATTCAATTCAATACATAATAAGAATAAGTATTTGAATTGTTAAAATAATTTAATCAAAGTTTTTCTAGAAAATTTTAATTATAAAATATAATTGCAAAAAAGTGGCCTTCTTTTATCTTTAATTCAATAGCTTGAATTACATTCATGAATTACATAGCAGGAACGGCCGGAAATGACCACTTCTTTTTAAACCTATTACTTATTTCACCCTAAAATAAAATTAAAAGTTAGAAATTGAAAAAGAAAATATGTTTTTTTTATCCAGATGGTTTTACTTGAAATTTTCCTTTCAACCCCCGGTCCGAGTGGCATTCTGATAAGACGTCGCGACTTGCGAGTGTGGCTGGTTCAACTTTACTCGGTTGTAACCGCATTTCTTTGCGGCGCAGGATTCAGCCAAATAACCACCGATATTGGTAATTATGATTATAATAACGAAAGTGCACCAACCGTCTGAATTTTTACTCTAAATTTCAACAGCCAAATACCACATAGGAGCCCTGCGGCCGCACTTCTTTGACGTGTGCGAGCCTGATATCTTTTGCAATAGTGTAAAAGATCCGTTCGAGTATTTCAAATTCGGGTCTAGCTTTGTTGGAAATTATTATGAATGCGATGGTGGGATTCTATCCCGAATCAGAGAAGCCCGTTTATCTTTTCCTTCTGGACACGCCAGTTTATCCTTCTTTGTTTCCACCTATCTCATAGTGAGTATAACATTAATTATGAATTATGATAAAATTGATAATAGCAAATAATAATTGTAAAAAATATTTTAGTGAAAAAGCATTAATTTCATTACTTGAATATTTTTTTAAATAAAAATTTTAGGATTTAAAATATTCCAAAAAATTCCTTTTTAAGGAAAATAATTTAAATAATAAAACTATTTGAAAACAAAAAATAATTTAATTTTTTAATCTTTCCACTCTAGTTCTACCTCCAAAGCAGATTAAGGGAAGACGACCAAACACAGCGAACATTAGCGTGCTTCCTCTTTAGGCCGTTCGTTCAAGGGTTAGCTCTTTTGGCCGCGTGGTTCACAGCTGTGTCAAGGGTCATGGACAACATGAGCCACTGGAGAGATGTCATTGCTGGAAGTCTAATAGGAATAACTCCTGCCGTTTTGATTGTATTGCCTACCACAAAAAATTACTTATAGAATTTAAGGAGAAAATTTATTTTTCGCAGATTCAAAGCTTAAAACCATTCAGAGAGTTCCAAAAAATCCAAGTGGAGTCTTCGCTGCCCGTCACTGACGACATCAAAAGAAATTCAAATTGACGCATGAGCACATATTATTTTTCTCACTGCTCAACTCAATTTAATATTCGTTTATTTGCATAACTTAAAAGAAAACAGTTGCATACTTGTACACATAATTTAAATAAACGAACCGTCAAAGAGAAACAGTGCGTGAAGAATATTTTTTTCTTTTTTTGTATTATTTTTATTTCTTCTCTATGCAACCGGTGCGACAAAAGAGCGGAGAGGGTTGCACAGCTGCGCCGGTCGTTGGTTCCCATAGTAGATATAGAGAAAAAAAGACGATAGAGCGAGAGCAACAGATGGTCAGGTGGGCGCAAGTTGCTCTCTGTTGTCGTTGTGACACTCAAGGCTAGAGCAGGGGCGGAATGCGCGCTTTTAATTTCACTTTCATCTTTTCGGCCGTTGACCGCGCGCGCTACAGGAGAGAGAAATTACAATTTCCGAAGTCATGAGCGGAGACGATACCCGCGCGCACTTTCATCTCTGTCACGCGGGAGGAGGAGAGAGAGGGAGAAATTTTTTCGTAACCCACAGGCAGACTAAAAAATTTAATGTGCGATTGTAATTATGAGCGTCGCTAAAATTAGGAAATACACTGGAAAAAATGAACTCGTCGCCAATTAGAGGAATTCGCCTAATTGCCAAAGCACGCGGGAGATGCGATGGGGACCTTTGGTCTCTCACTAAAAAAGGCATCGGCAGAAGGTGAATTCAGGTCGCCCCTCCCTGGCGCGTCAGGTGGGGGAGTGACGTCAGCACCTGGCCGAGCCCTGCTCGCTCTTCGTAGTCTTCGTCGAGCTGCGAGCGAACATGGCCGCCACGTAAAATGTATCGCATGAATTTTTACGAATCGACGTGTCTGCGATGCCAGCAGACCGTCTACCAGGTGGACCGGGTGGGCCCTCTGAAGGACTTCAGCTTCTTCCACAGCGGGTGCTTCAAGTGCGCGGCGTGCGGCACCAAGTTGACCCTAAAGACCTACTTGAACAGTCAACACAGCCAGGATGACAAAGAGGTCTACTGCAGCAGTCACGTCCCAAAGAGCGGCCCCGGACACCTGGATGGCCAGGCCGTCGGCATCCGCTCGGCCCTCAACGTTCCGCGATCGTCGCCCGTTGTCAACGAGCAGATCCGCGGCTCAGGGCGCGCGGGCACCTTCGACGCAGAGGCTCTCAACATCCGGTCGCACCTGAGCAATGGGCATTCATATCACCAGAGCGGCGCCCTGGACGCGTCAACAGCCTCGGCGTCGTTGGCGGCCGCGGCCGCCGTGCACCACCACGAGTACGGCCGCTTCGACGCGAGCGCCCTGCACATCGCGCACGCCCTCAGGGCCACCGAAATCCAGAAGGCGTACAACAAGGCCCGCGAAAAGCCCATCGACTACTACCTGGTGAGTATCGCCTTTTTGGGGCCTGCGGGGCGGGGCTGCCGCGGCCCACGCGCGGCCCACGCCGCACCTGCCGTGCTCGCCTGACGTCACGCACTGGGTCGCCCTTTTTGCGCGCTCCACTAACGCTGCCAGGCCGACCTTGCCTGACCTCTGCCGAGCTGCATTCGAATACCGCGAGAATTTTTCGATGTGCAATAGAGAGGAACGGCGGCCGCGAGCAAATAAATAAATAAATGAATAAAAATATCAATGCAACAATGCTTTCTTTTCGCAGGACAAAGACGAGCAGACGCGGCTCGAGATGAAACACCGTAAGGAGGAAGATGACCTGTACAGAAAATTCGCGCGCCAACGAGAAGAGGAGGACAAACGGATGAAGGACGAAATCAGGGCAAGTTTTGGCTTTTGTGTATATATGGGTGTCGCTCTCTTTCGCGGTCGGCGGAACAGGATGGGTTTTGTTGTTAGTTTTTATTAGATTGACTTGCAAATAGCGCTGCAACGCAGGTTAAACGGGCCCCTTTAAATTAGGTATGTAATGCGCATATTTAAATATGCGGTTTAGCAGGCCGTAAAATTGCGGCGGGATATCATAAAAATATCGTTTTTAAATAAAATTTCAAATTTTTATTTCTGTGGTAAAGATTTTTTTAAAAAATATTTTAACACAAATTTATACAGCAATTGTATCGTTTATGTTTTTATTCCATTTTTTTTAATAATTTTTATTAAAAATAATTAAAATTTGATATTGATTTTTGATAATAGAAAAATTTAATAGATGACAAAAAAGGTCTTCTACTTAATTTTCAATGATAATTAGGAAATTAGGGTACTAATTTTATGACTCAATACTTAATTTGTTTAATATTAGAGCTAGAAGCTATGTCTGTTGAGCGCACAAGAGTTACTGTTAGTGACTTGAAAAACATTATTGATAAATCTCTAAAAATATCAATATGCATAATCATGATATGGATTTTATCAATCTATTAAAATTTAAACAGAAATACCTAGTAAACTCAAAATACATCTTTTTCTTTTGATCGTTTAAAATTATTTCAAGATATTTATTAAATTTAACGAATAATTATGAACATTTACTGGCCTTTCATAATTTAGGGATTGGGTAAAGAACTATATTAATAAAGCCCAGATACTATAATATAATATGTACATATGTTGATAATTTAGTATCACTTTAAGTCACGTGTATCATGAATTAACAATATCATCATCAATTATTTTGAAATTTTTCACCTTTTAGCATAAAAATTAAATTTATTTTGGTTCAATAGAAAGGCAGCTTCGCCCAACTTTGCCCCATGCAAAAACTCGTCCAAAAAATATTACCGTTTTGGATTTTGAAATATTCAACTGAAACCACCTATTTTCAGAAAAATATAAACAGGAGCTGTTAAATAATTCACTTAAAACAGGCAAAGACTAAAATTTTTATAAAAAATAATCCCATATTTGACCAAAGGTATGTGTACTGATAAAGGTTAGGAAACAAATATATTTACCGGGGGGGGGGGGGGGTGAGCTGTAAACATACCTCTAAATTAAAAAAAACTTATTTTGATCTTTTGAATTTCAGGAAGAATGGGAGAAGGAGCTAGAAGTTCTGACAACGCGCTTTGAGCGCGAAATCCGAGGCAGACGGCGCGCCGACGAGCACCGAGTGCTGACGCTGAAAATGCAGCAGGAACGCGACGACCTGGAGAAGAACATGACACTGCGGCGCGACAAGCGCAAGGAGAGTCTGACGCGGAAGTTGCTGGAGCACGAGCGGGCCGCGACGGCCGCCCTCGTCGAGAAGCAGAGTCGAGAGATGTTGGAGCTGATCAACGAGAAGCGCTCCGAGTACATGATGGCCGAGTCGCTGTACCTGGACGAGGGCGACGGCCTCACCGAGGGCACGCCACCCCTGCCCTACCCCAGCATCCCCCCGGCGGCGTGTCCGCCCGCCGTCCCCAAGTTCCAGCTCTACCAGGACCCCATCGAGTTCTCCGACATTGACCAGATCGCGATCTCGGTGGCCCAGGAGGACCAGAAGACCTTCACCGACTTGGTGCGCCAACTCGTTGGCCGCTGCGGCTCCGACGTTGAGAAGGCGAGGACCATTTTCAGGTCAGAATCTATTCCTTCAGCAGTAATAACCCTTATTTTTTGCAATTAACTAGGAAAACTAGTAAATTAAAAAAAAAACTTGAATTTAGGTTTCTTCCTGTTTTTTTTTTTTTTTTAAATCACCACCCCTTAAACAATCGTGAACATTTGCACGGTATTTTTAAACAAAAATTTTAATTATTGATAATATAATTTTAAGTATCTTTTTGTGAAAGAAAAACACCATCAAATGCCGATTTGAGTTATCACATCTCCTTTTTATTATCTGCATTGACGCCATTGACTAGTAACCCACATTTCTAGTTTGATAATGAATAAATCACATTTTATCACCAGAAGTTAAATAAATCTCACCAAAAATAACAAATTTTCAAGAAGAAAGCATAAAATATTATTGTCAAAAATAATAAACTTACAAAATGTTGATAAAAAAGACCATTTTTTTCATCTATTTGTCCTTTTTCTCCTTAAATAAATTGTTTCTCCATCAGCTATTATATTTTTCAATACAATGGAAAAGCTAACTAACTTGATGCAAATGCTAAAAATTAATTAATTAATTAATTATTTCTTTCAGTGAACATTTAAAATAAAATTATTTAAAAATGCTAAATTCTTTGCAGGTGGATTACGGTGAAAAACCTGAATACGATGACCTTCGACGACAACATGCGGGGCGACACGCCGATGGGTCTGCTGCGGGGCATCAAGCACGGCACCGAGAGTTACCACGTGTTGTTCAAGCGGCTGTGCTCGTACGCGGGTCTGCACTGCGTCGTGATCAAGGGCTACTCCAAGTCGGCCGGCTACCAGCCGGGGGTGCGTTTCGAGGACAACCGGTTCCGCAACTCGTGGAACGCCGTGTACGTGGCGGGCGCGTGGCGCTTCGTGCAGTGCAACTGGGGCGCCAGGCACCTGGTAAACGCCAAGGAGGCGCCGGCGCGCGGCAAGTCAGACGCGCTGCGCTACGAGTATGACGACCACTACTTCCTCACCGACCCTCGCGAGTTCATCTACGAGTTCTTCCCGCTGCAGCAGGAATGGCAGCTGCTCAAGAACCCCATCAGCCTCACCGACTTCGAGGAGCTGCCGTTCGTGCGCTCGCTCTTCTTCCGTTACGGCCTCTACTTCCCGGACAGGAATACCAAGGCGGTCATGGTCACCGACTCGACCGGCGCCGCCACCGTACGCATCGCCATGCCCGCGCACATGCAGCAGAGCCTCATATTTCATTACAACCTCAAGTTCTTCGACAGCGACGGCGACACTTACGACGCAGTCAGTCTCAAGAGATTTGTCATGCAAGTGAGTTCACTTTATTGAATTTTATTACTTTTTTCATTTAGTTTGGACCACAATTTTAAGAAATTATTATTGAGGGTGAAATAACACAGAAAAGGATTAAATAAAAATTGGCTAAATATTTTAGTTTTTGACCCATTTAATTCACGAAACGTCAAAATTATTCAATTCAAACAGAAAGGCCCATTTTTATACATTTTTTGGAAGTCTTTTTTCTTTTACCTCCTTCTTCAATCCATTGAATCGGTCAATGCTTATTTGAATTTTTAACTCTTTTAAATTACCATAAGTTTCATTAAAAGGTAGTTTGATTTATATTCTCCGCCCCTCCTGAATAAAGAATCCTGGTTAGATGGCCAGGTCAAAATTGTAATGCAAAACTTTCCGATTTCCTTATTTTTGAATTCAAAACTTCAAATGCAGTGACAATTTTTTTTTTTTTTTTTTGCTTATCTTTTCAATAATTTATATTTAAATCTTATCTGATCCGCCACATTTTTTTTGCTTCATTCCAGTGTAAAATTCCATTCAAATCTCTAATGCGAATCCTTAAAATAATTTATAATGTCCAAATAAAATGTTCCAATCAACCAGTAAACTTTTATTATTTTAAAGGGTATTTTTTTTTCATTATTATGTACTTGATAGTAAAAGTTCAAATTATTCTAATATATTTCTTTCTCTCATTTAATTTTTTTCTAGTCTGTTGTTGGAAACATCGTGGCATTCAGGGTACACGCGCCAAGGTCAGGCACCTTGTTGCTGGACATTTTTGCAAACGCTGTGACGCCGCGAGAGTACCTGACTGGCGAACCCATGAAATTCAAGAGCGTTTGCAAGTTCAGGATCGCCTGCGAGGAGCTGCAGACTGTGATGGTTCCTTTACCCGACTGTGCTAGTGGAGAATGGGGCCCAACAAAGGTCAGTGATTGATATTTTATCATTAAAAAATTTACTACAGTATTACGAATTTAATTTTTTATCTTTTATTTTATTAACAGAATTGATTTAATTTAATTTAATATTTCAATATAAAAAATATTTCGTCATAATATATGAAATAAAATTAAATTGTATAATATGATTTAATTATTTTGCAACTAAAATTGATTTGTTAATTTGCTATTTATTGCAGAAATAACAAATATTAAAAGTAAAACAAATTAAATAAATAAATTTACAACTCTTGTGCAATTAGCTGTATTTATTTATCAGAATAATGTAATTGTTGGCCTGCAAAGACAGGTGACATGTTTTTTTTTTTTATAAAACATTTATTAAAATAATTTACTTATTTAGTAAAAAAGACAAATATTTTCAAATTGCACAATTATTAAATATTTTAAAATATTAAATTTTTGTTCTGCTTCTAAACTTTCACATTTTTTATTAAATTGTTTAAATTTATGTTGTGGATCTTGTTTGCATAAATTAATTATTTTAATAGGCGACGCGCTTGTTTGGCCTGATACCGGTGACGCACCAGGACGCTCTAGTGTTCGCCGGCCGGGAGTTAGAGCTGCAGTTCCGCATGTCCCGGCCACTCACCGACTTCATGGCCACTCTGCACAAAAACGGCGTCGAGGAGAAAAAGCTGGGCCGCTACGTGGCGTACACGGTGACCGGCGACCTGGTGACCTTCAATATTTCGTTCCCCGAGGAGGGCCAGTACGGTCTGGATGTGTACACACGCGAGGGCCAGAGCACCGAGGGCGAAAAACACCTGCTGACCCACTGCTGCAAGTACCTCATCAACTCCTCCAAGAGGAATTAAAAAATTACGAGAAAAATAAACAATTTAAAATTAATTACGAAATTTACGAATAAAACGAGAAAAACACCGGAAACCAACTAAAAAGCGTAAAAGTAAAAATAAAAAAGTGAAGAAGAGAAATAAAAACTGACAACGATGACCGACCACTAACACACCCCTACTCTATTGCGATATATATTTTTTGTAAAATAATAGCTTTCTACATTGCTTATCATTGTTTATTATGATGAATAAAGAGTCTAATTTTATTTAACGGCACAAATAAACAAACGTGTATATCTACCGAGTGCATTAGTTTTCCTCGTCTATCTTGTGGCGTTTGATTGCACGGCGGGCCAGGCGCGTATTGATCTGAGGCTGGGGAGCTCTGGTTACTATAGCAGCGTACTACTGCCATTCACACAATGACGGGAGAGGGGAAGCGCCATCGATTGAGGCGTGCATCTTCTTCAGTTTCCTCTCCGGCCATCGCCAAACCGCACCGCCATGCAGTGACTGCTCGCCGATCCGTTTAAATATGACATTCGTAAGACATACGCAGACGGTATGCACTTTTTTCGTCGTTCTAACAGGTGAGCCGTTCCCGTCCCTCCGTCGGGGGCCCCTTTCAGGACCCGCGAATTTCTCCAGCGACCCCATTTTGGCGAGGGGCGTTGCCGGCGCAATTACGGGGGTGGAATCGTGATTTTAATTATTTGGGCCCGGTGGGCCGGCTGAACATATACGGGTGAATGTGTGTCAAGAGAGAGAGTGGAGGCATGCGCACTCGACCCCCCGAGCAATTCCAAATTGATATCGACCCGTGCCCAGCAATTTTTCTTCTGCAAAATGAAGGAATGATAATTAGCACCGGTCACGACATCCCCGGCGAATTGCGAAAATCCGTCTCTGGCACCCCGACCCTCTCCGCCCGAAATCGTTAAACGCGGCTTTATTCTTTCGAGGGAGGAGAAAAAAAATAATAAAAAAAAAAGAATCGAAGAAGCACCGGCATCCCCTTTGTTTACGAGTGCGTAAACCTGCACTCGAAACAAACTCTTGAGAGAGAGGGTCGAGTTTCATGACAGAAATGGATGGCGCCGATAAAAATTTAACGTGACACTTGACCCGGCGCGGACTAATTATTTATCATCTTTTTTTGCGGCAGTTTTGCGGCGAGCGATGGGACTGGAGCAGCAGGGCCCCCTGTTCCTGTTGGAGCCGCCGTCGCGGGTCGAGTTCTCCAACAGTTCGGGGGCGCATATCGACTGCTCGGCTCACGGCAGTCCACCTCTCAAAGTCGAGTGGCTTTTGGCCGACGGCAGCCCCGCCCTGCCGGTGCCCCGACTTAGGGTCCTGCACGCCAACGGCACCCTTGAGCTGCCACCCTTTGCCGCCGAGCGACTCCGGCATGACGTCCACTCGGCCCTGTACAGGTGCCGGGCGCGCAACCAGCTCGGCGAGATCATCAGCAGGGATGTGCACGTCCGCGCAGGTTGGTACCTATAACTTCGCCTGCTATTCCGCCGGTAGGCAACCGGCTCGCCACTCGTGTACAACAATAAGCCTATGTCGATCTCCATTCTCGAGACGAGAGAAAGACGAAGCGGGGGGCTCAAAAGGGGTACTTTCTTTTAGAAAAATCAATTTTTGTTGAAAACGCTTCAGTGGGAAAAGGGAAAAATCTTTTCTTCGCAGAATCTCTTAAATTAATTAAAATATGAAGGAGGAAACAAAAATACTTAAAGCTCTGCAAATGAGTTTGAATGAACTTTTATGGATTCCAGCTTATGTAAGAAAAGACGCGACCCCCGGGTCTAAAATTTCTACTTCCTTCATTGCTTTTTCCGCTCACAAAACTACGTGTGACCCACTAAACGTTTCTTAAATGAATGACATATTTTGCTAAACTATTTTATGTTTAAATAAAAATGGAATCATTTAGTTGCAAATTTAAAAAACAACATTGAAATTGATTGAACAATGAATTTCAGGAAAGCCATGGATTGGTCAAAGCAAATAAAAAAAAAATGTACGAAAATTCGAGATCAGAATAGTCTAAATTATGTTGCAGTTTTTGCGATTATTAATGAGATTACAAGTTATGTTATGCTGAGAAAAACAAGAAAAAGTCAAATTTAATCATGCAACAAACGATTTATTCGATTCATTAGATGATATTAAGAATATCATACAGATTAGGCCAGTAAAACTACCATTTCTTTTTTTATTTCTAAAGTAACTAATTGATTTTGAACAGTTTGGGAAGAATTTCAAGTTCATAAAATTTTAAAGCAATATCAATTTTTTTTTTCAGGTAATATAAAGTTTTGATTTTTATGTTTTATAGTGTTTTTGCTTTGTGCAGAAAAAGCCTGCAGGTGATTCCCCATATCAAATCTGGGATTAAAATTGTTGTTATGGGTCCCCTTTGATCAATTTCAAAACATCAATCCATTTCAGCTAAAAAGTTAGCCACAGCCTATTATTCTCTTTTTAACTTTAAAAAAGGCTAAACCTTTAACAAAAATATGCATTTTAGGATTAATGGTTATGTTTAAACACATTCTGAAAATATTTTACTTATAATTAATATACTTCACTTCAAAACTTAAAAAAAAAATCAGAAATTAGTTTGATTTGCAAGTTTATTATCTAAAAAGGAATAATTCGGATAAAAATTGTTCAAAACCTTTTTCCAATGTTGATTATACACAGTTTTATTTAAACAATAAAATATATTTTCTCATTTTCATTGTTTGGAAAAACTCATTTAATGTAAATGAGATGGAAATTTAAAAACAAAATATGAAGATGAACTTTGTCAAAATTTAATTACTATGAACTTTATATTTCAAATAACAAAATTATAGTCCCCCCCCCACGAAACCCAATTCAAAATTTTATTGTTAAATTTCACTGATTTTCAAATTTAAAAATTCCGCAGTCGTTCAGCAGCAGTACGAAATGCAGGTGTACGATGAATACGTCATCAGCGGCAACACCGCCGTGCTGCGATGCCAGATACCGAGCTACGTGGCCGACTACGTGATGGTGACCTCGTGGCTGCAGGACGGCAGCGTCAATATCTACCCGAATACGGACACAGGTGGCAAGTACGCGGTGCTGGGCGACCTGTACGTGTACAACGCAGGTCCGAGCGACGCGTACAAGAGTTACGCGTGTCGCTCGGTGCACCGGCTGACAGGGGAGGTTCAGTCCAGTGCGTACCCCGGACGCATTGTCATCTCGGAGCCCAAGGGCAACGAACCGCCGCGCATCACCGTCGAAAAGCACTCGAGCAAGCACGTCAAAGTGGGCGACGATGTGACGCTGGCGTGCGTAGCCCAGGGTTACCCCGTGCCAAGCTACAGGTGGTACCGCGAGGACAGGGAGCAGCTGCTGCCCATCGCCGTCAGCGAAAGGCTCAACCTTGTCGCCCCAGGGCTGCTCAGAATTTCAAAGGTCAGTTCGGGTTCTTCTAAATTAGTTAATAATTTTTTTATGAAAAAATAAATCTTATAGTTTTGGGCTTGGCCTGCAACCCTCTAGCATAATTAAAAAATATATAAAAACAAAAATCAGCAAAATTTTATATAAAACAATATCACAAATCACAAAAAAAAAATGTAAATTAAAAAAAAATCCAATAAGTATTATTTTGTAATAATCTTTTACTATAAAAAGCTCCAACTTTCGTAGGGAAATATTTCCCAATATTTTCAATTTGCTTCTGTGAGTTTGTGGTTTTTTTTTTAATTTTTGTATAGAGTTGCGTCGTGTTTGCGTTGTTCAGTGTATTCAAGTTTCCGTTTTAATTTTCCAAAAGAAATTTTAACGGATTCAGAAACTGAGCGAGGAATCCAATGCTCGGAAAACGAATGAAAATGTCCAAATCCTAGTAATATTCAGAGTGTTGCCGTTTGTCTAAATTTTTGAGATCTAATTGGAAAAACTAATTATTTTGGAAACAGAAATCCAAATCTGTTTTAAAAGAATTAATTAATTTCTAATTGGCATTATTTTTTTTAATGGGACCCACTTTTGGCATGGGGTCGGCGGATCTTGTTGAAAATTGGTAGTTTGGTTGCCCTTAGGTTGTAGACAAATAGTTTAGAAGGATTTTTGAAAATTCTCAAAATTGCCTATTTTACAGGGGCTCAAAGTTGGGGATTTAAAAAAAAGGTGTTTTCGAAAATCAAAAATATCTCAGCTCCTGCTGCAGATAGCGCATGTGTGTATATAAACAAAGTTGTAGGAAATTAGACGCCCTACAACTTTGCAATAGTAACCAAGGTCATAGGTCAAAGTTCAGGGTCAACTTTTTAAGCTTGAATTTTTTGATGCGCCACCAAAGTACCTAGTACATAAAAATTTTTGATTCCATTATAGCCAAAAGTTGCTCTAGTTGGTAGTCAACAACATATTAAAAATTGGCGAGACTGTTTTTTTCCGTTTTCGAGATATTTCAGGTCAAACGCAGAAAAACGTGGTTTTCCGAGCATTTTCCTACACAAATCAACATTTAACCGCCCGTAACTTTTTTCCTGCTAAAGTTACGCAAAAATGTATAATAACAAAAAATGATTGCCTTGACCTGTTCTTTCAAACCATGTATCGCACATAGTGACCAGGTCACAAAAGGTCATTGACCTCGGTGACCTGTGACCTTGCAAGTGCAAACCTGAATTTCAGATACTCTAATGTTTCTTTTCATTGAGGTGAAACATTTCCAGCAAATATTTTTGGAAAGGTCACAGGTCTCCGAGGTCAATGACCTTTTGTGACCTGGTCACTATGTGCGATACATGGTTTGAAAGAACAGGTCAAGGCAATCATTTTTTGTTATTATACATTTTTGCGTAACTTTAGCAGGAAAAAAGTTACGGGCGGTTAAATGTTGATTTGTGTAGGAAAATGCTCGGAAAACCACGTTTTTCTGCTTTTGACCTAAAATATCTCGAAAACAGAAAAAAACAGTCTCGCCAATTTTTAATATGTTGTTGACTACCAACTAGAGCAACTTTTGGCTATAATGGAATCAAAAATTTTTATGTACTAGGTACTTTGGTGGCGCATCAAAAAATTCAAGCTTAAAAAGTTGACCCTGAACTTTGACCTATGACCTTGGTTACTATTGCAAAGTTGTAGGGCGTCTAATTTCCTACAACTTTGTTTATATACACACATGCGCTATCTGCAGCAGGAGCTGAGATATTTTTGATTTTCGAAAACACCTTTTTTAAAAATTCCCAACTTTGAGCCCCTGTAAAATAGGCAATTTTGAGAATTTTCAAAAATCCTTCTAAACTATTTGTCTACACCCTAAGGGCAACCAAACTACCAATTTTCAACAAGATCCGCCGACCCCATGCCAAAAGTGGGTCCCATTAAAAAAAATAATGCCAATTAAAAGTTGAAATTTGGACATTTTATTTTGTTTTCTGAGCATTGGTTTTCTCGCTCAGGCTTTGAATCCACGTTAAGATTTCTTTTGAAAAATTTCCCAATAAACAGCTGCGGCTTACAATTGCATTTTAGAGGTTTAATTTAAAATAGTTGACATTATACACATAGCTTTTCCTTGTTCAACAAGGCTTGTTGAAAAAATGCTTGCATTATTTATTGAAAAATAAACAGCTCACTAGTTGTTGTGGCTTCTTTCTGCAGCCCTGTAAGACCAGTTTTCTAGTTCATTTTTTTTCTTATTAAATGAAATAGGAGCTGCCGACTAAAGCCAAAACTATTCTAGCTATTTTGTCCTTTATTTTTTTTGAAAAGCCCTGTTCTTCGTTTTGATAAAGTTTAATTTCCTCAATTAAATTGTCATTTTTTGTAAATTTTTGCTCTTCCATAGATTTTTTCGAATATTAATTGTAGTATTTAAGAAGAATGAATTTTATTGAACTAAAAATTAAATTTGGAAATTTCGCAATTGGTGTAGATCCGCTTGGAGGATCGTGGCAAGTATTTGTGTTGGGTCAACAACTCTGCTGGCGAAGAGACAGTGCAAGTGGCGCTGACGGTGACGGCGCCGTTGTCGGTGCACGTGCAGCCGCAGCACCAGGTGGTCGACGTGGGCAAGTCGGCCGTCTTCCAGTGCATCCCAGGCGGCAACCCCGCATCGCAGATCTTGTGGCTGCGCAACGGAAGGCCGTTGGCTGCGGACGCGCGCTTCGACATGTCGCGCCGCGAGACGCTGACCATCCGCCCTGTGCAGAAGGATGACCACGGCATGTACCAGTGCTTTGTTTCCAACGAGTGGGATCAGGCCCAGGCCACGGCCCAGCTGCTGCTCGGCGACGCCAGTCCCGAACTTGTCTACTGGTTCTCCGAGCAGACCTTGCAGCCGGGCCCTGCCGTATCCCTCAAGTGCGTCGCCACCGGCAACCCCCCACCCCAGTTTGTGTGGACGCTCGACGGCTTTCCGGTCCCTGATAATAATAGGTAGGACTACAATCACCTTGATTTAGGTGTAATTTTACAAATCAAATTTAAAAATCGGAATTTACCAAAGACTGGTAAATAAAAGCCTAAAAAAAATAGAAAATTTTATTTTGCGCATTGTTCAAAATGTTTGGTACTACCATTAGTTCTTTTGGAATTTTTCTTAAAAATTAATGTCTTGGGCTTCATGAATTATTTTTACTTTAAAATAATGAACCGTTTTTTGTGAAAATTTGCAGATCTACAATTTTACTTTGATATTGTCAGACAATATTTAGTTCAAATTTCAATATATAAACTTTCATCAAATGACTTCTTTGAAAACTACATGTTGAATTGAAACAGCAATAATATTCTAGTTGGAGAAAAGGAAGAATTTATCAGAAAGGCAAATAAAATTATGAAAACTTTATCATTTGAATTCCATACACTTTTATCCGCTGAACTTCAGAATTCCATGATAGATTTCATATATTTGTTGCGATTAATATCAAATGAAATAATTTTATAATGTTTATTTAGGACGATATAAATATTATTTTGTTTTTTTTTTAATAAAAGAAGCATGACTGAAATAAATAATGAGATTTTGGGAAATAAAATTAAAAAATTGTCTTCAAATTTTAGCTTGGAATGCTGTATCTATCCCTATTTTCTAGTTATTATTTTTATTATCCAATTATACTTTTGTGTTGCCCTATTATGGGTTAAATTTGCCATTACTTCCAAGTACCTCTTCAGAATCTCATTAAAGATGTCATCAACTTTCATGGCTCTCTATACCCAATCTTTATATGAAAGAACCTAATTTCCGATCGATCATAAATTGGACGAGTACATGAGAGCGTTGTGTTCTAATTTTAGGTTTCTCGTGGGTCAATATGTGACCGTGCACGACGACGTAATCAGCCACGTGAACATCTCAAGTTTGAGGGAGGAGGATGGCGGAGAATACACGTGCACGGCACGCAATGCGGTCGCGCAGGTGTCGCACAGCGCTCGCATCAACGTCTACGGACTGCCCTTCATACGGCCCATGCCGCGCATCACGGCCGTCGCCGGATCCGACCTCATTGTCAAGTGCCCGGTTGCCGGCCACCCCATCGAATCGATCTCGTGGGAAAGAGGTGCGTCACTAATTTATTAAAACTTTGATCGTCTACCTGCGAATTTAATATTATTGATTTTTCTCTCAAAAAAATCTTGAATCCATTGACAATACAAATTCATTAGTTGAGATTATGTTTTTTTTTTCATTTATTAAAAAACAAAGCTTTTTTATGACTTTTTAAGCCATGATGAAAAGACAATTAAAAAAATTATATAATTGAAATTCTCCGTGCATTGTTTGCATTACCAGTTATAATTCCACCAGCAAACCTAGTTTTAGATTTTTTTTATATAAATTCATAAATGTTTAATTGATATTTTTATTCTTAGTAGAAATTCATATTTTATTAAAATGTTATTTACGGCATAATTTTATTTTTTTCAATTTTTTTTTTACCAGCCATATTAATAAAATTATCTTAATTTATTACTTTGAAGATTAATTTAAATGAATTAACTTCAGTGAAGTTTATTTACATTTTCATAAAATAAAATGATTTGAGCTCATTTAAAAAAAACCGGTGCAGATAAACTTTTAATTGTATCCGTTTTGTGTGCAAACATAACAGACGGAGCCGTTTTGCCGGTGAACCGCAGACAAAGGGTGTACCCGAACGGAACCCTGGTGATCGAGCACGCACAACGACCAGCCGACGCAGGGACGTACACATGCCAGGCGCAGAACCGCCAGAAGCACACGGCGCGCCGCGACGTCGAGGTTCAAGTGCTGGGTAAGTGGCTCGGCATAACTTTTAGGCAACCCGCTGCGCATGATTGCGCGCTAGATTGCATAACCCCAATTCCGTAGGCGCTTCGAAATCTATAATGAAAAGCAGCCGCATACACATACATGATTTGAAGAGTTGGGTTAAAAGTCGAGAGACCCCCTGATGGGATCGCGCGATCTAATCGACCTCTGCCGACCAACGCCCTTTTTATTTCTCATTTCCCGACAAGAGTTTTCCAATTAATAGTAACTAGAGATAAAAAATTGAATAAAAAAAAATCTTATTCCCTTTCGTATATTTACTAATTTATGACATTTACTAGAAAAGATAGAGTTGGGTTTACTTAGTTTACTATTATGTTGAAGAGTAGATGTACATTCCATTTTAATTATTATGTATTGTTGAATAACTATTATTATTATTATTATTATTTTATTTTTATTATTAATATTATAATAATTACAGAACTGAATCATTGAAAATTTTATTATTGATTGACTTCAAGAAACTAAACAATTTGCATTTTCCCTTTGTTTTTTATTTTCGTCTGACACAAAATCAAAATTTATTTTTCATTCCTCAATTATTTTTTTGCAGTTCCGCCAAAAATTCTTCCTATACAAGCAATGACGAATTTACTGCGCGAAGGGATGCGTGCCGCGATATCGTGCCAAATTATTGAAGGAGACCTGCCGGTGACCTTCAGGTGGGAACGCAACGGCCACCCTCTTCCGTCGCCGGGGCTGGCGGCCATCGCCCGCCGTCTCGACGAGTACTCCACTTCCCTTGTGATCGAAAGAATATCTTCAGCGCACAGCGGCGACTACACGTGTATCGCGCAAAACGTCGCCGGCACAGTCAGCTTCACGGTGCCACTCACCGTCAATGGTAATGAAACAAATTGACAAATATGAAACCTTCAGATATCAATTTTAATCGAAAAATCATAAATTAATACACATTTATTAATATCAGCAATAAAAAGTATTTTGAAATATTTGAATAAGAGCCAAATATTGATTTAAAAATTTAAAAAATTCATTTTTCACAAAAAAAAATGCAATAAAACTGAACTAAATATTTGTTTAAATTTGGTTCGGTTATCACCAGTGTTGTGCTTTGTGCTAATTACTTTTGTCAAAATTTAAATTCATTATGTAATTTATGATTTTTCTTGATCGTATTCCTTTGGTAGTGAATTTGTATTTTGGCTTGGTAATGATTGTTGTCTTTTTTTTATAAGTTCCTCCTCGGTGGGTGATCGAGCCAAGCGATTCAAGTGTTGCGTCAGGAAACGATGTGGTTCTCAACTGCCAAGCCGACGGCTATCCCGTGCCAAATGTCACTTGGAGGAAGGCTGATGGCACAAATCCAGGCGAATACAAAGATTTTTTATTCGAGCCTAACGTCAAATTTTACAAAAATGGATCACTCGAGTTCACGCATATTGGCAAAGAGAGTGAAGGGCAGTATGTGTGCGAGGCCAAAAACGAGATTGGCACCGGCGTCAGCAAAGTCGTCTTCCTCAAAGTTAATGGTAAGTGTATTAATCATTCCTATTATGATTTTTGAAATTAAAAATAGAATGTAAGAATTTTACAATACAATTAAAGATTTTATTATTTAAAAATTAAAGGACCGATATTTTTGCCGAATTAAATTTTATATAAATAAATTTTTAATTATTTTTCCTTTTTTTAATTAATGTATTAATTAAATAAGATTAAGGTAAACAGAAAATTTTCATTTTTCTAAATAATAAACCAAATAATTTTAATAAATTTTTTATTTCAGTAATATTTCATCATCACAGTTGTTTTGATCACAGAATAAAAATATAAAATTTTAGAATAATTATGAAAATTAAGTCAAGCACCTTAACTTCCTGTAATCTTGCAGGTTTAAAAATTTTAAAATATGCATTCTAAATACAATTTAATTTCATTGTGTTTATTCATTTATTTACAATTTTTTTTAATTTTAGCACGGAAAATCTACTGGCTTAATACATACATAAGAGTTAAAATTTGAATATGTTTGTTTTTGCGGAGCAGCTCCAGCTCACTTTCTGCAAAAGAGCAAACAGATCCAAGTGGTGAAGGGCGAGCAGGCGCACCTGCAGTGCAGCGCCCTGGGCGACAACCCGATGGAAATCGTGTGGCGCGTAAGCGGGCAGCGGGTGGCGGACGCGCGGTACACGACGCGAGAACAGCTGCTGGACGAGGGCATGGTGTCCGAGCTGGGCATCAGCCACACGTACCGCCACGACACGGGCGTCTTCTCGTGTCACGCGAGCAATTCGTACGGCCAGGACGAGATGAGCATTCAGCTGATCGTGCAGGAGGTGCCCGAGGCGCCCAAGAACATCCGCGTCAGCGACCAGCAGTCGCGCTCCCTCCAACTCTCCTGGTCGCAGCCCTACGCCGGCAACAGCCCCCTCACCGGCTACCTTGTCCAGTACAAACTCGTTTCAGACACGTGGACCTCCCAGCCGCTCAAACTGGCCGTGCCCGCTTCACAGACCACGGCCACCGTGCAGAACCTGAGTCCGGCCACGTCATATCACTTCCGCATTTTGGCCGAGAACAGACTCGGCCTCGGCGAACCCGGAGAGGTGATTCAAGTCACAACTCAGGAGGAAGGTAAGAATTTTCAGAAACTTTATTTCAGACAAGTGCAATTATATATATAATTTTACAGTCCTCGAATTTAAATATTTCAGTTCTCGTGATTTAAACTATCTAATTCATTGTTTTATAATTTGGAGAAGCTATTAACTTTTTATCTTTTATTAATTGTCTGAAATATATGTAAATAAAAATTCAACCCTCATTCTCTAAATATTAGAAGGTGATATATTTTGCTACTTTTGATAGATTTGCAAATACACATAATTGAGCAGTTATATATAGAGGACAGCAGATATTTTCCACACTTGAAAATTGCTGAAAGTTTTTGATGGAGGGAAGCAAAGAAAAATATCTGCTCTCCTCAGTACTAGCAGATCACACTGTAACCTATACGGTCAGTTAATTATTTTCATCGAGGTTATGGCCGGTTTCAATTTTTGAACATAAAATTAATTATTTGTAAAATTTTACCACTAAATGTTTCAATATAATATTGTATATTTTAACAATATTTCCTAGCAAACAAGTAAAAGTGACAATAAAAATAATTTATGATGAAAAACGGTCTACGCATTGAAACGAATTGACTCACAAAAAACATTTAAACTTTTAACATAATTAAATATTTAAATATTCTTAAGTATTTTTAAGTTTTTTTTCACTCAAACATTCAAATTTGAATAAAACAAACAAACGTTATTGATTTGAATATTCTGAATGGTATCAAAAATTTATTACAATGCATTTAATGATTATTAAAATTTATTTTGTGGATCCCTCTTGTAAAATAATTTCAACCTTTTCTGATACTTATTTATTTTTTTATACTCTTTATTTTTTAATTTTCCGTTTCAGTACTCGTTTGGTATTCTGTTGATAATAAATTTAAAATTTATTAAAGATCAAGACCCAGATGGCGCCGATGCAATTTTTAAAAGTCTGAACAATATTATTAAGTGGATGAACACAAAAACTATATCGGCAAACCCAGAGAGGCCGTTAAACTTTAAGCAAGGGTGCCATAAAATTAAGCCCCGGATGTATATTTACTTAAACCCTGTATCGACGGTGTAATAAAAATAAAACTTGCCTCAGTCCCCAGCGGGCCGCCGCAAGACGTGCGCGCCGAGGCGCAGAGTTCGACGGAGTTGTTGGTCTCTTGGGAGCCGCCGGCGCGCGACAAATGGAACGGCAACATCCTGGGCTACTACGTCGGCTTCAGGTCGGCCGCCGACGCGCAGGTGCCGTCGCCCGCCCCCGGCGGCTTCAGCTTCAAGACGGTGGAGGCGGGCTCGGGCGCCAGGGTCGTCCTGCCGGGCCTTGCGCGCTATTCCACCTACCACGTGGTCGTGCAGGCGTACAACAGCAAGGGCGCCGGACCAGCCTCCGAACCGGTCGCCGCCCGCACCATGGAGGATGGTACGTTTTTTTTTATTTTCGTTTCATGTGCAAAAATTCACTCTCGCACCAAATTGGTTTACTAGTGATCGTGTTTAACACAAAAGTTTAGTCCTAATGAGTCCAATTACAGGTATAAAAATTTCTTAAAAACAGCCACGTTTTTCAAAAAGTTTTGGCTTTTAACATTAAACAAGGAAATTCTATTTTCTTATAGCAAAAACTTTCAATTTGCTAGATGGCAAAGATTCTAAAATATGATACCATTTCCATCTTTAATGGTTTCATTTTTATTTTCAAGTGTTTAATAATATTTTTCGTCAGCGCCGAGCATGCCGCCGGAAAACGTGCGTTGCCAAAAGTCAACGTCGCAGAGCATCGATGTTACCTGGGAACCGCCACCAATGGAGGGACGAAATGGAATTGTCCAGGGGTACAAAGTGACGCACCAAGCAGTCGATGAGTGGTTTGGTGAGTTTTATGTTGAAAATTTTAAATTGAATAATTATACAGTGATTTTGGTTGAATTTGGCAATATTTTAAAAATTATTTCTCAATTATACTTTACGATAGTTTGATTCAATTCAAGATTAAAATTTTATAATAAAATGATTTAGCAACTAATTCCCTTGGAAAAATTAGTAATTTTTTTATTAATTCTAATGCATAATATGTTAACAAAAAAATTTTTTTAATTCTTTTATTTTAATTATTTTCTAGAGGTTTCCAAACGGTTCACTTAGTATTGGGCAAACTGGATTATTTAATGAAATTCTGCTTTCATTTGCCAGTTTTTTCACCAATTATGCATTATGTTTAAGCAGGAGGAAAATATGGAAGCACTTCTTATTTTATATTTCTATATAGTGAACTTCATTATAAATATTATTGCTGTATATATTTTTTCCAATTTTTACAGTGATTAAATTTCAAAGTTTTTAAACATAGAAAAGTTTTCTTGTGGCAATATTGATCTTGATCCATCCCCTAAAAAGATTTTTACAAAAAAGCTATAGAGCCTCACTACTGATTAAGTTTGTAGGAAAGTTTTCAACTTGCAAACTGGTTGCAGATGGCGAAGGAGCGGAGACCAAAGTGACAAGTTCGCTAAAAACCGCTTTGCAAAGTCTGTCAAAGTTCACAAACTACAGCGTCTCTGTGCTCGCGTTCACTGCCGGTGGAGATGGCGTCAGGAGCGACCCGCTTCTCTGCCGAACAGAGGAAGACGGTATTTTTTCCCCAAAACAATTTGAAATAAATTTTAATTTTTATATCTGAGCAGTCCCATCGGCACCAGGCGGAATCAAGGCGGTGGTCAGTGCGCCAAACAAAATTTTCATCGCTTGGCTTCCGCCGCCCGAACCAAACGGCGCCCTCGTGGGCTACACTCTGCACATATCCGAGGAAGGGATGGACAGTCCTCGGAAGAAGCTGCTAAATTCAGGCACGGAAAGTCATGAATTGGTGCGTGACGACTCCACCATGAAGTTTTGGCTCACGGCTTCCACATCCATTGGTGAGGGAGAGCCGACGAAGACGGTCATAGTGCCACCCTCTACAAAAGGTATGCAAAAATTTGGTCTCAATTCCATGTTTCACCTGCAAGTCTGTAATAAATATCAAATGGGTTTAAAAAAAATTGAATTCATATCTGTTAAATATTTTCAATGTTTAATATTAAAATTTAAAAAAGTGTTTTCCAAGGATCTTTTTTTAAATTATGTAACTTTAATACACTGCAATTTACACTTTTCGTTTCAATTTGATTTTCAACATCAATATGATTGAATTGTTGAGCAGTACCTGCTCGAATCGTGTCCTTTGGACGAGAAATCGCGACCGCGTGGAAACAGGACCTGCAGCTGCCGTGCAAACGGGTTGGGGTGCCAAGTCCGCAGGGGTCGTGGCGCCTGCGAGGTCGCACCCTTGAGACCGGCGGCCGTAAGCAAATCAACAAGGACGGCTCGCTCACAATTAGAGACGTGCAAAGCACCGACGAGGGCAATTACACGTGCAAAGTGGAGAACACGCTGGGCACCGACGAGATCTCCTACTTGGTCAAAGTCAGAGGTGAGAATTTCACTTTTCTTGCTGCAAATATTTCACGAGAAAAAGTAATTTTGGATAGTAAAAAACAGAGAAAATTGATTTTCTTTTAAACTATTTCAAACTTCGTTCTAAATTTCGTAGAAAGCTGTTTTCCCTTTCTTTAATTCTTTTTTGTTTGTTCTAGTTTCCTTTATGTCGTCTTTAAAAGAAATTATATTGTGATATTGAAAGCCTAAAACATGAGCGCTTGCTTTGCCTGTGCATTTGGTGTCCTGTATGTTACTTAAAAATATTAAATAAACAAGTTTTAATTAATTTTTAAATGTATTATTTTATCTTTTTTTTTTACTTTTTGTAGATTCGGCTGAAAATTTATATTTCCAATTTTTACAAAAACATTTTAAATTGCATTTTTTGTCTAAAAAGAGTAAAGAACTATAAATTAATTTAGCGTAGATCTTTTAAATTTAAATAAATAATTTTGTTCATTGAAATACAGTATATATTCTAGTTCAACCTCTCTCTTCATCAAACTAACTTGCTCTCTGAACGACAAGACAAGTGCTTTTGTTTTCGCCTCTCGAAATTAACTATACTTAGTGGTCGGGCAAGTTGAAAGCCCCATGGCACATAAAGTTAATGAAATTTTTCGTTGAATTGGACGCAGTGCCGCCCGAGCCGCCCGTCTTGTCAGTGGTCGGCGCCCAAGTGGACGGTCTGCAGCTGCAGTGGAGCAGCAAAAAGAACGGGGGCAGCGCGATTCTAGGCTACGTTGTAAACTACAAGCGGGATTACGGCGACTGGGAGGAGTTGCAGATCGAAAGCAACGTCGAGTCGCACCTTCTGCGCGGCCTGTGGTGCGGCACCCACTACCAACTCTACGTCACGGCCTACAACCGAATCGGCACCGGCTTGCCAAGCGACATCGTCAGCGCCACCACCAAGGGCTCAAGTGAGTGCAATTAACCCTTAAAACTTTGCCCCAAGTTTGCCACACATTAAACCTTTAAAGTATTATTTTTGACAAATGGAAAAAATTAATATTAATGAAAAGTTTGGTTATTAATAAAGATCATAATTGAGGGATTTATTTAAATATAAAAACCGTTTCCAGTTAAAAATGCAAGATAATTTTATCCAAATTAAGTCATTCATAAAATTTGAACCCTGCAATCTAAAATTTCACTTAACTACACAAACTTAAGGTACCACTCCACAGCTCGAAATTTTTACACAAAAATGACACGCATAACTTACAAAAAAATAATAATTTAAACTTCTCTTTATTTCCAGGGTAATTATTTTTTTTTCTAATTAAAGATATTCCATATTTCTAATGTTTCGATTTTTTTTTATAAAAAGTTTCCAATTTTCTAAAAATTCTATTTGCGGGCTCAAATTGGCTTTTTAAAACTTCCTTATTATATTTTTTTTATTTATTTTTATTGTTAATATTATTATGAAATTTTGCAGCCCCCATCAAGCCGACGTCCGCTCAACTGATAACGAGCAACGCGACGGTGGTGACGCTGTGGCTGGACACATGGGCTGACGGCGGCTGTCCGATTTTGTACTTCAGCGTGGACTACCGCGAGTGGCGCGCGTCCGACTGGCTGCTCGCGTCGGCCAACGTGCAGCCCTCGGAGCGAGTCTTCAGCATTGCCGAGCTGCGCCCAGCCCTGCGATACGCAATCAGAGTGACGGCCTACAATAACGCGGGGTCCACCCAAGCCACTTACAACGTCACAATGGCCCCGCAAGGAGGTATGTTTTGTCTCATTTAATTAAAAAACTGACTGAAAAAATGGACTGAAAAATTTTACAAATCAAAGTTTGTGAGCATATTTTTAAGCAAACAATTTTAACTATTGATAATTTATAAATTTTAACTTCCCATCTCATAAATCTCATAAAACATATTTTAGAATAATTTTAAGTTTTATTAAAATTAATTTTTTAATTGCTTTTTTAATTTTAGTCTTCACTTGACTGATTTCATATTTTATTCAGTAATTCTTATACAATATTATTAATTTGTGCATTTTTTTTATATAAGGTGCAGAGATACAGAAGCATGATTAGGCTGGAGAATATAATAAATGATGTTCAATTTAATATTACTTACTTTTAAAAAGGCTGCTTGTTTTAAATAAAATATGATAATATTTCCAGTTTGATGAAGTATATTTACTTTATGCTCTTTTGTAAAATTTTTCAAACAAAAAAAAATGGTAATTTCCTTTGGCTTTTTGCCATATTTTTTAATTGGAATGATTGATTAGTCTCCGGAGTACCTGATGAGCCTGCGCCTACAGAGCACCTTGACCATGTGCCTTTTTACGCCAATGCCGCAGTAATAGTGTCAGTCATAATAGCCCTGATATTCCTCCTCGCTCTTTTCGTAGTCTCCTGGTTCCTAGTTTTGAAAAAGAGTAAGTCTGAAAATCTTCTCGCAAAAATCGTCAAAATATTTAATTTTAAACTATACTAAAAAGGAAACATGAACGCCCAGGCGGCGCAACTTGGCGAGTCGCCGTCGCTGGCGCAGCTGCAGAACCAACAGAACAGGGACCAACAGTACCTGGCAGTGCGGGTCGCGCACCAGGGCCTGGAAACCGCTTCGTACAAGACGCAGGATTCTGCAGGTCAGTAAAAAACTCCAATTTTAATTTTCAATTGGTTAACATCTTAACTTTTGATATAGCAATTTATCAAAATTCTTTTTTAATTGCTAAATTTAATATAATTAATCTTAATAATCTTGCATCTGAAAGGTTTGCTTTTCAGTCTGCATTTTCAGTCAACATACCCACTCACTTACTTTTTGAAAGAAAAAAATCAGTAAAAATAGTATTTTTTATTAAATTCAAATTACTTTTATCTTCTGCGTTTGGAAAAATCTTTTATAAATATTTTTTTTTTTTACTTACGATAAAATTAATTTTAAATACCGTATTTATTAGAGAAGCCAAAAATATATTTTAGAGGGGTAAGTTGAACAGTATTTAGCCCTGTTCACTTGGAGAATGAATTAAAATTTAAATATTTGAGTAATGGATTGAACAATGCGTTAAATTGGGTTGCTCAATAATATTTCATCAAAGCTTTTTTTTATTTTACAGAGGACATTTGCCCATACGCCACATTCCAACTGGCTAAGAACCCTTACGGCGAGAGCACCTACAGTGGAAACGTGTACAGTGGACCCTACCACTCGGTCCAGGGCTCCTTCGTCTACCATGACCTCAAGGCTGGAGACACTTACAAAAGCAGACATGTACGTTTTCCAATCATTCAGCCTTAAAGTTACTCCAAACGTAACTTTTAGAAACTAAATTAAGAGAAATAAGGAAATATATATATAATATTATATAATCCAACCATGAGCAAAATTCTAGAAAAATATAATATATATTTTAGAAACCTAAAAAGAACAGTTTATATAAAAAAAATCTTGCAACTATTTATATTTTCATTAAAATCCATTTCCGGTAACTTTTTCCAAAACTAAGCATTAATTGTGAAAATCCTTGTTTTTCGAAAAATTTTCTGTTCATTTTTAAGATTAATTCAATTAACTCCGAGTTTCTAATAAAAAATATTTGGAAATTTTTAAACAGTATTTTTTTGTCCCAGAAGGAACCTGAATACACAAAGGTACGAAGAAAAGGTGGCCGATTGAGAGACCCTGAGAGCCAGGAGTCGGACAACCTGGGCAGCACTGACTCTGAGGTCAAGAAAATCCTGACCTTGCACCTGCCCATTTCGGAGTACGACACGTTAGGCAGCGACTCGGAGGTGGAGCAGGAAATGGTTTCGTTCAGACACCGACGCGTGAACCGCGACTCAAGCTCCTCGTCGGAAACGTCGCCTTCAAGCGGCCGAAAGTCGTATCCGTCGAGGAAGGCCAAGGTCAAGAGCCAGGCCACCGGCAAGCGCCAGGTGCGCAGTAGTAGCGGCTATTCTAGTCACACCGAAGAAACCACCTTCAGGTAATAATTCTTTTGTCAATTTTTTTAATTAAGAGTTAAAAATTAATAATGAAATTGAGATATTTTTAGGAATTTTACCGCAATTTTTTCTTTGTAAAAAATTAGACTTCAGGCTCAAAAAGATGCTTATATTTTATTAATTCATCAAACTCTGCTTGATAAAAATTCAAATTTTTTAATAAAGTAATAAACCCGTATTATTAAAAAAGTAACAAATTTCAGAATAATGATTTTTCCTTCATTTTTTTACGCAAAAGTTCAAAGTATGCAGCCCCTTCTCGCAGGACTCGAAGTGGTATTGGGACTTTTCAACACATTGTTCGCAATCGCAGTCCTCCGCGTCATCAGTAGAATGTAAAATAAGTTTTTAAAGTTTAAAAGCTTTGGTATTTAAAATTTATTTTATATTATTCTATAATTAATCAACATAATTTTTTAATTTTAAAAATTTTAATTTTTTTGACAATTTTACACTTTTTCCTTAATTTCATTTTAATAACGCAATTTTAATTTCACTATTTAATTTAACAGAATTAATTTTGATTACTGTTTTGATCATTAAATTTTATAAATATTTTGTTTGCATAAGTTGATAATAGATGCAATGTCAATTTGACAATATTTCTTATAGAAAAAAAGATATGGTATTGTGCAATTGTATTAAATTAAAAATGATGAGCGCTCAAATTGACATTAGCATTCCCAAATGTTGATGAGTAAAAAGGAATATTATTTTATTACCAAGAATGGCAAGAATTGTTTGAACAAATTTTGAATATAAACTGCTGATTAATTTAAGTTTTTATTTTGGATCACTCTCATCACATTATTTCCAAGGTTTACGAACGCACTAATTTTCGGCAGTACTGTTTATTTTATTCGCGTAAATTAAAACGTTTGCTAATTATATCAAGTACCTTTTTCAAGTTCAATAAAGAGTTTAGGATGATTTTTTAATTTCTCTCTCGCACATTTTTACATTAATTTCCCGTAATTGATATCAACTTGTATAAAATTAATGGCCCTCGAGTTTCAAAAACTTTGGGGTTTCTTCGCGTTATTTGACGTTTTAGGGCACTCAAGATATAACGCTCACAGTTCCATTTAAGTTTACTCGATACCTAGAGGCGATCGCCTTTTATTAAAAAAAGCCTCTTTAATATGATTTCTTGAAAGATTAAACAGAGCGCAAAAGAGCGCTCTTTTTCTACATTTATTGTAAAAAAGCTCACTCTCGCGCTCTTTCATAGCGGTCGTCAACCTTGATTATTTCTAAAACAAAATATTCCGAAACATACTTAAGTAGAATTTTTTTCAATTTAATTGCTCCTTTTTCTTGCAAAATGCGACGACCAAGTAAAATAAGTTGACATTATTGCACATGATTGCACAGAAGATAAAAGAAAAACTAACAAAAATGTATGATAAGAATTCAAACAAAAATTATGAATTTTCAAATTCGCCAAGAATAAACATATTTTTTTAAAATTTATTTTGCAATTTGATGTGTATTTATTAAGAGCTTACAAATTTTCAGGTCATACAAATAGTTTTATTATTTTGCTGGATTTTGCGGCTTCATAGTTAGAAAAAATTAAGTAGACAAATATTATTTGTGTTTCAGTGGTCTGGCCTCAAAGAGGGCGTCATTTTCCGAAAGGCTGCACCAACCGCCGACACGTTTTTCCGACTCGCGCCACGAACTCAGTGAGGCCGAGTGCGACCGTGGCCGCGGCAAAACTCCCCGACTGTCGCGCAGTAGAGACACGACCTTCCAAATCAACGTTTAGATCGAGGGCCCATTTTTGTCTGTGATTTGTTTTTTCATCATTCCCGTGCACAACAACAAGTTCTTTGTGAATAAGGCGAAAAAAATAATAATAATAAACATACAAAATATACTGACTGTTGACTAAGAAAAAAATTGCAAGTCGCTCTGGCACTTGTTTTCTTCTTACAACTCCTCCTGACTGACTTCTCTTTTCTCGACTGATGAACTGGCCAGCGCCTTTTTCATCGACGCTTCAATTTGGCTGATGCTGCCATAGTAGTACTTGTAGCTGGGGTTGCCGAACTCATTGATGGCGTCTATCACAGATTTGTCAGGATCTGAAGAAAAACGAGAATATGTAATGCTGGGGCTTGGGAAAAATTGTTGATTGTTAACTGATGAGTGTATTCTCGTTTTTTAAACGATTAAGTATTTTTAGACATGATAAAAGTTGCCTTTTTGCCAGAAAAAAATAATTAAAATTCCTCTGTAATTTTTAATATTTTTGCTCTATGTTGAGACTGAAGATTATTTTTTATTTCATAATTAATTTGGAATTTTTTGATATTTCTAAATATTTAAAGATTTTCCTTTGGATTTTTAATCTTGTATAAACATTTTTTTTTTTTTTCATATATTTAAATTTCTCTGCATTTGTTTTTAAATACTCCTAAGTAAATTCAGTATTTGGCCTTATCATATCATCCCTTTTTAGATTTTAGGCTAGTTGCAATTAACACTTAAGGCTGGAACAGCGGTTGTCCGAAATGCCTCTATCCGAAAAAATTTAACGACAGGGGGGCGTTCCCATCCGAAAAAACGAAAAACCAGACTTTACGACAGAGTCTGGCCGCGCCAGACTTTTCGGACAGAAAATAAATTCGGATAGGATTTGAACCAATCACGTTTCTTGCACAAGTCACGTGACCATGACACGCGCGCCCAGCGCCCTCAGTGCTCACTTTCGTAACTGGTGGCCAATACTAAACCAAGGTGCTGATCATTTTTAAGCCGCATGAAATTATTTACCCACATTGGCCACAGAAAAGATTATATTTCCATAATAAGGTTATCTTCGACTATTTTGCGTGCTTAAATAAATTTACAATGCTAGAATTAGACCAACAATACAAAAAAAGGCGCGACGTCGTGATGTGGGCGGGGATGTGATTCGGACAGAATTTTCGGATGACCGCTGCGTGCTCTATCGTTATTTTGTATTTCGGAAAGTGCGTTTCGGATAGGATAGGAAATTCTGACAACCGCTGTTCCAGCCTTTACTCATGAAGTAAATGCGCGGAATGTATGTTCCATCGACGGCGAACTTCGAATCGGTCGGCGCATCATCGTCGCCAGCAATAACCATAACGAACTTCTTGCTCAACTTTTCTATACTCGCTGATTTGGCAAACTGCGGCTTAAGAGCTGTAAAAATTATCAGTTTTGAAACCAATAATAATTAATAATGAAAAAAAATGATAAAAGAAACCAAACCTTTGCAGGCGCCGCACCAGCTTTTGTGCATTACGAACATTATTGGCTTTCCAGTTTTTTCTGCTTCGACATAGCCATCCTCGAGTGAATGCCAGTCGTATTGACTTCCGAATCCTAAAAATCATATAATAAAAAATGAGGGGACTCTCCGATACTACACATGCATCCTGTGTAACATTGGCGATTTAGAATAAATTCAATTTTTTAAATTAAATGTACATTCTTAATTTAATAAGAATAGCCTATGAGTTGATCGGGCTCTTTTCGATTACATTTTTTCTAATTCTCGTATTGATTTTTACCTGCATCGTCGACTTTTGCCGCCTCTGCGATAATCAGCAGAAGTAAAGAAACGAGCACTGATAAAGCCATGACTGACGGACCAAAACAGACTGCAAGCAAGACGGACAGCTGCGATGGAAAATGGTTCGTGCTTCCGACAACAGAGGACCTTTTTCGTTTTATAGATGGAACCGCTTATGAAACACAGGCTCATTTCGATAAACATAGATTGGAATATTATAATTTCATAATTTTAATGCTGAGTTTGCAGTTTAGTTTCCTTGATCTGTTAACCAACTTTTTTGCTATCTTCGTGTTTCGAGATTATTTGCGAATTGCTTAAAAAATTCAGTTGTGAGGAAAATATTCGTTTTATTCAGATATTATAACACGTCTAAAAAAAAAACTTTCAGGATTTGGTCATCTTCTGGTATTCTGGCTTGCCCGAGAACAGCCCCAGGAAGGCCTGGATTTTTTGACTTATCACAGCTGAAATTAAAGAAAATTATTGTAATTTATAGTTGATTAAAATACCGACTTAAAGAGTGGATAAATTCCCCCATGCAATGTATTTTGATCTAAGTAAGTTTAAAGCAATTAAGAATAGCTCTAGGCGGCTGGCTCTAGGGTGGAATTAATTTAAATTTAAAAATATAAGCAATTTTGTTATAAGTGATTGAGCATCAAAGTTTTTCCAAAATTTCCCTTGGACAAAGCATCCTGGTAGTAAATCCTTTTTTAATTTACAATCTGTATGGGAGATTTTAAAATATTTTCTATTATGGAGATCTAAAATAAAATTAATTATGTGTTTATCAACCTGAGGTAGCAAAAACTCCTCCGACTACGGCACACAACTTGGTCAACAGGGTAAACCACGAGTCCCTCTCCTCAGTGATTGTGACTCGGAGAGAGCTGCTGTCGTACTTGAAATAGACCCCGGGAACGCCATGCGAGCCTTTGGCGTGCGAAATTGGTCTGTCCGCCTCTCTGACTGAGTATTGGTACGTCCGGACGTTGCTGCCCCGAACGTGCACTTCCGTTGGCACTACAGTGATGAAATATTGGTACTGCATGTCCTCTGAAAAATAAATTTGTTTATTTATAAAATTTATATTCAAATAATGGCATGTTTGTTTAGTTTTTATTTGAAGTTTTTACATTTTTTTTCTAATGGCATCCATATCCATATTATAGTTTGTTTAACTTTCGGGTTAAAAAAAAATTGAAGTTTAACATAAGATTATAAAATTATCTAGTTTTATTTAAATTTCTCAATAAAATTCACTTTTTTGGCAATTTCATCTGACTATAAATTTTTAACAATGACAAAATAAGATCAAAATAGATTTTTTGTAAATCTATTTTAGAATATTAATTATTTTTTCATTTATATTTTTATTCATTAATAACCCTAACCTGGGCTAGCAAATTTGTTTAAAAAGTTTTAAGATTTTGTTCAAATGGAAATATTTTAACCGTAATTTATGAAACAAAATTGTTTTGCCACTCTTTGTAAAATTCAAATTTAAATAAAAAATAATTACGCGTTAGTGTAATAATTTATTTGTAAGCGTAGTGAGAACAAAAGTAATTATTGAAAAATCTACTGATTCAAATAATTTTTGATTGTATTGAAATTGAAACATATAAATGAAAAAATATAACTAAATTCAGAAAATTATTGCATTTACATGAATAATAATTTCAAATTTTATCAGGGAACAATGAGATTTTGTGGGAGATTACCCTGATCAGCGATTTTCTCGTCGCCCTCAAGGGGGTGGACGACCCCGTGGTCGGGTGGGCCAAAGGACAGTCTTGTGATTCTGTGCGAGAAGTTGAGGTTGTGGCGCATGCCGGCGAAGTGCGCGTGGCCGCCAGGCAGCGGCAGCGTCTGACCTGCGGCCACGTGCAGGTTTCCGGCCACCTTGGTCAGCTCGAGGGTGCCGCTGATGCGACACGCGTCGTGCGGTTTGCCGACCTGCGTCGTCCGCTCGGGCATGTCGTAGGTGCGACTCAGGGAGGCCTTCCACAGCACCTGCTGCAGTGCATGCGCCTCTTCCCTCAAGTACTCGTTCACGTACTTCAGCGAGGAGAAAAAGTCGCGCTGGGCGCTGTCCAGCTCGAACCACGTGTCCTCGTACTCGAGCTCTCCGAACGAGGTCACGCCCTGACCTGTAGAGTCCACGACGTCTGCTCCGATTGCTGGAAAATAGAATTGTTGAAAATTTGGATTTCAAAACAGTTTCATATTAAATTTATACTTTAAATTATTAGATCAATAAACAATATTTAACTAAATTATTATTTAATGACATTATTGTTGATATTGAATTTGTTAAAAAATAAAGTTAATTGTTTTCATTAATCTGTAATGAGTGTTTATATGGAGCATTAATCCTGTTCTTTTGAATGATTGTCATCGTTTTTAAATACTTTCTTATGATTTTATTTAATGAGTTACTACTTTTTTTATAGCGCTGATCATTTCCTGAATTGAGGAAATGATGTGATGAATTTTAAGCAAAATATGAAGATGAATCATGATCGTTTTATGATGTGTTCTACTAATCTTTTCAGACATTATACTTAAAAGAAACTTCCTTTGTATTATATCGTATTATATATTCAGTACTTTATGCATACAATTATATAAAAATTTCCAAATTAAATATTTTTCTTTCAAAATAAAGCAATATCTGTTTTAAATTTTAATTATAGATAAGGCATAAATTGAAGCCATGATATCTGATAGGAAAAGAGCAATGTGAACAGTAAGTAATGAATTAAATGAAGTAATTGAATTTGAAACAAATAATATCAAATGTATAATGATACATTTTAACACATTTTAAATTAATTAAATTACACATTATTTAATGAGAAGTTTCACAATGACACCCTCAAACATATTTATGATTTCCAATTAAAAATATTAAAATTAAATATTGAAATATTATATCTTGTTTATGTATCAATAATTTTATAAAAGAAGTTTAAAAATAAAAAATAAATATGAAATTTATTATAATTATGTTATGCAAATAAAATATTAAATTGATTAAATTAAAGTAAATGAATGTATTTTAAATAAAAGTATGTATCAAAATATTAAAATTATATAAAAACAACTATAATTAAGAAAGATAATATTATTTTGTAAAAGCGTCAAATAAATTAGTTTTCATAGAGTATTGTGTATTTTTATAATTTTCAAAAAATTATAAACTATAAATTGAGAGTTTTTCCGATTCATTTGATAAGAATAGTTTTAAAAGACTAATTGCTTACTTCTACAAGGCATCGCTATGGTAATATCAATGTTGACTGGAAGCTTTTCGTCCATGAGATCGTCAGGTCGCAATTTGAAATGTAGTTTTGAATCCCAGAAATATGCAAACTCCGACTTGAAGAGCCAGACGATGAGGAGCAAACTCACGACGGTCACTGAAACAAAAATTACCAATTTTTGCAAAAATTTTATTTTTGAAAATCCAAACTCACTAAAGCCGCCGACGGCGCTCGGTTTGATTGAGGATTCTTTGAGTTTGGGGAAGGCGTCGAGTTCAGTGACCCTTTCTAGCGGGGTCTTGGTCTTGCCCCGAAACCGCAGCTGCTGCTCGGTCTGCATCTCGCGGCCCAAAAACCGGCCCTGTCGGACCCACCGGCTGTGTATAGACGTTTCCAAAATCACAACAAAGAAGGAACACAAACAACATAGGAGGAAACGCCGGCAGTCGACGATTGGTCTGACGAGCGGCGCACGATCGCAGATGCGCGACTTTGGCTCGAAAGGCGCCAACAAAATAGAATGATATGAGTACACGTTTGGCGCCTCATAATCATTCAGAGTTTAAAATAAAAGAAAATTATTTTGACATTGTCATCCTCGATTATTGATATATCTTAAAATCCATCCGCTTTTCAAGTTTTGGCTTCTCGTGCTTTTCCTTAATTTGCATAAGAAGAATGCAGTGAAAATTTGGAAAATTGGACAAAATAATTATGTAAATAAAATTTACAAAAACTATTGCCTACTCATACTTAAATTTCAATACTTTCTGCAATGATTAGATGATTGTTAAAAATTAGTTTAATTTTTTTTAATAATTTTACTTACAAATTATTTAAATTTTTCATTAAAAACATTTTAGTAAGTACTGTTTAAAAATTGAAATAAAAACAATAATTTTAAGTTAAATAATTTTTTATATTTATAATGTCAAAATCAGTCAAAATTAAAAAAAAATTATTATAAACTACATTATATGGATTAGGATGATAATATATAAAATATATGATAATTATTTTGTATTAGAACATAATTTCAACTGATATATTGTGAACATTATCATCGTTTGTTCAATTCATTTCAATTCAATTCATTTTATTTTTCTCCAAACAAGTCAAACAATCATGTTCAACGCATTTACGAGTAAATTTAATTAAGAAACTTAAAATTCCGAAAATGAACAGCTAGGGCATTGCAAGTATCGCAACTACAGATGTCTGCTAAAACGGCCGACATTGAAGGAGACACGACCGCCGCAGTGAATATCCACACACTCTAAAAAAAAACACACTTTAAAATATTTTGCTGCCACAAAACACTGCTTCCGATTAGGGCCCGGATATTGCTTATTGGGGAGTCTAATAGTAATATTTTTTGCAATATCACGCCTAAAAAAAAATTGCATGGAAAAAAGAAATAAAATAAGGTTTTTAATATAAATATTTACCAGCAAGACAGCAGGTCACCGCTTGGAGTCAATTTTTCGAGTATAATATTAGTTATATTAATAGATGGAGGCTATATTTTTTCAACCATTGGAGTTAACATAAAGAATGAAACTTTTTCAATAAATAATAATTTATATTAAAGCTAAAAGAATACAAAATAAGAAATTCAATGAATTAAAACCATAATATTCTTTTCAAATATTTCAACAAATTTCAAATAATTTTTGACACGGTTGGAATCAGACCAATTAAAATGATTGGCATGCAATTATAAAAAGATTAAAAAATATTAAAATGTATATGTCCACTATTAAAGACAATACAAGTAGATATTTTTATATATTTATGTGTTGACTGGCCCTGACCAAGATGCAACAATCAGGGAAAAATATACAGTATTACTTCGGGAAGAGATTGACACGCCAAATAAAATTAGCATAAAGTTTTCATTCACACATTCAATTCCTAGAAACATCTCAAAGCGATTTTTCTCCTTGGAAGCGCAAACTGCTTTTGAACTTTTCGTCTTCTCATTGCCACTCGATCTTTGCTTGCCAGCACAAATTAAAAGCCCCCATAATATATAGTTTAACAGTTCCTGAAAAGTTAGCGCGTTGGCTAGATATACGTGTGCAATAAATTTACGTGTCACCTTGATGGAGTCCAGCCGAAAACTCGAGCAGCGACTTGATATCCTATATGAAAATATATTATGCGATTCGCCTTGTCTGCGGGCGATCAAAATTTGTTCATAGTCTGGTCAGTCCCACCAGGTAAAAAAAAAATATATGTATATACAAATTGCTGTGTGTGCAGACTAGACACGCGTGTGTTTCAAGACAAGGAAATAAAAGGTTTCGTTTAAAATTTGTCAAGAATTATTAATGTGAGTGTCTTTATATGAAAGCATATATATTTTAAAATAACTCCAGCATTCAAGCATAATTAATTTTTGACAGCGAAAAATTACATACTGCTTTTTATTTTGAAATAACAGCAGGGCATTTTAATTTCCTGATGCCTTGACTTTGAAGAATTATATTTAAGTATTAACTAACTTTAACCAGTGTAATTAATATCAACTGCGGTATGTAATTATGCAATTAGGTATTCATCAAATTGATTTATTTTCAATTTTAAAATCTTTCATGAAGCAATAAAGTTTGGCAGTTCTTTTATTTTTATTTATTATATTGAAAGATTGCATGAATATAGTTTTGACACTTATACTGGATTTATTGTGCTTTAAATTATGACTATTTCTATTGCCTGGCCAATTAAGTTTATGGCGAACAGAGAAAGCAACTTTTAAGAGTAATTAAACGATTTTAGCTTAAGGTGTGTAAAAAAATATATCCTTGTGTCGTAGCTGGTCATAGCTAGCAAAAAAAAACTTTTCAATCTGAATACTGTGGATTGTGTGCTTCTATTATTGAAAAAATAATAATAATAATAACTAGCAAATCCATTATTTTGTATTTAAAATATATCAAAAGGAAATAGTGCATTATTACATGTATGTAAAATTTTCATTTACCGACACTAGTTTTGACGATTTTTTTTATGTTTTAAATTATTGATCAAAAATAAATAATAGCCTTAGAAATAACTAAATGATCCAAAATTGCTGTTAAGTCTATATTTGTAGTGTTTAACTAAATTTTATTTTTCATATTTTAGAAATAAATATTAAATTTTTAAGTATATAAAAAAATTATTTTAATAATTTTGAGGATTATTTTAAAAAGTAAAAAAAATTTGATTAATCTGTATATTAAAAATTTTATTTTAAATAAACATGTTTGGAGTATTAAATTTTTTTCCAATATAAATTATAGTAGCAAAAGTAAAAAAATTAAATATAAATTTTAATAGTTTTAAGTAAGAGCCCTGGAGATTATTTTGCTGTTTTATCTAAAAAATAAACTAATCTCTTTGATTTCTTCCATTAACTATATTGTATTATTATTGGTAGTCAATAAAAACTTTCATTAATTGAACAAAAATGAACTGGCGTCGACGAGCTCTAGTCCAATAAATTGAAATCCATTAACAAGAAGGCTCGGAGCGTGAGAAATTCTCTTCCACCATCAATTCCATGGAATCGCGAGCAGCTGCCCATTCATAGCTGCCGGGAAAGGTCAGCCTTCTGTCGGTTCGATGCTTTTGCAACCCATCCATCTATCCGCGCGCAAATATATGCACATTATCATTACGTGATTCACTATGGCACAGGTGACGAAACTGCTGGCCGTGATTTGTGACCTTCGCACTTGGCCCGTGGGCCTCTGTTCGCACTGACCCGACCTTAGGTTCACCTTGGATGGCCCGACTGGCCGCTCATTCTCGCCAGACATGGTGTGCTGGACACACGTGCTCGTCACCCTCGCGCTTCTCAGCTCCGCAACCCTCGCCGGCTTTTCGGTAAGTGAGCCCTAAGTACAAGCAATTTTCAGATTGTGGGTGTTGACAGGTCGATTGAGTTGTTGTTTACCACCTACTTGGTAGACACAATGGGACGGGATGAGACGGGAGGTCATTTCATTTAATGCCTAGCCGCGCCGAGCTTGTGAAAAATTACAAAGAGTCCAACCGGCTCGAGATCATTCAACTTTCCTCGTCTTCTCATTTGAATTTAACACGAAAATCGATTCAACATTTAAGCAGAAAAGTTAAAAAAGAAAAATCTGCATAAAGATTTCTCATTTTTTCGTTCGGAATAGGAAAATAAATTCCGCTTAAATAGTTCTGTTTTAAACAGATCTTCTGGTGGTCGGTGGTCCTTCATTTTTGTTAGTCATTTTTTAAAAATTTTATTTTACCCATTATTAGAACCCAATTAAATACTAAAATTTAAAATAAATTCTTAAGATTCATGAGATCTGTAATGAAATTGTTAAAAAAACACACACATTTGTGGAAGTTTTTTTATTTGTCAAGTGTAAGAAAAAATAATTTTTAAAAACTCAATGTAAATTATCCTCTTGATAAATTATTTGAAGAACATATATTGGTTAATATATGCAAAACTACTAAATACATACATATAAATATTTTTTTCCAACATTTAATTACCATGTAGGGTATTTGTTCTGTGCACCTCTAGCTACTGACAAAATAAGTTACAATGCAATTAATTTTATTAGCTTAATTGCTGCTTGTGAGGTTATGTTGAATTGATATACATAGCTCTTTTGCATGGACTGTAGGCAAAGCCAAGTCTTAAAGGATATACAACTTTTTACTTGATCGTGCTCCATTTATTTGTTTCAAGTTGAATCTTAACCACACACACTTGATATCAATCTATATCTATACTCTTTTGACTCTGTATTGTTGGAAGAAATAATTTGATTTAATGACTTGAATACTTAATAATTCCCTAATTGGATCAGGTAAGCAAAAAAAATCATATTAATTTAAATATAATTAACATTAATTGAAAATAAATTTGGTACTCGAACAAATAATTAAAAAAGATTTTGAATAAATATTAATTTGTTCTAATTTCCACTAATTTCTATCAATATAATTTTTTACATAAAACCTAAAAGCCTCTGCACATTAACTATTTATTATTATTTGTCAATTTAAATTTCTCAGCCAATACTTTTTTTATTGTTTATTCATTACAAACCAAGTCTTGACTATAGGCTACTTGTCTTTAACTTCAAGTGTATTTTAAATTAAAAAATGAATTTCAGTAAACAAGACGTTCAAGTTTAGAAAAAAATAGACATTTTGTGTAAAGAGTTGAATTTTTGCTTACAAATGGGTCTTGGAAAATTCCACCTTACATCTCTCATTGTACTTTGGAATAATTTTTGTATTCAACGCTGACAACTCGGTCCTACAACGCAAATAGACGATTAGATCATCAATCAAAAATCAAAAGTGGTTTTGGCAAGCCTGTATACAAATCGTGGGCGTTCCAAAAGTGCATTCTTGCACGTCAAGTGCCAAGCAAAAATAAATACATATCCGTGTTTGTTTTGGTTGCTCGACCAAGAGTGATTATCGAAAACAAACGATTTAAATACATAATCTGCTGGCTTCCCGCCCACCAGTGCCCGAACGGATTAAAAAAAGATGCATTTTGCGGTGATCACGATGAGACGTGCTTGATATCACCCATACCTTGCAACAGGTTTAAATTCGAGCCGAACAGTAAAACAGCCTTTAATACAAAATATATACAACACTGGCGGCTTTGAATGAAATTTTTTGTTCTTGGTCTCTCTTGTAACGGTCACGGAGAAAATAATACGCGTATATATATTCTAATGCATTAGCGCACGTTTGCCAAGGCTATGCATGGTTTTCTATTGTTGGTGTGCCTATAATGATCGTTTGACCAAACAATTTTTCTCATTATAAGGACATAGCTGCCGGCTAAAATAAACAGCTGGACCCAAAGTATGATCTTGAAGAAAGCGGAGTTCGATGATTTTTAAGCAGAGCAGATTTTTGCAACACCTTGAAGAGATGAATTGAAAAAGATTTGGATCAAATAAAGAAAATCCTCAATTAGGTTTTTTTAAAGTTTGTTAACAAAATTGGCAATGAAGAGCTTTAATTTTTTTTAATTAAAATTAAAATCAGGGATTTGGAATCATTGTCTTAATTTCTTCCAGCTCAATTCATTTAATTCCCTCAGGAAAGAAAAAAAGGAAATAATTGAGTTCTTTCTAAAAAAATAATCTGGGAATATTTTGCTTTTTCAACTTATTTTACCACGATGAATCGATTTTATATTTAAAATAAAATATAAATTCACCAATTAAGTAGCTTAAGTTGGAAATTCAATTTTTAATAACACGTTTTCAAATCAAATTTTTTACTTTTAATTGGAAATATAGTGCAATTGATTTATCCATTATTATTTATTATTAATTTTTATTAAGTTTAAAAAAATTGCCCATTCCTTCATATTTTACAGAGGAAATTAACCAAGCTATGAATTTAAACAATAAAATGAGAAACAATATTGCTTTTAGCGGCGGCAAACCAAAGTTCCTAAGTCGCTACCCTTCCCATGTCACCACGCGGAACAGTTTCGGTCGTTGCAGCGGCCGAATTCCGTACACAAACTGATGCCTGGTGACATCGATGTGGTGGCTGCAATGGGCGACAGCCTCACAGCCGCCACTGGAGCTGTGGCCGAAGACATCTACAGCGTCATTTCAATAGAAAATCGCGGAATGTCATTTTCCATAGGTAACTACGTTTCTATATTTTACAATTACTTTAATTTGATTTAATATCAAATATGTTACAATTTAAATGAAAATATAAATTAAAACTTAATATTGCAAGAAGGAAATTGTGACCTTTATTACTTTTAATAATTGTAAATATTGTTGGCCTACATAGAAATAATATAAATTTCTGAAAGCTCCCAAATATACTAATAATTTTTGTATTTAAAAAAAAAACGATTAAATTTTGCAATGCAGGTGGGCAAGGGACGTGGCGCGAGTTCCTCACCGTGCCTAACATTCTGAAGAACTTCAATTCGAACCTGACCGGCTTCTCGGTCGGAGACGGACACTCAGAAAGCCGGAGCTCGCGTTTCAACGTCGCTGTCAATGGGGCAATGGACCAGGACATGGAATTTGCCGCCGCTACCTTGGTGCGGCGAATGCAGGCGGATCACACGATCGACTTCAAAAACGATTGGAAGGTGAGCAACAAAATCTGACCGGCAGACCAACTCTGCCCACGTCTCTCGTTATGTAACTAACGAGTGAGACCCAAAATGCTGGGTCTTGATATCATTTTTGGCCATAATCAGTCGCGCGGTCTTCGCCATTAAGGACACCTTTCCTATTATAAGCTGCTTTCAAGAGCATCTCGCGGCCTTTTTTTGCCAATCATCTGTTTAATGGAATTTTAACACTATAAGCGCCTCCAAAGTAGTAATTAAGTGCCATTAAAAAAGCACGTGGAGATTCACCAGACAAGTTTTTTCCCCAAAAATTTTAATGCCATTTAAAAGCAAAGAAATCAGCCCAAGGTGATAAGTCTCGCCTTTTATTTTTTTTAATAATAGATGGATACCATGAGTCCTTTGGGGTTTTTCAATTCAAAAATGATTGACCACGTGTTTTGGTATTTTTGTAAAATACAAGACTAATACAGACTTTTTATAATTTTTTTTATACTCCTTGGCAATTTTTGTTGTTCAAAAATATTAAATTTTCCTAATAATTGAAACTCCAGACCATGAATTATTATAAAAGAAGGCTTGAAAACTAATTTTGAAGGTTTTTAATTGTATTGGGAAAAAAGCAAAGAAGCATAGTGTCACCTTTTTCTGAAAAAAAAATGAGATTCTAAAGAAAAATGATTAAATTCTCTCTCAGACGTTAGCATGTGCAAAAAGGAAATAACAACGAATGAATCCTTTGACGATGCAAAAAAAAACTTAATTTTTGTTAATTTGCTCTAAGACTTGTTATAAGCACTAATGATGCGCTGCATGTTATGAACTGCACCTGCGTTTCATCTTTTCATTTATGCAAACACTTAACTTTTGCGGAATATTTTCCTACCTTTTACACTGTCAGAAGTCCCAAGAAAATTGTTCTCGGTCTAAAAATAAATATGTAGTCAAGAGTGTCGCCTTTTTCATTCTGTCGATCCGCTTACAAAGCGTGGGATTGATACAAGTTCAGTGGCATAAACTATAATGCTTGCGATCGAGTGAGTGCGAGAAAGAAAAAATGAAGAACATAACAATCAGCAGTAGGAGCTAAGAGTGATTGCCCCTGGAATCTCGCAGTGGCAGCTAAATAACAGAGCAGTGTGCGCATTTCTTGTTAGCCTATGCGCAACCGTTAATTTCTGATCTATTGTAATTAATGTGCCTCCGATGGGTGCGGAGCGTGGAAGCTGATTACTAATTTTTGTTTCGATATTCTGCTAGCGAGCCCATAGCAACACCAAATTTGAAAAATCGAAAGATCAAAATGATTATGGTAACTCCTTTGATTAAAATTAATCTTTAGACGGTGATTTTAATTTAAAGTCGGCTTTTGCTCGACGGGTTTTGTGATTTTTTTAATTATAGAAAAACACACAAACAAATAAATAAATAAATATGTGATTTTTAAGTGGTTTACAAACAACCTTTGGATAACTTCATCATGCAATAATGATAATCATCAATTTATGTCTCACAAAAGTAAAATAATGAGATAAAAAGATACAAAATCACATTATTATTAATACAATAAATTAATTATTTAATAACATAAGATTTATAAAGAAGCTATAATTTATTTTATTCTTATGATAACTATGTTTGCATAGTTTAAAAAAATTGTCTATTTTGTCATAATAGTTCACGTTCTTACTCAACGCAATTATTATTATAAAGACGAAATTTAATGTTTTTCCTGGAAATGTAAATTTCCTTCTAATTTTTTTCCACTATATCTTTATTTAAATAAAATTGAAGACTAAAAACTATTATATTATCGTTTTTATGGTATTTTAGATGATAAACGTTTGGGTCGGGACGAACGACATTTGCAGCGATTTCTGCTACGACGGCAGCCAGGGTCCGAATGGGCACTTCCTGAATTTGCAGAAGACCCTGGACTACCTGCACCAACACGTGCCGCGTGCTTTCGTCAACCTCATCTCCGCTCCGTGTAATTACAACCAATGATTATCGAGATAATCACCGGTGCGCCGAATTCACATTTTTTTTTTAATTTGTGTCCCGCAGACATTCCGGCGTACGCTCAGATGAGGGGCGATGAACCGACCATGTGTCTGACGATGCTGCCGTTCATGTGCTCGTGTCTGTTTGGCATCAACCACCCGGCCAAGATGAAGAACGTGACCAAAGCCACCCGATACTTCCAGATGGTGGAGCAGGCGCTGGTGAGTGATTGTGAGAAAGAATCGAGTTTCTGCGAACACACGTCGCTAATATCCGTTAATTGCGTGGGAACCTCGTGATTTCCGCACACACAGAGAAAGATTTAATGATGAAATTGTAAAATAAAAATATCACAGTAGCAAGAAGTTTTAACCGAAATTTAATGCGAATTTTTAAAAATAGAAAACATTTTTACTCCCTGCACTTTGACAAAAAAAAAAAAATTATTTTAACTTTGATTCGGTTGATGGGAAAAAAAAACTTCGGTAAAATTTAATTTGACCCTCATTGCAAAGTCGTTTTTTTCTCATTATACTGCCTCACTTCCATTTTATTGGACAGATAAAAAATCAGTGAAAAACTGACATAGGTCTTTCTTGCAACTACTCTGTGTACGATCATGAAAGTTCAATATAGTTTAAGGAATTGTAAGATACTATATTATTTTTCAAATCTTGTCTTTTTTATTGCCTGTTTTTTGGAACGATTAAGATTCCGTCAAATCTGGCGACCTGAATGAATAATTTCAGGTGGAAAGCGGCAGGTACGACACGAGAGATGACTTCACTGTGCAGTACCAGCCGACGTTCAAGAAGCTCAAGTTTCCCAAGTACCGAGACCGCCGAACCGGCGTCGAGCACACTGACTACTCGTACCTCGCGCTTGACTGCTTCCACTATTCACAGAAGTTCCACGCCGTAGGTGAGATAGAAAGATGATTCACCGCAATAATAAATTCAATAATTGACCCACGAAGTCATCAGCAGAGACATATTTATCGTAATTATAATAATATTGTTTGTTTTGCGTCATTTATTTAATTTAAATGCGCGCAATTAAATCAGAAAAAAATAAACGCAGCGGGGATTTTTTGGAGTTAATTCAAAGATATGGTTTTCATTTGGTGTACTTGCGTGTATTTTATTATCGTGTTTGTGTCACTCTGTTTTTAGGAAGAATGGAACTATCCCTTTTTATACATCCTTCGACTTATACAGGAAAAAATGCTTGTTTCAGCCGCCAACACATTTTGGAACAATTTGCTGGAGCCACCAGGGCAGAAGATCAGTGAAATGGGTCCTCTATTTGAGCACTTTGAATGTCCCACCAAGGAGCGGCCGTTCTTGGCCACGCATCTCAACATCAAGTGAGAGCATTAAGAAGCGTGTTCAATATATATTATATTTATTTTTAATTTATGTCATGTGAACATTTGAGCCTAAATCAAAATAAAACAAAGAGAGCTATCCAACCAATTGCTGCGTGCCAAATAACAACCTGTGGTGATTTTTATCTTAGAAAATGTCTTTTCTTTCTTTTTTGTACTTGGAATATGTGTGTGTGTGTGTGATTAATTGTTGCAAATTTTTAGCCTAGCCTTTTGCAGGCCTCTTTTCTATGGTAACTAATTCCGGGCCTGCAGAGGTAGTCCAATGGCACTGATTCGGGGGAGGAAGGCTAGGGGCTGCGCGGGGGCCGCCGCGGGCTCCGAGTCGGGGGCCTCACGGCCTCTGTCGGCCGCGTGTGGGGACCAGCAGGGGTCGTGAGGGTCAAGTCGAAGCCGGCCGCTGGCGATTTAGTTCAGGTTCTTTTGGATCCAGGGCAGGAAACTGGTCACGCGCGTGTACACGCCGGGGTATTGGCCCTTGCCGCAGCCGATGCCCCAACTCACGACGCCCACTTGCGTCCACCGGCCGTTGTTCACCATCAGGGGGCCACCACTGTCACCCTGAAATCACACAAAAATGAACTAATCATTTTACACGATATCAGAAATATTTCAAATAATCCACATATTATACGGAAAAATATATAGTTTTTGTTTTGAAAAAATTAAGTTTAAGAAAAACCTTACAGCAGGATTAAATTTAAGGAAAATTTGCGTTAATATGCAACCACATTTAAATGTGTTATAATAATAATTGAATTGATAATAATTATTTTATTCACAAATTATGACTTTTCCAGTCCAGATATAGTAGAAGATTTTATTTTAATTAAAATGACCAACAGAGTTTATTGTCATTTGTAAATTTCATATATTTAAGAAAAATATAATTTGATTACTTTTTAAACAAAATTTTCAATAATTTATTTTGCGGATCCTTTAAGCAAAGCTAAAACCTCAATAAAATATTAAAAATAATTATGCTAATATTAATAATAGAAAACTTTCTTAATCTCATCATTTCTATATAAAATTGTCAGTTATTCAATTCTCAAAAATAAATTATATTTAATAGGCCCCAACACTCAAATTAAAATGTATTCCTAAATTCCCATAAAAAGTCAATAAATTTTGTGATATCTTGTAACCAAAATCAATTGTTTTAACAAATTTTTTTTAGTTTTTAACATTTAGAAGACTTGAGCTTATATATTGGCAAAAAGAAACATTTTAAATAAATAAAAAAAAGTTTCAACTTACACTACAAGAGTCTCTTCCAGCCTCTCCCGCACAAATGAAGTGTTCCACGATTCCTCCGGGGGCGGCGTTTCCGTACTTGGTGCGGCATTCGGTGTTGGTCCAGATGGGGATGTTGACCTCCTGGAGAATGGAAGGCTGGGGTCCGCTCTCCCTCAGACTGCCCCACCCGACGACGGTGGCCTTCTTGCCGTCGTACGCGTCGCTGCCGGTCGGCAGGCAAATGGGTCGGATCATGCTGGTGAAAGTCACCGGCGAGTCAAGGGTGAGGATGGCAATGTCGTTGTACTGCGACACAATTTCATCAATTAATTAAAATCGGCCGAGGTGTGAAAGAATGCAAAGTACCAGGGTTCTGGAGTCGAATCCGCGGTGCCTGACCAGTCGCTTAACCTTTTTCTCCACGTGCTTTGTTTCCGTGTTGCTCTTGATGTTGTATTCCCCAAGGCGGACAGTTAGTCTTGAGACGTCCCATGAGGTCATGCTGAAATTTATAACAAATACCTGAGCGATCGAACGACAACATTTTTTTCACTTGCCGTTCACTTGTGTACTGCGCACTTGGCGCGCAATGAATCGGATTTTTCAGATATTTTATAAATATATACTTTATACTTTTGTTTCAACATTAATAAAACGATCACACAATTCATTTTTATAAATATGTATGTGAACCGAACAAAAAAAATTAAAACTTGTTGCGCCGTGAAATGAAGCGTGCGTTATATATTGTGACAGCGGCAGTTAGACAAGGCTAAGGCCTTGGCTGGACCCAATAAGAATAATAAATAATTTATTTATATGCGAATGGACGTGAAAATGAAACAGATAATAAAAAAGGGACATGAGAGAGAATAGAAACAGAAAAACACTCACTGAGCAATGCAGTGGGCAGCTGACAAAATGTGCGTGCTGTCGATCAACGAGCCCCCGCAAAATTGTCTTCCGCCGTTGAAAAGCGCCGCCTGAAAACAATCCAATTATGCTAATTTAGATGGAGCGCCCTCTCATAAAAAGCTAAAGTGGATATGAAAATTTTTTTGTAGGTTGGTCCATGCGATCATTGGAAGCAAGAATATTCAAAATAATTTATCTAGAAAATGTTGAGAATAATATGATTTTTTTTCCAAACGTTTCTCTTACAGTAAGAAGTGTCATGTGTAATCTTAAATTTCCAGAATGTTTAGAAAAGGCTGTGATTACGAAACTGGATTTATGAGGTAAAAATTCTTTAATTGGGGAAAAAGTGCAAAGCATTTAAAAATTTCAGAGAAAAATAGAAAAATAGCTTTTAAGGACTCCTAAATTATATAAAATCAAGTTTAGACAATTCATTAAATCTTCTGGTATGCATTTAAATTTCAATTGACACAATTGCTCTTGGTTATAGAAAATTAAAAAAATCCCAATGCCTGATTTAAAAAAAAAATAATAATAAAGAATTAACCATTCATTCAAAAAGACCATTAGATAAAATAGCCTGTGGTCCATATCCATTTTAATTAATTAATAACTAATTTGGAAAAGTATAAAACTCACGATCCAAGGCCACTCGCCCAAATCCGCGTTGTGGCCACCAACGATGCGCAGGTCCTCGTCCTGGTCTTTGGCGCTGATCATTTTGGCGCCGCAAGAGGCATCAGTGATGACGGGACCGCTGGTGGGGGCCGGCGTGACTGGGGGCTGCGTGGGCCGGATGGCCGGGGGTTGGGCTGGGTAAACGGGAGCAGTCGGGGGCTGCTGGGGCGGCAGCGTAGGTCTGGGGCTAGTTGGTCTGGGGGTGGTGTTCTGGGGGACGACGGGGGCCGCGGGCTTCGTCGGTTGGACTCCGAAGAAGGGAGGGTGCGTGGCGGCCGTGTGGTCCGGGGGGTGGGTCGGCAGGGGAGGAATAGTCGGGGGCCAGTTAGGGGGCACAGGGTTCTGCGGGTTCTGGGGCTGCGGTTGCGGCGGCAGCACCGGGAACGGCGTCGGCGCCGCGGGGGCAGGAGGAGCGACGACAGGGGCTGTGGGTCTAGGGGGCTGGATTGGGCGCTGAGTCGTTCCAGCTCCAGATCCACTTCCGCTTCCCGGGAACGAGGGGTTCACGCAGCAAACTCCAAAAGCCTGCGATAAAATGAAAAAAAGAGGGAAAATATTGTGATGAGAGGTTTGTATTTAAAATTGAAAAAAAAAATAAAAAATTAAAGTATCAAGTCTATCAAATTTTTTTTTTTTTAATTTTAATTGGTTGAACGTAGATTTACTAAAACTTCACAGGAAAAACTGCCCTAATGAATGGAATTCTAAGCTGAAATTTCTACACTTTTTAATCACTCAGAAATTTTTCTCCAAAAAGTGAAGCAAATTAAATCTTGTATCAAAACAGTTTAATTTTTACTAGAAAAAAATATAATACAATCAACTATAATTAATCTTCCTTTACTTTCCTTAAATAAGCAATTCTTCTAATCCAATAATAAAAGTTATTTTAACTTTCTCTCTTTATGTAAATTTGAAGCAAATAACAACAAATAAAATTCAAGACCAATATTTGGTATGCAATATATCATTAAATATTTAATTTGTATGTATCTTAATATAAAAGTTTATCTTATGTGTAGAATCTCAAATTAAAAATAATTTTGCCTTTAGTCCTCTCCTTTCGAGTTTTGATCAAACAAGATGCGAGTGTGCTGTTCCTTTGAGTGCAAGCGAGCGTGTGTGATTATTGAAGCGTAGGAGGAAAAGCCGAAATGCGAGCGAGCGAGTTGAGTGACCTGCGGCTGCTTTTTGTAGTTTGGCGCAACGCAAATATTTGCAGTAATGACACTTTTATTGTGGCGGTGATCTTGAGGAGGGGCCGAGGTTTTGTCCTTATTGGAATGGGTTGTCAAAAGCGAGCGACTCACGCAGTGCCCACCTACTGCCATATTCGCGCTCCATTGTCATTTACACGCTTATTCTCGCATATGTATTTGGAATGACGACCGTGCGTGCTAACATCTTTTGTAACTCGCTTTGTGATCTTTATCTCTCTCTATGCTCATTGTATACATAATAAATAATACCCTAGGTGCGTTCCACTCGCCTGGTCAGAGATCAACTTTTCTCGGCGTGCCTAAATCTCTTTTTAACATCTTTATGTAACACACAGTATCACAAGGTGTCGAAGGGCGTGGAGTTCAATCAAATTAAACGGCCTCACGTAATGGCAACTAGGGCAATTTTTGCATACACGTATAATTGAAATGGAATTAGCAGATTCTGAAGGGCAGCTTGACTTAATTTTAATAGAACGAAAATTATTTATTCATCAAATAATAATTAAGCCAACGGATGCTCATTAAAATTATTTTCTAACTCAGTCAGAAGATTAAGAAAAATCTTTGCTAACAATAGTGCCTTTTTGTCTCTCATTGTCAGTGATTGCTTTCTTTCTCAATTTAAATTTTTTGTAAAAATATGGACACAATAGCAAAATTATTAAAAATGGTAATATTTCAAGAAGCAATTAACATTCCAGACTTAATTTAAAAATTGATCGATTGTAGAGAAAACAAATTTGTATAAATTTTTAATTTTGAGTGGGGAAACCACTCTCAATTTAATGAAGAGTTTGCCACCATAATAAGAAAAGATTAGAAAAAAAAACATGTAACGTTTTCAAAAAATATAGAAATTAGTTTCGTTTTCAGGGGTTATGAAATTTGCTGGGTTTTTTTCTTCATCATCAAAATATGCAGTTTTTTATTATTAATAGAAGAAAAAATTATTAATGAACGTCTTTCTCGTTTAGTGCCCACTCATTTCAGAAGCAATCAAATAGAGTTATTAGAAAATATGTAGCAAAACTTTTCGCTCTTTTACAACGCAGCTCCCACGGTTTTTAGTTAGATCAATTTCGGAACGCATTAAGCACCTGGATGGTTAGCAATAGAACGCCCTTGGGCCTAACAATAACCGCTAGGCACGTTCTATCTAAGACATTTTTCTCATATACTAATAGAGACACCTTTTTCGTGCGATTTACAAAAAGCTGCCTGATTGCGCGTCGGCTTTTCTGAGAAGACTTTTGGCATGTGGCGCGAGAACAAAACACGGCCGAGAGCCAGCAAACATTATATAAAATTTAAAAAAAAAATTGCGCTCAAAAAGAAGTTGAGAGGGAGAATTTTCTCATTTATTTTTTTTTTTCTATATGATTCTGTCCATCTCTGGTCAATAAAAAGAGCGACTTTTTATTACTCAACACCGAGTGCAATTTACTGCGAAAAGCGGCCAGTGTCGGCCTTCTGCGCTCAAGATCAAGTTCAATAAGCCCCTAGGGCCACACAACAAAAACACACACCGACGACTGCGTCTCTTTTGCGCCTCACCTGTCGGCCGTTGCTGTTGAAGTAGCTGCAGGTGTCGTACATGCCGAGCACCCACGAGTCCCAGTTGTTGAGATCGGGCAGCTTGAAGTAGGGGTAGCATTGGCGGAAGCTGGAGCACCGACCGAGCTGCCCCTGGGACGTGAAGCACGGCCCGATGGGTAGCGCGGGCGGCCACTGGCGGCCCACGTCGCGGGTCTTCCTCACGCCATCGGGTTCTGCAAAAATCGACACAACAAAGAAGAAAATCAGCGTGACGTGGGTGATTGCCTTGGCGAGGTCAGTGGCCGCGCGACCTTGCCATCGCCCGCCCGCCCCTCCCTCAGATGCTCGCGTTTTTTCACTTTCTCAAATTATTATACATTTTGGCAAACCGCTCAAGGCCTGGGGGTCAGTGACTGCGTCGCCGACACCAAGGCCATCAGCCTATACCAGGCCCGTGTTTGCCCTTTTGCGTCTCTTTTTCTTAATATTTATTCTTCAGCCCATTTTAAATCAAATACAAAATACACGGAAAGAAGATTCATGTTTGCTTGTGGAAAAAAGTTTTTTGAAAAAGTATAAAATTACTTAAATTTCCCATCAAGTTTTTGTTTAAGCAAAAGTATAATAAAGGCCGTCCGAGGTGGACGCATTTCTTACCTGCGTCAATTATTATGGCATCTTCCGTCTCGTACACTTTGAGTTCTACGGGGCGCAGAAGGGAAACGAGTAGAAGCACTAAGAGCGGAGCCATTAAAGCGACTGTGTTCCAGTGTTTGTTGTTTCTGCCAATAAACTGGTTAAGTAACCTGAGGACAGTGGGGAGGCCTCGCGCGCAGCCCCTACCAGCAGCATTCGCGATTTTTCCTCTTCCTCGCTGACTGCTGCCGCGAGAGATCTCCCACCGCTCTGACCGATCCTTTTCTTTCCCGAAAAAATCACGCAGAATTGGATCGATCTCGCTTTCCCCGCCGGGAAAGACCACGAGGAAAACGCCGATTTAAAGAAATTTATTACCTGCTTTTCTTTTTTTGGATTAATTTGCAAAATTTCTTGATGATTCATCACTTGTGATTTTCCGTTTGATGATTAATATTATGCAGTGTATTCGCGGTCGATGAGCAGACCGACTGCTCCCCTTTCATCTAACTGTTATTATTTATTCCTCGCTGTACGAGTACACGTCTGATATACCGCAGGTTACATTATACATGATATGACCGGGTGCCGCTGACAGAAGAGAGACTTAAAAAATGATATAGCCGGAGAATTTATATACACATGCCCGCAATTAAACTCTGCGATTCTGTCAAGTCAGCACTCGATTAAATTTTAGCACTTAACGGTATAATCGCACACCGGCAAAAATCATCGGACTCGCCGCTCTATTTTCTCTCGTGCGGCGAATCTGCTTCTGACCGATAGAGTAGCAGAAAAATACAACATAGAGCCTCCGGGTTGAAATTTTTGCGTTCTCGGCGGCTGACTGAGAGATTAGCCCGATTGATGTCAGAAAAAATTGCCTAGATGGGCTGTAAAACGATTCGCATAAACAATCTAATCTAGTCACGGATAAAAAAAGTGCTGCTTCGAGGAAAACGATAAAGTTTTTTTCTTATGAATATACTACTCTCGCGGTTTTATGGACTTTTTATGAATAAGCTTTGAGCCGGGTGCGTGGTAATGAGTCACGATAATTTCGTCGTAAATCGTTACATAATTAAGGCAAATTTGTTATACTATACTCGATTTAAAACGCAGATAAACGTGCAGCTGGAGATAATTCCCTTTTTAAAACGATCGCAATAGCCGATACCCAGATAATTACAAAGAATGTGCAACGCATTGTTGACTTCTTGAGCACCGACAGAGTCTTTATTGTTAATTGAGAAATGCCTCTCTCGTGGATAGATAGATATACACTTACTTACCTTTTATACATTATAATATAAAAACAACGAGCATAGTTGTATTTTATTTTGCTTTGTCTGTAACTGTAAAATCATAAAATGTTTTGCATTTCAACTTGCTCGATAAATTTGCAATCTGTTACTTCTCATTAAGACACTCATTATTCAAGCAAAATTAATGAACTTCTTGCGGGAAATGGAATTTCCTCACTCCGTTTTCGCTGATTTAATTTCTCATTTAATGGCGGAGACTTGAACGCTTGAACTGATATATCCATTTTACTATATACTTGCCGGGCAGGAACCATCAACTCTTTTACACACAGCGGGAGCAGTTTTCGCAAATTATACACGCCTTATAACAGCGGCGATTAAAGAGGAATTTGATGATATATAAAAGAACACACATATCTATACAGGCAGATATTTATTAAATTCGCTTCGTGACGCTCTCAGGTGTTGAGGCGGATAAAAATAAAAATGCATCATCCGCACAAGTATAGCAGAGTACAATGTGTATTGAAACGAGTGTATAATATATATTTATTTTTTAATCGACTTTCAAACATACAACAAGGAAGACTGGATCAGATTGTCCCTCTTTTTACAAGAGTGGTTTCCAATAAATCAAGCTGCAATAAAAATTTGCGTCCGACACAATAACAAGCGGCCGCGTCGCGTTGTTCTCCTTTTGATTGATAAATTGTGCGGTGCTGCCGTTGTGGGCACCAGTTTTCGTGTTCCTCAAGGTCAATAACAATTACACACAAAGAGAGCGAACGGAGATCGAGTGCGAAAAACGAGAAGAATATAATATTGTAATAATCGCTGCGGCTATTCTTTTGTCCCGTTCCACGCAAGAGGCGTTGGTTCGGCAAGAGAATAAGGAGTAGCCGCTGCGAAAATTAATAATTGTCGTCGCGAGGTGCAATTCTCGCGATCGACGCCGGCGATTAGAGGGAAAACTCATTTGGCATAGAGGGATTTTCGGCTGCTGTGCGCGGCTCGCGAGATAGAGCGACCCGGAAAAAGGGCCCCGCCCTGAGCAGCGGCAGATAAAGCCAAGGCCGACAAGAGAAAGAAAGAAAGAGGCCCGCCCTGTACCCTGGCAGATGAGAAAACCGCCTTATAAATTTTTCGCTCTGATTGCAATTTGGTCGTGACTTGCGGAGGATGCAGGCCTTGGGACGGCCAAACGCACACGAGGCCTCAAGGCTGCTTTGCCAGGGCAGGGGTGGAGGCGGAGTGGGTGGACGCGGGCGACACCTGCTGACGACGGTCATCATTTTTTGGTGCTCATGACTGCCTGATTAATGCCTGCGCCGCGTTACCTTGGCTCGGCGCATCGATGGTCGCGTGAACGGTGGTCAGGCGCGCGCGCGCGCGACATTTCTTTCTCGCGCGGCGTGTCCGTTACCTTCTTCGCCGCGACCCTGCCGAGCATTAACAAGCAAAGCTCGCGACCGCGGCCAACTACTGCACTTTGGCTCACTCTCATATATACACACTTGGCCGTTCTGTAAAAAAAATAATGCTGATTATGTATGAATTGTTATTGAGCTCAAGAAACAGAGAGAGAGAGGAAAAAAAATACAGTTTAATCAATCATATTGTAAAGACACTGCCTGACTGATCAGGTCACCTAAAGGGCGCAGGAAATAAATAGATTTTCTGATTGATTTTTATTTTGAAATTTTGAATGTATATTTCTAAAGTTTTAAAAGTACTAAGGCAAATTGAGACAACCTTTTATACCTTTTTTTTTTAATTTTAAATCATATTTTCTCCCAGACAAAATAATATATGTGGCGAATTTTGATGCAAATGAATCTTTCATCATTACAAAAACAATTTTTGTGAATTATATTGTATTATATCAAGAGTTATCATTCTAAAAATAAGTAGTTAAAAAATATTAAATTCTTATAATTTTTTCCTTTGATTGAATATTAATTTATCAAATTACATTTAATCACAATCACAATAATTTTTAAATTGAAGTATAAATTTAATAATGTTTAATTTAAAAATAATAAAAATATTTGTTTCCGAGTAGTATCAAAAAAATATATAAATTTTATTCATTTTAGTTTGTTTAAAAAAAAAAACTGTGGTGTTTTTTATTCTAGTGATAAATTTTACGAATTTTACATAATATAAATTTACCAAATTATAATATTATATTTATTGATTTTGAAAGTTTACATTGTAAACTAAATCAATTTTCACGGTCGGTCATTCGTAAATATCTCACATACCTTACACTTCATCATGCATTTGTCCCTTCAATATAAAAAAATTGTTAGTAAAAGTCCTTGAATTTATTCAATGGCACATGCAAAATTTATGTAAATCTGGGCTTACAACTCAAGGATTAAAAAGACGTACTTCCTTGTATTAATCCCAAAGAATATTCTATTGCAGCCCATTCCAAAAAATTTTGATTGGCCCGATAGCCATTAAAACGCATACAACACTTTTGTTCCCAGAAGTCTGAGGACATTTTTGGCAGTCTTTCAGCAACGACGATATAGACTATAGAGGGACGCACTACTTTCACAATACAGTGGATAAGAGTAAAATTCCCAGTGGAAAATATACCTTTCGCGATCCGTGAATCAATTAATTAGCGTTAAATGTAAAAATAAGTAGTATGCGTGCTCTCTCGCAGGTGTATGACCTTCACACTACGTAAATGGCGCAAATCGAAAGAGAGTTAATTAGAAAAAAGGCAAACACGTACATCTCAAGTGGAAAAGGAAATTTTCTGCTCTTTTTTCACCTGCGTTACTCACTTTTAGCTCCTGCGAGCGTCTGCAGACCCGCAGGACGCGGCCGTGGCGCCGGTTGCTCTTCTGCAGAATCGCGTGGACAGTTCGGAGCAGGGCATGGCCGGATGCAGCACAGCCGGCCCTTTTTACTTCACTCAGCTATGCCGACATCTTGCCTAGCCCTGTGCGCTCCGTTCGGCGGTGGCGAGTGGTGTGGCCCAGGGAGCTGCAGCCCTCGGACCCTAAAAGCCGAGTGCAGAGCCGCTAATTAGTCAGGAGACGAGCAATGATTAGCGACCGAGTGAAGAGAGAGTCTTTGTGTCGCTGACAGAGCTGGAGGTGCTTGGGCGATGGCGTCATCCTGGTTGGGACAAACGCGTGCCTCGAATAAAAATGCCTCCGATTTCCTTTTTTCAAGCACGCGTGACTCAAAAGACAAACGGCTCTTCTTTTTCAGCCCATACCTTTGTTGTCTAGTTTGGAAGTCCCACTGTCCACTTTCAGCACACACGCTAGCTGCTTTTAAATTTTATTACCGGCCTATCTGCCCATCTATAACAGGCGGGATTATAAATTTCGTTAGGGCCTCAGGTTGACCTATCAAAATTAATTGTTATCGCCATTTAATAAGATCCATCTTGATCTAACAATAAAAGGAGCCGCGCAATCTTACCAAAAGGAATTCCTTTTTTTTTCTAATAATTTCATTTTCTTCTCATAGCCTCATCTAAACATTTTTATATCTTTGAAATTAATCTAAATATTTTGGAGCCTCAAACTCGTCTTCTACCACTCTCTATTTATAGAATGCTGGTGATAAACTGTTAGTTCGAAAAGTTTTCAAAGCGCTAATTATAACATATAAGGCTGCCCGCTTAACTCTTCTAGAGTGTGTGGCTTTGCATTTATGGGCAGTCTGTTGAGTGCGTGTGTGATCGGAATCATTTACAAAATGCTCGTGCTTGCATATAAATGGGCATATTAAAAAGCAATAACTCGCCAGACAATTGCTTTTTGCGCATGTACGTATGTGTGTAAAAACGACGTTCACCCTTTTTGTCCGTTTCATCTCTTCTCTTTTATTTCCTCTCTCAGCAGATCGAGACAATGCTCTGTTAAAAGCGGCGAAGAATGAGATATGTTCAAATCGTGCCTTTTGATATGAAGGGAATCCCACTAGATAACAATGGGGAAATAGCAGCACACCATAATTTCTATGAGAATATAAACCTTATGAATTGCCTATTTTATTACACATTTTGCTTCTTCTTTTCCTTGAACATTGTAGCTCAAAGTGGAATTCTGTTATAGCAATGAACTCGGTAGGAAGTTGTCTTTTGCTAGGGGCTCTGGGCTCTGATTGATAAAAATCAATGGATCAGCTGGAAAATGGAAAAAGAGCGTGATTATCTTGAGTGGCTCTCGCATTGTTAAAAAAACCTTCTGCTGGAACGCTGGAAGCATTCATGAGTATTTATTAATACATGCACTTTTAATATCTATTTAAATTTTTACTAAAACTTGAATACAAGAATCGATATTAAATTTAGTTGCAAATTGTGTTTATTGATCTATCACAAAGGCAATTGCTGCCCATAACGGGATACATCATTTATACATTCAAAATTATACAAGTTATTATAATTGAGAGAAAAGATGATAATTTTACATACAAATTTTTACAATAACAAAATACAAAAAAAAAAGAAAAATTAACAGTAATAAAGTTCTTTGGACATTTTTTTTTCTTTTTCTGGATGCTGAAAGCTTGCATTTAAATGACTGCCTGATACTTCCGAATGCCGCTTTCTTTGTTCTTTTTTTGCTCTTACTCCTGGCAAAAAACTGCAGCTCAAATTATGTTTAGTAAACAGGCTTTATTTTTAACTGTTTTTTTTAGCAATGAATTAAATCCATGCATTGACCGTACTCCCATTTCAAGATAAAGATTAATGTATATATTTTTTTTCTTATAATTAGTTTTATAAAATATTACATTAAATAAATTGCACAAAATTAACTTGTAACTTAAGTGAAGAAAATCCCTGCTAAATTTAAAGTGCAAAATAATAATTTAAACAACGAGTAAAATATGCAAAAATTGCATAATTAAGTTTTTAATCATGTGAACTAAATATGCATCAATTAATTTAGCGCACATAAATAAGCGCCTATGAATTTAATTAATTATAAAACAAAGTTTATCACCAAATACTATGATTTCTATGAAAGTTTATCCCGTTTTTTTTCATTGTGGCAATTGGTAGCAATCATTTTTCATGAAAAAAAAAACAATAAAAATTAATCAGTTACGCCGTGTTTGCAGGGCTGCCCAAAGTCCCCACTCCATGAAGCTTGAAGTTTTTTGCATGAGTATTATTTTTAAAAACAGCTTGTCAGTACAACGCGCAACACAATTACAATTTCATTTATTAAAGTTATATACAAGGAGACCGTGATTAATTTTAATTTCTTTCGAATTTTATGAATATATTAATATATTAACAATTATTTTTTATTCATTTTCACTCAATGCAACTCATATTATGGCATATTTACTATTTATATCAATTGGAAAATAAATATATAATTGGTTAATTATTTTTATTTGGTTTATTTTTCCCAGAATGAATCAAAATTTTTACATTGCAAGAAAAGAAAAAGCAACAAAATTCATAAATAAAATTGTTGCGAAGGAAACAATGAAATTTTGGACAAAAAGGCGCCATTACAAAATATGGCAAAGATTATTAAATCTTTAGATTTTTCAACATAAAAAGACCCTCTATCTGCCGCAGTAATCCTCTTCAGTCTTGTTAAACTAATTCTTGAAAACTTGTTTTGAATAAAAATAAAAATAAAATTTCGCAACAAGGAAAAACCCAATATCTTCATTTCCATGATCATCTCCTCGAGTGTCAATTTTTCAAACAAAAATTTTCTCCATTATGATTATTATAATTATTTTGTATATTATTGAACCCAATCATTATTATTATTATTAATGAGCTTTACCAATTTTTGAAAATATTTTCACATTTTAACAAAATGTTTTGGTATTTTAATCAATTCGACCAATTTCACGAAGACCTGTATAGTTTGTTGAGTTTTTGCGAAGACGTTTATGGTTTCTCCTTTCCCGAAGATAACAAAAAAATATTGGGTTAATTTTTTTCAACATTTTCTCGGAATTGATTTTTTTCTGTTTTATCATTTTGTGATTTGTTTTTAAACAATTTCATTAAAGCTGTATCTAGCTTAGTGACATTTGTAAAAAGCTCTTGCAAGAAAATAATTATTATTGAATTTTTCAACATTTTTCATTCACATTTTTCCTTTTCGTCATTTGCGCGTTTTTCTCATTATTATAATTTTTGTCACAATTTATTCATTTTTTGATTCAGCCTGGCATAGAGAAGTTCCTCTGCAGTCGCGAGAGTGCTCTGCAGTCACTCCCGCCACGTCCGTCCATAGGACGTTTCCCGATTGGCAGGTGGCGCGTTGATCGTGGCCGTGCATTATTTTGGTTTGTTTTGCAAGGCTGCGTCTGACTGTGAGTTGGCCTCTGACCCCCGGTACTCTAAGCCAGGTCAACGTGAGTTTGTGAAGAATCTTCGTTTGAAGTGAGACGGAACGATGGCCCCAGTGCCTTTAGAGGGGCACCAGGCGCCCGTCGCCGGCGGCCAGGAGGCCCGCGGCGGGTCCTCCGTCTCGCTCAGCCTCCTCATCGACTTCATGGTGCAGAGGACGTACCACGAACTCTCCGTTCTCGCCGAGTTGTAAGAATTAAACCTTGCTTGATTTACCTGCAAATTAAAAATTAATTTAATCCTAAAGGTTGCCGAGGAAAACAGACGTTGAACGCAAAGTGGAGATTTACAACTTCAGCGCCCGGACCCGGCAGTTGTACGTTCGGCTCTTGGCGCTGGTCAAGTGGGCCTCTGGTGCGTCCAAGGTGGAGAAGTCAACCATGATCATGCAATTCCTCGACAAGCAGAGCATGCTGCTGGTTGACACGGCCGACATGCTCACCAGGATCGCCAGGGACACCCTGACGCACGCCCGTCTGCCCAGCTTTCACATTCCGGCGGCCGTCGAGGTCCTCACCACCGGCACCTACTCACGGCTGCCCGCAATCATCAGGGAGAAAATCGTGCCTCCTGACCCAATTACACCCAGCGAAAGGAGGCAAACCTTGCTCAGGTTGAATCAGGTCATCCAACACAGACTGGTTACCTCTGACATTCGGCCGCAAATGCGCAATCTGAAGGTTTGTTTTTGAAATTGACAAGGAAACTCTCATGGACAATTTTTATCTTTTTTATTTATTTGTGATAACTATTGCATTGATTAGATTATTTATTTATTGAAATATAAATTTCTCTGGTGTCAATAATCCTTTAAAAGTTAGAGATCCAGATTTTAAATTCTAAATTCTAAACCATAAAGCTCATATGATTAAAAAAATAAAATGGAGAATTTAAATTCATTTCATATACAAACAAAATTTAAGCTTATAACTAGGCAATTTAGCCACATCCCAGTATTATAAAAAAAACTGGAGATTGAATGATAACTATGATAAGTGATACATTGAAAAACATAATTTGAAATACAATAGAAAAAAATAAAAGAAAACTACTAAAAACTTTTATTTGATTAGAAACAATAGGAGTCATTTGCTTCAGATACTCTTTAAGGATAACCATTTTGAAAAATGTATTATCTTTAACAATAAGATGTCTCAAGAGAATATCCCTCATATGAAATGGTCAAATGGAAAAATCATTCATCAAAAAACAAATTGTACTCTTGCCGTCAAATTTGTTTTGAGCAGTCAAATAAAATGAAATAATAAAATTCCCGAGGAAAAATAAAAAAACTCTTATAACTTTCCCACAACTCATTTTATTTATCCAAATCATGAGCAATCAAAGCTTTCTTCAAACAAAATATTTCTTACATGAAGTGCAAATCTCTTCATTAAATACCTAATTACCTAATATTGGATTTTTCATTTTAGATTGAGGCTGGTCGGGTGACTTTTGTTGTTGACCGTGAGTTTGAAGTGTGCCTCACCGTGATGGGCGAAGGAGAAAACGTTCCCTGGCGTCTTCTCTCGGCAAAGATCCTGGTCGCCGATAAAGACACTGGTGAAGGTCGTCCTTTGGTCCACCCCCTCCAGACACAATATCTGCATGATGTCCTCCAGTCCCGGCTGGTGGATGAAAAACAGCCCCTCTACGAAGTGTACGACGTGCTCCACTTCTTCTGCCTGGCCCTCCGGCTGGAGGTCCTCTACTGCCAGACCATGAGGCTCTGTCGGGACAGACTGGATGACCACATCCGAATCGACGACTACAAACCGGGAAAGTCCCTGAGCATTTCCTACTGGCGTCACCTGCCAGAGCAGCCGCAACACCACTTCACAATCCACACCGACCCACACGACCCTGCCAAGTCACTCGTGGTCACTCACCTGCCGTCCTTGGCCCAAAAGGACTCTGAAATTGTGGACAAAGCACTTTTGATGGAACAGCTGAGCATCGAACGCCTCCTGGTCCAGACAATCTACCTGAGAACAAAGTCAAGACTTGCCGAACTCAAAACAGAATTGGAGACTATGTTGAAAGATGTGGATTGTAAGTTCCATTGTAAATTATATTGACTTTTAAATCATCAGAAGTTTGAAATTTGCAACTGATCAAATCCATTCGAATTTTTCTTATTGAACCCAATAAATGTTTAAAAAATAATTTTACTGTTCAAATATTTTTTGTTCAAGTTAATGCTTTAAATATTTTAATTAGTTTGCTTGTAGTTTGTTAGGAAAGGATCAAATCTTATGAATGCATAATTTTTTAAAATAAGTGGACATTGTTACAGGTCAGTTGCAAGGGTCTCCAGCAATCCTCTCTGTTCCTGTTGTCCAACCTTGTCTGAGAGCCGAACTACTGCTAATCACTGTGGACACTCACTCTGGCTCCTTCTTGGCCCACGTGCCTCAATACTCGTCCCCGATTTTGCCCGAAATTCAAAATTCTCTCAACTACGACCACACTCGCCTTCCCACTTTGCTGCAAGAGTTGCGCTTTTGGATCACTCAGCGGCGATGCGAGAAAACCCTGCAACACCTTCCTGCCACAGCCCACGAGCGTCTGCCAGTCATGCACGCTGCTGATCATCCCATTGCCAAACTCAGTCGGCACAAAATGTTTGTCAGACTGCATCGGCACCAAAGGGTCATTCTGGTTGTGGAGCTAAAGGAGAAGCCGGAATCTCCCTGCGAGGTCAGCTGCAGCTTTTACCTTGTTATGGTAAAGCCTTCAAGCATAGAGGACAGTCCGGAGGATGAAACTATTGAGACAGAATTTCCCAAAACTTATTTAAGGGTAAGATTAAAAAAAAAATAGTCAATCTTGGACGTTTGACTTCATAAAAAACAGCTTCACAAAATTATTAGTAGGACGCATTTATAATAGTTATTGACAAAAACAAAACTGAAAGTTACAATAATTTTCAGGAAAAGCTAGAACATTTTCAGACTAACTGGACTTACAGCCAAGTAATAATTTTAATGACCAACTGTACTACAACCGAACCTAATTAAACTGAGAATTTTCAATTAATTTCCAGGTTCAACATGTTTGCGAGCTCGACTCGTTTGTATCGATGCACGGTCCATGCACTGCTGTGGACGAGTCTTGCGGCCAGAAGAGAAAAATGTCCGACGGGCCTGCAGCAAAAAGGGCCAAACACCCTGCCTATTTCATCCCCGAATTGGCCCACGTTGTGGCCATGTGCGACGAACGCTTGCCCTTTGTGGCCATCGCAGCAGAGTTTTCGCGTCGAGGAATTGCCCACCAAGGAATCCAGGTTGAGGCGGGGGCAACTGCTGTTGTCTTGAGAGTCGTCCAGCTGCCCACCAAAGTGAAACCGATCCTTAAGAGACTGCTTTCGTTGTCTCTTCGTGTGCAGGGCAAAGGAACCAAGGCGTGGCTGGCAGAGTTCATCTTCCATGGGGCTCCTCTGCAGAGTTTGCACCCAAAGGAGCAAGGACTGCGCCGGCCAGTGTACTTCCAGTATGAAATGGTTCCCGAGGAAATTGCGGGAAGGACTGTTGATGCGCTGTTAAGAGATTGGGAGCAGATTTGCAACCTTTATGAGATTGTCTACGACTTGACCGAGTTTTTAAAACATGGTAAATTTTACATAATTTTGAAATTTTGGTTATTATGTTGTTTATTTGCCAAAATTGTTTCATCACAATTTTTTTAGTTTAATTGCACATAATTATGTTTCTTTAACTGTTTCGTTTTATATAGTACTAAATTAAGGGAAAATTATTTTAATAACATTATTTACCACAATTTTAATTATTTTTGAAAATTATGCTAACCAACTATTCCCACAACTTTGGACCCACAGAGGAAAAATGTATTACTTTTTTAAAGGAAAAGGGATTAAATGAGAAGTAGAAAAACTCTTTACAGGATTACAATCTTGCAGGGAATTATGGAATACTAAATTATCCACTATTCTAATTAAAAATATATTATAATATTTTCTTGACGTATAAATTATATTACATTGCATTAACTTTCCTGGCAAAGTTTATTTTAAAAATTATTTCAATTAAAAAATAGTATAAATTTTCGATTTTAACTTTCATTCTTTGCAGATAAATACGGTCTATCTGGAATGATTGCTGTAAAATCATACTCATACAGCCGGCTTGTGCTTTCCTATGGCGCAGATCGATCTGCAACCATGACCGTTTTCTGGTCGCCAGACCACAAGGCATTCCGCCTCATCTTCAGCTCCAACCCTGGCACACCAAACGCCCATGCCGCCGTCAAGGAACAGCTGCAAGCCCACCTAAACCGAAACCGCAGTCTTGCTCAAGTTTTGGTTTTGCTCTGCGAAACCTACGAGCCACTTGTCTCTCTTGGAAAACTTCCTGGATTGCCTCAGTTGGGAGTGCACCAGTCCAAAGCTCCGCAGGTCGCCACACAGGGTTTCACCCTCCTGCCTCAATCGCCCACCCAGATCAGGGTGGTCTACCAAGGAGTTTACTGCCTTGAGGTTCGAATTAGAGGCGGAGGTTTGGTCAGCGTCCGAGACGGTTCCTACAGCCACCTTGATCGAACGCACGTCCTAAGCGATTTCACCCCTACCCAGGGGCTAAAGGTTGGAAGTGAATAACGAAGACAAATATCCATTTAATTTGTTTTCTTCAGGCATTCCTATCTAAATACGTTGACGAGTCGGCTGTGTTTTTGCGTCGTCGCTCACAATCAGAGGATGACAATCCTCCCTCTCCTGTTGTGGCAATGGAGAATGTGTCCAACCCTGGCAGCGCGTCCACCCCGGGACAGTCTGAGAACCAGGCGACAAGCTCACCATCTGTTCCTTCGCCATTCTTGGGAGGCATTCGACCCCAAAGTCCAGCTACCAGAGGTACATTAATAATTTGTAACAATGTTTGAATGGGCATCAAAAATTTGTGCTAATTTTTGTACAGCTGCTGATGCGGCGTCCTCTAATGTCTTGAGGTTTCACCCTCCACATACACCACCTAGCAACCCACACACACCAGCCAGTCCTCACCCGGCCATGGTGAGTGCAGATATCATATTTCTTAAATATATTTTTTATTTTTTTTCCCTCAAACTTTTATGATTTTTTTTTTATCGTTTAACAAATTTTTCAGCATGATATTGGCATAATTATTTCATTTATATTTCATGGTTTCTTCCATATTTTCATTATAAAAGATCAAAAGAAAATTGTTAAAAAAATATATATATAGAATAATCAAAATTTAAAACTAGTAAAACCCTACATTGCCCTGGAACTAGCAGCTTAATGCAACTTAAAGTATTTTTTAATGTCGATTTTTTAATTATCTTTGGTCCATTAAGTGGTTTATGAAGTGAAAATCAATTAGATTTGACAGCGTAACCTATAAAGGTTATATATTCAGTTAAATCACAGAGAAGTTTCTCTCGCAACAATAAGCATTGCTGGTAGTTTTCTGACTGGTGGTTAAGATGGGCTGGTGGTTAAGACTGAGAGTAACAGTGAAAACTCGCGATGTAGTATCAGGAGCGCATGAAGCGGCAGTAGGTAGCTTACCGTGTCAAAAGAAGCCTTTTGTGCTACTGTCTGACTAGGGATTACCAGGATGACGATCATTCAAATAAAAAGCTTTTTTCAAATCAACTCCTCTCTATTTTTAATGCGTTTTGGTCCAACATTAAATTTAAATGGGAAAAAATATTAGATTTAACTTAAAAAATGGTTTGCTCATTGTAAGTAGTGTCTCTCATTGCTGGGTTTGGTTAGTCTTCTGACTGGTGGTTAAGGTTTCTGACTAGTGGTTAAGGTTTTGGACGTGGCGGTTAAGACTGCGAGTAACAGTGAAAACTTGCGATGTAGTATCAGGAGCGCATGAAGCGGCAGAAGGTAGCTTGCCGCGCAATAAGAAGTGTGCAGTTATATAAGTTACACTGTATGAAATTTCATGGTTTTTACTTATTGATTATATTACTATAGAACAATGAAAGCTGTTTAATTTATTTTTATTTATTTCAATATCAATAAAATATTCTTCTCATTTTAAATCCAAAGACTCTAGATAATTTTTCTTGATTTTTCTTCAAAATGTTAAATATATTACTATTATTATTTATTCTTCTAATTCCTTTAAATTATGCTTGGATGTATTTAGTTTCAAAGTAAAGATTGAAATTTGTTAACCAAAATAATTTCTATTTCTTTTCAGGGCCATGGATTTTCGCCAGCATCCTTCAGTCTTGCGTCTCCACCTCCAGCGCCTCCCATTGTAAATCCTTCGCCCACCGTTCTGCCCTCTCCTTCGCCCATCCTCAACTCCCCAAATCCACTTCCATCACCTCTCTTGCCGCAAAGTTCACCCCAGCAACCAATCGGTCAATCACCTGCCGCTGCCAACTTCCCTCAACCCTCTCTTGCAGACTCAAGTCCCTTCCCGTCATCACAGTCGATGGCCTCCTCCCCTGCACCTTCAAACTGGCCCAGCAGTCCGAGCGTTCCTCGGCCTTCACCTGGCGCCGCCCGAGCTCCTGGCCACAGTCCGGCAGGAGGATTTACTCACAGTCCAGACCCTGCCAAACTCACTCCTCACCTATCAAGAATTCTCCCCCAACGGTCTTGGGCTGGAGCTGTACCGACATTACTCACCCATGAGGCCCTCGACTTATTGTGCACTCCTGCACCTCTTCTTCAAACAGCTCAGGGTCCTGTTAGTACCCTGATTGAACCCAGTCCACTTGAAAGATTTTTGGGCTCTTTGTACTTGCGGCGTCAACTCCAGCGATTCATTCAGTCCGAGGAGTGTGTAAGTAGAATACTTATTTTAAGAATTTGAAAATTAATATTTTAAGTATTTTATTAGGAGTTTAAATCAAAACATATTTTATGAACTAAAAAAATAAAGGAATTATTTCATGTACTTCAAGCTTTTTTTTTCAAAAAATTGTTTTATTCATAACAAATTAACAAATTTAGAATTTTCGTAATTGTATAAATTAATCGGCATTTATTCTTATTTAGATGCAATCTATACCAAATCCCGAGCCTGGTGTTGTCCACCTGAAAACAGACACCCTCCTGTGCCGAGTCTTTCAAAACACCACACATCTGCAGTCGCTCCATTTGAAACTCTCACCACTGAATGAGCATGACGAGACTTCCTGGAGCCCAGATGAGTTCCAGATCTTGGAGAAATTCTTTGAAACAAAAGTTGTTTGCCCACCTTTCAAGCCACAAGCACTTTTGGCCTTTGCTAGGATGCTCACCGTTCCCTATAACATGCTCAAGGACTTTGTCCAGATCGTCAGATTGGAACTTGTGAGTACAATCTAATTTTTTATTTTTAAAGTTTTTTTTCTAAATTATTTAATTTTTATAGCTGCCTCAGTTGGGACTGCAGCAAGGACTCAGGTGGTCTGTTCAGTGGCCACTGAGGAATCCTCCGTCAGGAACGCATCTCATACCCACAGGAGTTGCGTCATTCCTGATCTGCCGAAATAAAATTCTCTTCTTCTTGTGCATAACCAGACAAGGCGTCCAGTATCCACCAGGAGTCGAACCTCCGTCTATGATTTTGCCTCTGGTTTATGATCTGCACACCAACATCACTCAACTTGCACAGAAACAGGACCAGAACCAAGTGCACCCTCCTGCTTTTGCTGCAGCCAATTTGCAGATGAAGAGATTTGCTGACTACCATGCCAATGCCAACCTGGACCAGTGTTCTGTTTTTCCTGCACTGAGAGACTTGATGGCAAACTTAGTTTTGCCTAACGAGCCACCACCAATGATGGCACCCATGGCCGCTGCTCAGGTAAATATTGCTAGCAATTTTTATGTAAAAATTTATAGTTTAAATTTCAGCAGGTTGTTGGTTCTCCTGCCATGCAGTCACCTATGGCACAAATGCATCACTCGCCTCTGCCCCCAAATGCGATGGGCCCTGGTCCACAACACCAAGGCTACCCTCCGCAACAACAGCAGGGCTCACCAATGATTAACCCCCACGGCATGATGCCTCAGTAAAAATTATTATTCTTATTAATGTAAAAATTTGTTAGTTGGAATTAATTATAATACAGTCACTATTAATGTAACAATTACTTTTTATTTTTATTTTGATTCAGTTTGCCTTTGTGAGTTGCAACAGGTGAATCTTCACAGCAGTACCTGTAAAATACATCACATTTCAGAAAAATCTAAAAATTAAACATTTTACTTTTCGGACCTTTTGGCGGACACTAATTTTATGAGATTTTCTTGGTCAATGGTGAGCTTCTCGGCGACAGCCATCAACTGCTTCAGCTCTCGAACCGACGAGTCTCTGCAACTCTCTGCATCCACCAGTTTAGTTTGCAGCCGCTCACTGCGACCTTCCGCTCTCCTGCAGCACAGGGCAGTGAGCGGCTAACCCTATGCCAAATGAAACTTACCTCAGCAGTTTCTCTAGAGCCTTGGCTTTGGCATCGCTGTGGTTTGCTTCAGAATGAGCCAGTCTGGCTCTGGCCTCAGCCTCTACTTTCTCCTTGGTCATCATGGCAACTCGTTCCTCAAGCAGTTTACGATCCTTGTCGTAATTGGAACGAAGCTCTTCCAAAAGCCTAAAATAGCATTTTTTTTTATTTTTTTCATTGAAAAAAATTTATTTTACGTTTTGCACTCGTTGATTGAAGACTGATGGTGTTGCTGGGGTACCCTGCTCTCTACCTCTTTCATGGCCTCATCCAACTGCTCTTGCAGAAGTCTGTAGTCCCTTGCAAGTGCTTTCATTTGAGCCTGCTGTTGAGAAAATTCATCATCCTTTTTCATGTCACGATGTCCTGTAATTACTTTAATTAGTTTCAGTCAACGGCTTTTATTTTTAGTTCCTACTTTGTTTGATCAACTGTTCCTCCAGATCTTCAACTCTAGTTTTGTAATCCTCCAGGCGTCCGAGCAATGCAACATTCTCACTGTGAAGACTTTCAACATCTTTGGAAGCAAGTTCTCTCTCATTTCTCTCCATGGCACTCTAAAAATAATGCATTTTAATTTAAATAAAATTCCTAAGACATAAAATAAAAAATTTACCTCATTTCGCACTTCTTCAAGAGCTTCGTGGAGTTGTTCATTTTCGTAAACAACCTCCCTGAGTTCAGCTCCCAATTCCTTCAACCTGAGTTCGTACTTTTCAATGACGGCATCTTTCTCAGAGAGAGCTTCATCGTACGCAGTCATAAGTGGGCCAAGTGTGGTTGGGTCAGCGCGACACCAAGCAGGGGCAATTCTCTCACCATCAGGTACATCACCCTGTCCTTCGATGGCTCGCAGTCTTGTCTCGTAGCGACCCAACTCGACATTCAGCCTCCAAACAAGATTCTCCAAGAGCTCGCGATCCAAGAGAAGGGACTCAGCAGTGTTTGGTCCATTTCTTTTCTGAGGCCTGTGCACCTCAGGAATGTCCTCGTCAGCTAAATCTTCCTGTTGATGTTGATGCACCAGAGCGCCAGCACTTTTGGATCGAGAAGACTGAAAACAAAATTGTAAAAGTTCGAAGCAATTTTTGGGATATGATTATATTAAATTTTTGCCTTGTTTGATCTCGCTGGTCTTGTAGGTTCCATGTCGGTCTGATTATGAGACCTCCTGGTCCTGGAAAAGGTCCTCCGAAGCCTCGTCTGAAATCTCTCAATTAAGCCCTGGCAACCGCAAAACATAACAAACTTACCAGTAGGTCGATATTCATATTGTCAAGCCAAGGGCCAAGCGTGCGGTTGTGCGTGTCGTGACTGGTTCAGACTTGTTTTACCGCCACATGAAAATACATTACCGTGGAAGTTTGGGAAGAGACCGCTAGAGCTACCAAATATCAAAAAGCAAAGAAAGACACGCTTGTAAGTAAAGGAGTTAAATATTTTATTCACATAATTTAGATAAATAGTAGAATTAATGCAAATATCGTGAATAAATTACTTAAAACATTCTTAAATTGTAACTTTTACGCGTATAACTTTATTGAAGTTGGTTATAACACTTAAAAATGTCATATTAGCAGCTCCGAAGTCATTCCTCTCTGATATCTCCTTTCAACAAAATAAAAATAACAGAATAAACAGAAGAACAACGACTTTGAAATTATCTGGATGTCTGTCGTATTGGCAAAAAAATTCATGAGATTTTCACGATGTTATTCCATTGAATAGAGTTGATTAATAGGAAGTATTAAGCTCGGATATAGCTTTAGAATAAAACGAATGGTAAGTTGTGAGGTTTAAAGATACGCTTAGTGCGTATGACGTCCCAAAAATGCCCGAATTCGAGCTTTGTTTTTGTCCTACAAATTTGTCAGTTTTAATTCCTCTACGCTGAATTTAATTAAACTATTCTTAAATAGCAGAGATCTAAGAAAAATATCATTTGATTCAAAAGTTTCCGTCACTGCTATGTAATCCAAACTGCTAATTTTAATTCCGTAATGTGTATAGCTTCAGAATGATTAACCTTCACTTTTTACCTTGAATTCACACCCCCATTTGTTCTTCAATGCTTCACCGATTATAATATTTTTCCAAAAAATTTCAGAAGAATAAAATGTGACAAAAATGCCTGCCACGGAGCTGCGATCCATAGAGTCTCTGCAACCTGCCTACCCAACCTTCATAAACGGAACGACCAGAAATGTGGACATAGTGTGGCTCAACTTCTCTGGGCAGCCGATAGTGTACAAGACCCTGCAGCCACGTCGACCCTTCCGGGTCAACACCTTCGTGACCCACCCGTGGTTGTTCGTTGATGCTGACTCAAGGGACAGACTGCTAGGCCGGGGCCAGCTAATTTACATGCCTGAAGCTCCAAATTCGGAACCCATCAAACGACACACCGTGCTGATCACCATTCCAGTGTATCCTCTGCTCGTCCGATCCCTCCAGGTCCTTCGAGACTGCCTGAAACCAGAAATCATTAACATGTGCATGCAGTCGGAAAAACTTCCGGAGGCAATTCAAGGACTTCGTTTGCCAAAAACTTTGCAAGTGAAGTTGGTTAAGTTCATCAGGTCAAGTCAGGAATTCAGAATAACAAACGCTGAACAGTGATGTGCTTGTTTTTACACACAAATGTACACTTTAATTTTACTTTCGAGGTCTTGCCCCACCCCTACTTGGGCCACCTCCGCCTCTAGGGCCTCCGCGCTGATTGAATCCTGTTAAAAAATTGCAATTAGTGAGACTTGGCAAATTTTGCTTTGAATGTGATTTCTCTTGCCTCCGCGTTGGAACACGCCGCCTCGGCCACCGCGTTGGCCACCTCGAGGACCCTTGTTGTCGCCACGGCCACGACCCTTGGCCATCACCTCCTCTTTAACGTTTTCGATGACGTCGTCGGGGATTCGCAAATACTTGATTGTGCTGCCTCTTATGTAGCATTCAGGCATCCTCCAGAATTTGTCACCATCCTAGAAGATGAACGTTTTTATTGATTCAATCAAACTAAATTATTTGTGGATGTGGAAATAAATGCGTAACAGGCGCCACAAAATTAAATCAATTTTGTTGAAATGTTAAAAAAAGCTTATTGTGCTTATCATTTCTTAAAATACAAAAGCTAGAAGTATATTTAAAGAACAGGCTAATAAACAAACAAAAATATATATTATTTTGGTTGCATTCAGTATCAGCGACTTACTCTTGATGTGCAGATCACCTCTCTCAAGTTAATGTTCATCCAGCTGTCACAATTGACAAGGTGACCGTTGTATGTTTCTCCATTTTTCAATTCAACCAACTGAAAAATAAGATCTTTTATTGTTTATACTAAAAAAACCTGCAGAAAGTCGTTCATGAAAGTATGTATGACAATACAACATACTTGTTTTGAATCTTAGTAATTTAATTTTAAAAAATCAACTGCAGGAAATCTCGAATTTATTTTGATAACTATGAATTAATGCAAAAAAAATATCATTACCATGGGATGATTTTGAGCAGTTCGGAGCAGAGACAGGGGAAGCTGAAAAGTTATAACAAATTTTTACAAACAACTTAGATTTGAATTCAATAAAAATACCATGTTGTCCCTATTTAACGGAACGCAGCTACAGATTCAGTTTTAAATTAGTTAAGAAAACTGCTTTCCTAGCAGATAAGTCGCAAAATCCAGCCGGGAAAGGAGGATTCGAGGGAAAAATCGAAAATTTTTGCAAAAGTCAACAACCGGCTTGAAGCTTGAAAGCTTGAAACAACAAAACAAAAGCCCAACAGGGTAGTGCGCAATTGAGTTCGTAAAGTATCCTGCGCAGATACGTAATATTGATGTTTGCGCAATAAGCCATGGATCTGCCTTCGAAAACCCCACCTGCAATTTCCCACGCGGATGCTGCGCGCAGGATGCGCGGATGTTCAGGATGTTGTTTGTACTTTGTTGTTGTGAATCGTGAAATTTGCTCCCCGAGTTTCTGAATACAATTTGATTAAATTTCGCTCGATTTTCGTCAAGCCAGTCTTCTCGACTTAATGAGAGAGCAAAGCGGCCCGGAAAATTCTCAAAGCAAGCACAGGCAAGTCCGTCAAGTCCGTGTTTTAAAGAGCGTTTCGGACCACGATTATTGGATCGATGAGAGTTCATAATTTGCGGCAAAAAATTGATTAAATTTGCTCATTTAAAGGTAATTGAATTTCCACCTAAATCGACCAAACTGAGACTAATGCAAAGTTTTTTCCAGCATTCGAAAATGTCGGCTGAGAAGGGCGACGTGACTGCCGTGATCATCGTTCCCAAAGAGGAGCCCTCGGAGCCGCTGTACTGCATCCGAGAGGGCTGCACGCGACAGGCCATCCGCAGCCCTGAATGGGAGGACGAGTATTGCTCTGCAGAGTGCGTGGTCGCGCACTGCAAGACGATATTCAACCAGTGGTGCAAGGAGGCCAGACAGGCCGCCGACCTGAACAATATTAGTGCGGAGAAAAAGTAACCATGAAATGAGAAACACAAGATAAGTTCCTTTCCCTATAGCATAGATTTATTGGCAACAATTTGGTGCTATTGATCAAGAAGTGATGAAAGACAGAAAAATATTTGTTCGGTTGAGAGACTCGTTGTTCCTTCATTTGTTCAGCTGCTTGCTTCTTGCCGTGGAGGCCTCGATGGCGTCCATGACGGCCACACTGCATTTTTAAAAATTAAAGAAGAATTAAATGTATATCAAGTTAGACACGAATGCGTGAGTTTTTGTAAGAAAAGTTTTTTACAAGGTCTGCTCGAAAGGCAGTTTTTTCGAATAAGGAACAAATCAAAAATTTTAAATAATAACTGTTGCCTTGGCAAATTTGTGAAACTCTTTTTACTTTCAAAAATATATTATATCATAGGCGGTAGCATTCAAAATAGATTTAAGTCGAAATCGTTCCTTCTTATAATGTAAAATCAAGAAATAAATTTATATGGAAAAAATTAAATTGTACTTGAAATTTTGTCCTTTTTTGAGAGCGTGGAGCCCAGCAATGGTGGTGCCAGCAGGACTGCAGACCTCGTCCTTGAGCAGTCCAGGGTGCTTTCCAGTTGTCTGGACCATTTTAGCGGCGCCGAGCACCATTTGGGCTGTCAGTCTGTTAGCCATGTCTCTTGGAACTCCTTGGGCCACGGCACCGTCGGCCAGGGCCTCGATGAACTGGTAGACAAAGGCTGGGCCACAACCCACCAGGGCGCCTCCGGCGTCCACCAAAGTCTCGGGCACTTCTTCGGCGAGACAGTTTCCAGCTTAAATCAAAATTATTTTAAAGTTTCACCTCAGTTCGAAGGTCTTGCTCAAGATCAACATAAATATAAGCTAAAAAGATCCTATTATTTTGCAAACTTTAAAAGGTTGATGTGAATTTTAATTTAATCAAATTTTGAATTTTTATGGCCTAGTTTCCCAAAGAAGGAAGAGCTAATTTTTAAAATATCATTTCTGGGATTAATCGCAGCTATCCTTAAGATGAGTGAAAATCTGAAAAAGATATGAATTTTTATAAAAATTACTCCAATTGATTTTTGAGCAAAGCCTTTCTTTTAATCTAATTTATGAAACTTCAATGATTTACCTCCAAAAATCAATTTGGCAATTTCAATATGTTCTCTTGGTGTGTAAGGATCGGCACAAATCACCGTGGCGCCTAAACCGGCCATCATTGGGGTGTTGGGCATTGTCCGAACCACAGCAGCATTACCCCGGAGAACACCTTTCCCTATGATGTTATCCCGTATAGCACCAGTGCTGATTCCAGCCATCACAGATATGTAGAGAACCTCTTTATTTGCTGGTAATCGCTCTGTCCATTGTCCTTGAAATTGCTGCGGTTTCAAGGCCAGGATGACAACTTCACTGGCGGTGGCAACCTCACAGTTACTGCGCACCGTTTGTGCCCCAGCGTCCTTCCATTTTCCCAAATTCCGGTCACTCGGTGCCGAAACTGTCACTTGGCCAGCAGGGAGCCCTATTTTAAAATTTATTACTGAAATAATTCTAATGGTCATTGAAGAAAATTCTACCTGCATTTAGGAGGTTTTGGAAAATGGCCCAAGCCATGTTTCCAGCACCAATGAAACCAATGGTCAGATCGGAAAGACTTTTAGTTGATGACATTGTGCCTCACTTTGCTATTGAAAAATTGCAAAATCAGCAAATATATTTCAGTAGCTCCATTAAAATAACAGTAATTCCTCTAATATTTTATAAAACTTTAAATTTTTGGTAGATTAAAATTTTATCTCTAAATTTTTACTGCGCATAGAGAATTATAAACAGATTTATCCAGATAAACACTGGTTGGTGCCAATTTAAGAAAGTTTATTTATTTTTCACTGCATTAAGTCTTAAATTTTGCTTTTATTATCATTAAAATTAAATACTTGCCCTGCCTTATTAATTTTTTTTTAAATCTCAGATATTAACGCTAAAAAGCAAAAGAGTGACTTCTTGGAAAAAATATCTCTGGAAAATATTAATTAAACGGACATTGATGGTTTAAAATTTAAAACGGACTAAGAAAATTATCCAAAATAATAAAAAATTATATCTGCATTAGATCAAAGCCTATGTTTACGTTGCTCCACTCCTTGTCCTTGCTGGAATGCAGATGATGAAACAGGACTTGACGGTCCAGTTGCAGTTTTCATTCAGCGGTGTCAAATCTCTGGGCGAACTTTTGTTTTGACTCGCAGCCAGGCCGATGACCTCGAGGTGCTGCGATCTAGAGGAGAGCACGAAAAGGACGAGCGCTTTGATCTGCATTTTGAACGTCGCTCGCTGTTCCGTTAATTCGCCGCCAATTGTGTGTGCATTTATTTCCTGCATGTCTCCTTTTCTTTCCTCCGGGTGACTGATGTTGAAAAGTCACGCTCGCCAATTCTCGCGCAACACGCCGCGCCGTGAGTCGTTGGAAAATGCACACATTCTTTATAATAATTCTTCACTTCGCAAACGTCTCCCTCCCTATTACAAAATGCAAAAAAATCATCATTGCTATAGAAAATAAATAATACTTTTTGCATAACTGCTTTTATATCTAGCGGTACTTTAACAGTCATATTCATTAATTAATAGGAAAAGTCGCTTTTTTTCTGCCGTTGAATGCAGTTCTAATGGACAACCATAATCATATAAAATGTGTAGTTAAAATAATAATTAATAATGCTTCCAATTATTAAGGAAGCTTACGACCCATTAAATTAATTTATTAATGACGGCTCTACTGGCTCAAGCATTGCAAAAACTTTAACAAGAGCAATTTTTATTGAAATATTTTGCTAATTTTCTGTTTGCCTTATGAAATGTTAATTCGCTTAAAAATTTTAAATATGAAATTCTGCAATAATGAAAGTAAAGTTACATTCTCTATGATACAGTAAAACTTTTAAATGAAAAAAAAAGATCATAAAGTTCAACGCAAACAACTGAAACAACGAGTATAGTACCTTCTAAATTTAAAAGAAAATATATAATTATTTAGTACTCAATTTATTTTATTAATATAGAGTTTTTATAGAATCATGCGAATCATGTAATGTTCTTAAATACAATTAACATTTTGTTATTTGTTTATTCTCCATTCATTGTAAACATTAGTAACAATAAATATGCATTAAATCATAAAAAAGTGCTTTATATTCATAAAATGCTACCTTGTCTAAAGAGTACGCGCAACACAAAAGTAAAAAATATTTTTTAAATGCCATTCAAATTGTATGGCATTCGATTTTTTTTCAACTGTTTTTTCAAAGCTAATGTAATTTTGGAAATATTTTTTAAAAACATATTACGTATGCACTATGCAGTTGTTTTTGCAATGAATTTTTATGAAGATCATTTTGTGGTGAAATATAAAATTCCTCTAACGTTTTGTATTTCATTTTGTACGTTTTCAAGTTTATATTTCAAACCTTTTTGAACAACGTCCTTGGGTAATCGTGCGTCATCAGCTGCGGGTGCAGAGCCTGCAGATATTATATATCTGCTCTCACGCCAAGCGCTGATGGAAGAGCAGCGCAATTTCAAATTACACGGACCGCTAACTTTTCTGACCGAAATTAAATGCTCCACAAGCGCATCCTCCTCCTCTCGCATATTTTCCTTCGGTCTCCTCTTCTTGTATATATATTTTTTTTTTTTAAATTTACGGCTGCTCCGCGCGCAGCGGAGATAATGACCGGCTGATAACAAACGCGAGAGAGATGCAGTGGATTTTCTGCCAGGCCAGGAATAACTGTGCTTCATTTCAATTCCTTCACGTCTCACGCTTCGCTTCAGCGCCTGATGGAGCGACGAACCTTGGTGTTCGTTTTTCTTTCGACCACCACCTGCTCCTAGAGCTCCTCACCAGCGCAGTCCGCTCGCAACCGTCCTTCAGCCAAGTGCACCCGATTTATTCGGGTTTGCATTGCATGACGTGACCATGGTGCCTGTCCTCCTCGTCCTCTGCCTCCAGGTCGGATTAAATTCCTTTCTTTTATTTTAATTTATTAAAAAGCCCTAAATAGCTATGGTGAAAAAAATACGGTTACAAGGGTTCAAAAATTTAATTTATTTCGACTTATTTCAACGCCAATACTATCTAACTTTAAAACAGCAAAATAGGTATGCGCGTATTATTTATAAATTTTGTGAAATCAATTTAACTTTACAGTAACTATATATAGAAGTCACATCATGTTTCAACGAATTTCATTTCAATTATATAAAAAAATTATAACAACTTTATTTAAGGAATTCATCCAGATATCATTTATTAATCCAAGTGCTGGTGATTTTTGAAGCTACAAAATATTTCAATCTTGTAGAATAAAAAACTAAAATTTTTGAACTCTGTCAATTAAACTTAATCTGTTATATTTTAATTTGGTGATGGTTTAACTGTAAGTGAAATGGTTTTGCTTTATAGGCTTACTTGAGGCTAACAGGAGCGGACCGAGGAGAAATTAACTCTGTAACAGGTACAAAATTAATATTAGAATTTAATTAAATGGCGTTTCAAGCAATGTCATGGGCTCTTCTAATTATCCACTTTTTGCTTCTGGCGTTGTATTATTTGGCAATTATATATTTGCCGAGAACAAACCGTTTTTGTTTTACACACCTTCATTAGGTTATATTTTAACCCGATATTTTTTACTGCCAACATCCTCCGAACGCCTTTTATGTTATGCGCCTGACATCCTGTTACGTAAATGAAGGGACAGCTAAGGGAGATTATCTCACACATTTGGCATTGTCGCCGCCGCGCACACGTCCTCATTATTTTATTTTCCACGCTTGATAAAATCCGTTAACTCCATTTAATTACTAAATCATTCATATAACCCAAAATAAATTAAAAATATCACAATAATTTCAATTTAACACTGTCAGTTTTGCATAATTTAAGTTATATATTGATGTACTTATATAATGATAATAAAATATCACTGCTAAAGCAGATTTATTTTGGCAGTGTATTATTTATAATCAACACTGCTTTACTTTTATTACTGATTTAGTAAAGTAAAATTAAATTCAAACCTTCTCAGAATTATCTCAAAATGAAAATCAAATGTATTATATCATTAATGAGGATGGCAATTTAAATTTTAAATTTAAAAAATTAATAATAAATAATTCAAACGATTTTGGTAATTTTTTAGAAAATTATTGAAACACTCCCATAAAAAATTTTGAATTGTCAGTAAACACTTTTTTACGTTTCAAATAAAACTAATTTTAAAAAGTGGATATTGCATTTAATAAGTTAAAATCACATAAATAAAATCAGAAGTTTATAATGCAATAACAAATTAAAATTTGTTTCATTTATTTCTATAATTAAGATATTTTTGTGTTTTAATTAATCTGTCATAATTTTGTTGTTATCTTTCTAAGCAAAAACATTGCTCTTTCAGATTTGGAGACGCAATGTTCGTCGTCGGTCATGCAAATCACCGTGCACTTCTCAGCGCCGTTCCACGGCCTCCTGCACGCCCGCGGTTTCCCCAGCGAGTGCCTGGTGCAGGGAACGGGACTGCGATCGCTCACACTGTCCCTGCCAACCTCGTCCTGCGGAGTCAGACTCACGCAGGACCTGCACTTCCAGGCGGCCGTTGACATCCAGTTTGATGGAAAACTGCAGCTGGCGCTCGACGAGCGGCGCCTTGCCTCTTGCGTCGCGCCCCTTGAGGACAACGAGATTTTCACAGAAGCGGCACCACCGGGGACGCCGCACCACCAGGCCCTCCGATCTTCCTCGAGGGAAATGGAATTTGAACCTGCCAGGTGATTTCATTATTTGTTTGCAAAATCCTTCACACAATCATCATTTTTTTATAATTAATTTAATATGATTTAAAATTTCCTAATTTGCTCATTTTTTCTCTAAATTTTTAGCTGAAAATTTAATTTTCTTAATTAATATTTGATAAAATAATTTAGTTAATATTTCTGTTTCTTAAATAAATATAGAATTTAAAAGCTAAAAAAGTCTCTATTGAATTTTAATGGATAGTATATTAAATTATTTAAATTCAAATAATTTATAGTTTGGTGTAGAAAAATATTTTGACCAATTTCACTGTTTCGAAGGGCTTGGATGGAACTTGAGGCTTCAGGCGGAAAAGGGGTGGCCCTGGTTGGCGAACCGGTGCGGCTGAGAGTGAGGACCAAGGGCATTGATGGTCTCAAGATGCGGATCACCGACTGCGTAGCTCACGAGGGTGCCGGTGAATCTCCTCAAAAACTGCTGGATGAGCTCGGTTGTCCCATTGAACCGCAGGTCCTAGGTCACTTCAACTACACCAAGCAGGGCGCCCTTGCCATTTTTCCTGCCTTCAAGTTCCCGGACAGGGAAAGTCTGCACCTGCAGTGCGTTCTGATGCTCTGCAGGGACGCGTGTCCGGTCGGCCGCTGCCGCGACAACACGATGGCGGCGTCCGGTGGAGTTCACTCGCAGGTTGTGCGCAAGATCAAAGTCTTCAACAGTCTCAGGGTGGCCGCCCCTGGTATCGAGATGGAGGCCAATGAAGTTGCTGATTTTCAAAGTAATAAAAAATTGATTTAAAAATTAACCCTAAATTTCTAATGATAAATTTGACATTTTAAAATAGGATTAATTATGAGTTAAATTCAATTGATTCACATTGAAAATATTAAATTTACATCTACAGAATTTAATTCATTATTGCATTCTAAATTATTCTTGTGAGCCAAATTATAAATTATTTTAATATTTTTTTTTTCATGTTTTATAGGACAAGACGATGTTGAAGTTGAGAAACTGGAGAGGAACTTTTGTCTTTCAGCTCCGAAATTGGCGCTAGCCCTGGCCCTGTTAGGACTGTTGCTTGTCCTTGCAGTTGGAGTGGCTCTTTTCTCAGCGACGGCCAGTCGTCGAAAACCATACGTTCGGGTCATTTATTAGATTTATGTTTATGTAGGGAAAAAAATTACACATATCAAATTGACATCTGTGATCTCTTGTGGTGGCGGAGGGAAAATACTCATCTTTTTGGTTTAACGGTTGGGGTTTTGAAACATTTTGTGTTCTTTTTTGTGTACAATTTGGCAAATAGTACATTAAAGAGAATGTTCAAAATAAATCTAATTTTATATAAAATAAAATGAATTTTGTTGTTTGATTTAAATTATATTGTAAACACATCAATATAAAAATTTTTAATTTTAATTTATAAAGTTATACATTTAAACTGCAAGTTTTACATTTTTTATTAATCAATTTCCTAATAAATTTCTGGCATATTTTATTGCTGACGTATCAATTGTTAACAAAATTGCGCCGCTGCAAACGTCGGTTGAAAATTAAATCAACAAAAAATTGTATGACAGGAAGTTGGCGGGCCGTGGCGGGCCGCACTTGTTTGATTATTCTCCACACGACCAATGAACGAGGCGTTCCTTCAAGGAGCCTCACCTGCCCCCACTCCCGAGCATTGAGATCATCTGCTCCATTGTGAATCTGCATCCGTTTCGCGCGATCTTACGCTGGACCAACCTCTCTTGCCAAGTTTTGAGACGGAAATTCGGCGATAAGTTGACAAAAGCAGCCGAGCGAATTGGCCCTGGGTCGAGACAAGTGCGCGGCCAAGCGGGTCATGATTTGTCTCACTGCGCCCGGCAGCACCTGCGGCAGTTAAAATTCGTTAAATCTCCACCCTCGACAGGTGCTTGTTTTTGCTTCCTGCACAGGCAGCCGTCGTTTTTTAAACAGAAGCAGCAAAATGCTCGAGTGGAGTGGCAGAGAAGATGCTCAGGGCTTTTCCATTTTTGTCAGGTAAAAATTCACATTTTTTTTTATTCATAAAAAATTTTTCTTCCTGTTTTTTGTAGAGCGGATTGTCGAAGGTACGAACCTCCAGGGTGGTCAGACGTCGTCACCAAGGTTCGTCAGTGCCAAGAACTGCGCGGCGTCCACCGTCGGACGGCGGCGAAACTGAAGGTTTTGTCTGACGCCATCAGCTGGTCAGATGTCCGGCTGGACGTTTTCCGACTTGTCCTCGAGCACCATGGTTTCCGGCGCGAGGACAACTCGATGCTTCTCTCGCCGACTGCCCTTCGCGCCGTTCTCGAAGACGTTTTCTTTGCTCTGAGCAGAGAGAAGGCTCTTGACGTCGAGATGGCCGCCGAACTGACGGCCTGTCTGCTATGGCAAGCCTTCGACCGCCATCGGACGGGGTGTCTGACCCTTCTGCAGGCCAAAACCACCCTTGCGATTCTTTCTAGAGCTTTTCCTTCCGAGTTGTTTGCATACTTGGCTCACGAGGCTGCCGACCACGACGGTCAGGTGGGACCTTTGAGGATGAAGCCTCTTTTGGAGGCCGTCAGGGTCTTCATGAAGGCCGTTGGAGAGGACGTTGCCTCGCTTGAGTTTAAGGAAAGGAGGATTAATCACGTTGAGGCTGAGGAGTGGATGAAGGCAAGAATGGGGTGGGCTGCTCATCTCGCAAGGTTCCGCGTCAACCTGAGAGGTATTAATTACAATTTTTATTTTTCATCTAATATAAAATCAATAAATTGCTGTTTGAAATTTTAGAATTTAATTTGAAACTTATAATATATCACTACAAATGAAATTTAAAAGTATTTTTTTTTACGATCGCCAAATTCTAAAAAATTCAAATAGAAAGTTTGATCTGTGTTATTTTCCTTTTATTTAATTTAATTTTTTAAATAGAATATTTTATGTGTATATTTTTTGCTTGTTATTCCTGAATTTTGTCCATTTTTCCAGAAATCTGGCATGGCCCTTGTGTAGTCTGCAAACAAACTGGCCTTCAGGGTCAGGCGTTTTTGTGCCAAAGCTGCCCTTGGTACTGGGTGTGTCGTCGCTGTGTCCTCTCTGGCAAATACACATACGGACACCAACCTAGCCACCCTCTCAAAGACTTTGTCACACCCCCGGTAACCTGTTTTTTTTTTTCATTTTTACAATGTGAAATTTATTACATAATCTTGTAGAATGTTATTGTGGAGGTGATGAAAGCGGGAGGCCGAGTTATGAAAAAGGCATTTTCACACAAACGACGACAATCGAAACAAAAGTTCACCGAGCCAGTTGGATTGTAAGTAATTTTCCTACGTTCGTGAAACCCTGCTAGATTAAAATTTTCATCAGAATTGAAGTGCCGCAAGTTTTGGATGCTGGACCAACAGAAGAGCCACTGTGGAGTTTGAAAATGAGACTTAGAAACATAGTTTCGCAAATCAATGAGGAGGGAAGGTAGTTTTTTTTTTAAATTAATGTTTATCTGATGATATAAATTTGGTTTTTCCAGACGCCTGCAATCTTCTGCAGAACAGTGGGAAAATTTACAAGAGGCGAGTCGAGCTCTAGAAGACCACGGGCAGCGCCTGCAAGCTTTGGGTCTGAGACTGACAGGCCTGACCACCGAGCACCAAATCACAAGCACCCCGAAAAGCTGTGCGTCCTCCAGGTCGCTGGAGATGAGCCCTATTGCTGGCCCGGACACAACTCTTGAGTTCAGCACCGTTTTACAAAAGAGACTGTCGGTTTCTGCTGAGTCGAGGGCTCCAGTGACGGCGGCGTTGGACAAACTGCAGGCTATGCTGGCCACTTCGACTGCACTTGAAGGTAGGAAAACTATTTTTATCTATTCTGCGAAAGAAAAGGGAGACAATTTTATCAATACAAAAGATAAATCCCTTCATTTTTTAAATTATGATCTGGTTTTTTCCTTGTTGAGAAAGTGGTTTTTCTCTCTAAAGAGTGTAGTAGTAGTCTTGATTCGTAACTAGAGAAACAAAATAATTATAAAAATAATCAGTTAAAAAAATATCTTAAATATTTACAACGTTAGTAAATTAGTAGAGCTGTTTACCTAAAAACTTCAGAAAAGGTGGAAATGCCTGGCATGATTAACCTCAAGTGTCACTTCCTTGTTGGCAAAATTATTATTAAAATAAATATTATTTCCAACTATAATTCAGAGGAATTTGGAAATTTTTGTTTAAATAATCGCTTTTTTACTATACAAAATGAAATTTTCTTCTAATGGTAAGTTTTATTATCTTTTAAAATTTACATTTAAATTGATTTATATTCATCAATATCTTTAAAGAAAAAAAAACCAAAAATACATGGAAAAATTTGCGGACTTGTTTAATTAATTAAATTTTCGTAATACAATTTTGCTCTTTCAACTTTTCATTTCAAATGTTAAGATTTTGCTGACATTGACATTTAGCTTAATCTTTGCTTCTTGAACTTACGGCGTGCTCTATCGCGAGTTGCCCTCGACCGAAATGTACCCAAGATCATGATTGTCAATTGCTTGGAGGGCTCTGATTTTTTAGTTTAAATTAGCTTTCCATTAAAGTGAGGTATTTAAACTTTCATTTCAAAGTGTGTCCGGATATTACAGACAATTTAAATGTTTTTAAGGCAGCCCTTTGTTTTGCTTCGGCAACCGCGAGTACTGCGCGAGTAGCACTTTTCACCCTTTTAGTCATTCAATATAATTGTCTATGGCGCCGCCACCGCTTTTCTCTTTGTGAATAATTCATTCCGTGTTTATCCCCTCGAGAGATCACAGCGGCACTTGTGTTGTTTCAATCAAAGGCAGCCTCGCAAAGCGAAGAGAGTGCTTTCAGAATACAGAGTTTTGCCGGCTTTTGCATTTCGCGTGTCTCTTTTTGTCTGCAGAGAGCTTTGGAGACAACGAGCAGCTGGAACGGGCGGCGCAGGAGCTGGAGAGCCTCTTGGGCGGCGTCATCGCGGGCATCGAGGGCCACAAGCGGCCCTGACCGAAAAAAAGACCATTCATTTTGAACAATTGTGATTCTTTAGCAATAAAGTAGCGAGTATAACAGAAAGTGGCGAGCGTTGTAGAAAAAACACCTGCCCTTGAGTCTCGGGGCTGCTAGGGGTGGGGGCGCGTGCGCCGCGTAAAGGGAGTACGCGTAGTGGTGCTCGGGCGATAGTGAATCAATACGGGATGAGGGCCTAATGGAGGCGACCCGCTGGCTGTGCTTCGTTTGCCTGCTTCTCGTGGGCCCCAGTGCCCAGGACGAGGACATTCCCCACAATGAGTGAGTTTTGAACCCCCGGCCCGACAATCCGGCCCCCTCCTCCACCCTTGGGGGCCGCTTTTCCGCTCCACGGAGCACATCTGCAAGTGCATGGACCCCGTCCGCTTCACCCCTTGCATTTTCATCATCCGCTTTTCCACAATTTCACCCATTTCGACTCAAGTTCAATGTTCAGATGGTTTTCTTTAATTTATTGCTTTTAGTTTCGACCGGAAAATTTTAATTTTTGTCCTTACTTTCGCCAAATTTTGAGATGCAAAATTCGCGAGGGGATTAATTTTGCACCCTGGTCCAGTGCGCAGGTGCCAAAAGTGCATTTCGCATTTGGGTAAGGGACTTGCTTCCGTTTGCGAATTTCTGCTGTATTTTGGTGCAATTTTGGAAATGCACGCTTGCTTTCGCAATCTGGGTCGATGGGTCTGACGGGCCGCTCCACTTTGACCCTCTTCTTAGCAGACCCTTACCGCCGCCGCTCAATACCACCCAGCCAGGCTAGCCTGGGGGCTGGAGGAGACGAGAGGGCGCAAGCCGGCGCCGCGCAGACGCCGACGGCCGCTTGGCTAATTTAATACCACTTTTTATGCAATCGTAAAAATAGCAAAATTGATCAGTGCACCGAGATGCAACATAAAATTTAACCAATTTGCGGCGCCCTCCTTTGTTTCTAACTTGATATTTTTACTACTCCAAAACTTTTACGGGCCTCTACCTTTTGTGTTATTTCCAAGATTTCTTTCCTTTCCATCTTAAGTAATTTTCCTTTCTAAGCTTTTTTTGTTATTCAATAAATAAAAGCTATTTTAATCAAAACTCTGCAGGGTCAAAAACTGGGCCCTCAAATTCGGAGTCGACCTCTGGGAGTTTGGTCGCCAGTTCACAAAAATGAATGAGCTGCAAAGAGTAAGAAGCTATTTTTACACCAAAAATCAATAGTCCTGACGGAAAACATTTAAATAATTTAGAAATACCAAGACTTCGAGGCCACCGTAATACGTAAGGATGGCTTGCTGCTCATCCGCGAGCTGGCGGCAGAGGTCCAGAACATGATGGACATCAAAATGAACGCCGTCCTTGTAAGCCAGACTCTGTTTTTGTTCTTCCTAAATTCAATCATTAACTGCAATTTAAGCGCATAATGGACTCGGCGGAGCAGGCGGCGCTGACAAAACACACGTCGGCGTCCACCACTTTCTTGGACGCTCAGCGCCTCAACGCCAAAGACAACCGTGGCGCCAACGAGGTGAAACTGGTGGCCGGGCCTGCGGCTCACTTCGGAGGACTGGCTGTCAACACCACCCTGAGTGCAGTACTGCTTCCATCTACTGTCGACCTGAAGGAGGCGGAGAGCGCCGTTGCCTGGTCAGAGCTGCTGGAGCCGCTCTTCGTCAACAACTACGAGTCCGACCCGGCGCTTTCATGGCAATACTTTGGAAGTTCAGCAGGATTCACTCGACTCTATCCAGGTAGAGATAGAAAATATTTATATTAATTATTAGGAACCATTTTGTTTACATTTTTAGCTAAAAAAAAAATGATAAAATTTCCTTGGTTTTTTCATTTTTAAGCTACATTCCATTTTTTTTTTTTATTAATGCAATTCAGAAATTTCTCTTTCCTTAAAACTAATTCTTTTTTTAATTTGATTGGAATTTTCAATTAATTTTTAATTCTTTATCATTTTCAAATTTTAGCCGTTCAGTGGCCAACAGAGCCTCCGGACTCGAGATCAAACGCCTGGTATGTAGGCGCAGCCACCAGTCCGCGGGACGTCGTCATTCTTTTTGACGCGTCTGGGTCCATGGCTGGAGAAAAGCGCTCGTTAGCCCTTGCCACAGCATCTGCGATCCTCGACACGCTTGGCGCCAATGACTTTGTTAATGTATACCGCTTTGCCGAGAACACTCAGGAGGTTGCTCCTTGCTTTAAAGATTTGCTAGTTCAGGTACTGAAATCAGTAATATAATTATAAAACAATTGGTTGACCATACCATTTCATTTCAGGCAAATTCTGAGAACGTTAGAGAACTTAAGTCGGCTATGAGTGGAGTTAGGCCGGAAAATATAGCGAATTTTACAGGGGCACTTGTTACAGCTTTTGAAATTCTCCATAGGGTACTTTGATTCAATTTAATAGCGCGGTCTGTTGTTTAGCTCATGTATTATTTACACAGTACAATCGAACTGGGCAGGGAAGCCAGTGCAACCAGGCCATCTTCCTAATCACAGATGGGGCTCCGAGCGAGTTCAAGGAAATCTTCAAGCAGTACAACTGGCCCCACATGCCAGTGCGCGTTTTCACGTACTTGATGGCCCCGTCGGGAGGCTCTGGTGCTGAGCTTAACTGGATGGCCTGCAACAACAAGGGTACATTGCTTTGATTCCCATGGGTCAGCAAGTGGCTTTATGATTTTTCTTCAGGTTATTTTGCAAGGGTGAGCAACAAGAAGGAGGCGAAAGATGCTGCTTTACGTCACGTTGAAGTTCTAGCTCGGCCATTGGTGCTATATCAGAACAATCACCCTTTATATTGGTCACCATCCTTTGTAGACGTCAAAGTAAGAAAAAAAATTAATTAGTTAATCAGCAAATTTTAATAAAAATTTATCAGCGCCAGTGCCTGGCTCCTCATCCAGAGTGCCCGAGGCCAGAGCTCATGACGTCTGTAGCAACTACAATTTTTGACCGTAGAAACTATTCAGTAAGAAATCTCCAATCAATTTTTTCCCAGATTTTCTTATCTGTTATACTCCAGGTTCGCACAGCGCAACTTTTAGGAGTGGTAGGAACAGATGTCCCTATTAGTGAGATACAAAAAATGGTGCCACCCCATAAGGTGAGAAATTTTCCCAAATATTGAAATTTGTGAGTTTAATTTTGTTATTATTCATCTGCAGTTGGGAGTAAATGGATACGCTTTCATGGTCAACAACAATGGACATGCGTTGTTCCATCCTGAGCTGCGTCCCCTTGTAAGTTGCAAAATTTAAGTTTTAATTAAATCAGATTAATTTAATTTTCAAATGACAGCCTCAGCCCCCTGGTTCTCGTCCCGAGTACAGCTCGGTTGACTTGGCCTTGCTGGAGCTAGTGGAGGGTGAGGGCGCGCTCTACGAGAATCACTCTCTTTTAAATGATGTGGGTTTCTCAAAACTTTTTGTATTTATATGTATTTATTTGAATTTATTTTCCAGTTGCGAAACGATCTTATTAATCAGAAAGAGGGTGAAGCTGAATTGACAGTTCTTGTGCAACAGGACAAGATGGTAAATTTGTTTCCTGAATTTTCATATAATCAATTTTTAAAATAGCTACGTCATAAACAGAGACGAGTTGCCTCAAGAAGGCAAAAATATTTCTACAAGGGCATTGACGGCACTCCGTTCACCTTGGGCATCGCTTTGCCCGAGGGTTACGGAATGCACGAAGTTTTAGCTGAGCAGGAAATTAAGCTCAGCAAAGTCAATGGTAATTATTGATAATTAAAAACTCGGGCCAATAATTAACTGCCATTTCCTCAGTCACCGACTTCTTTAAGGGCGCCGATTGGAAAGTTCATCCTGATTGGTAATTCCTCAAAATTTTCCACCAACTGATTGGTTTATTTATTTTATTTTTATACTTTTAGGGTGTACTGTGAATACAACTATGCTAATGAACAGCCCTTCAGCACACCTGAAGATAGGGTATTGCACTTTTTGAGCCGAACTTTGCAACCGGGCTGGAAATGGATGTCGTTGAGACCTCGTTCACCTTTAAAAGATAGGGAACCAGGTAAATAAAATATTACTTTTTGAATATTTGATGCTATTTTATAAAAATTGAAATCAAGCAGGACATAAAAAGATGGACCGAGATTCATACTACTGCGACAAGAACTTGCTGCAGTCGCTCGTTTTCGACGCAATGGTCACCGAGAGTCTGGAGAGGCCCTCGTCCAGGGGCAAAGAGAACAAACAGTAAGTGTCTCTCATCTTACTAATGAAACTTTCTCTTTCCCTCTTGCACAAAATCTAACCCTGCACTCTCTCACTAGCCCAATAGCCACCCTGATGGCGCTGCTGCACAGGTAACCTTTCTCGCAGCCAGGATTTGTAACCGCCTGACCTTTTCAGTGTCCTGCACCCCCGGTTGGTTCTCCTCTTTCTTTTTTTCACAAATAGCCGCAGAGGATTCGGTAGGCCGAGGAGAACTGGCTGGGTTGAAAATCTGTCCGTGTCCAGGGACTAATGCAGCAATTCTCTTCCAGGCAAGGCTATCAGATGTTTGGTGTGGCGATGACTTTCGTGGCCACTCGCAGCGGTCTGATGAGGTGGAAGGACCACTCGGACCCCATACCAGACCAGCCGCACTTCAGCGAATCAAACATGAGGTCTCTGGATGAGGTTTGGTACCAAAGGGCCGTCGAGCAACACGCTGTTGAGCCAGACAGTTTTGTCTTCTCGGTGGAAGGAGAGTCGGACAAGGGTGCGCCTCTTGTCACAGCCAGTCATGCCGTTTTTGTCGAGCACAAGGGCCACCGAGCGCCAGCAGCAGTTGTTGGTTTGCAGTTTAAGCAAACTGCCCTCACCTCTCATTTCATCAACATAACTTCAACGGTGAGATATTTTATAATTTTTAATTATAATGCAGCCTCAAGCAGAGGCAGAATTTCATAGTTAAGGAGCTAAATTTAAATTTTTATTAAAATAAGAATAAAAAAATTGTTTTAAAATAAGTTGAAAAATTAGGCCATATCGTTTGTAAAGTATTAACCAAAGTTTTGAATTTCATTCATAAAATAGTGCCAAGGATATCCGAATTGCCGAAAGACTTGTGCCTCTGATGAACTGGACTGCTACGTTTTGGACAATAATGGATTTGTGATTCTGTCGGAATCCCCTGAGCACTCGGGAAAATTCTTTGGCACGCTGGATGGGACAATAATGGACTCATTGGTCCAGGATCGCATTTTCAAGAGGGTTCCTATGCATGACTATCAGGGCGCTTGTCACGACACTCGAACAACTTCGACAGACGCTGCTCCAAAACTTTATGTAAAAAAACTCAAATTGGTGCATATCTTGGTTACTAATTATTTACAAATTTGTCCACAGGCGCCCCACCGGCACCTGAGTGCAATTTTCCAGTGGGCAGGAGCCAAAGCGCTGTGGATGCTGTCCAGCCTGATTGCTCCCACTTGGTCGATGCCAATTCCTCAGGAAGAAGACGACTACGAAGATGAAGAAATTGAGTTTCCACCCGAGCCGATGACTCCTGCGCCGCCACCTAAGCCCACAGCACCTGTACCCATGGGACCGGCAAGGCCGTGCGAGAAGCGCTCGGATCTCTACGTGTTGCAGCCAGAGAGGCTCAACACTAGTGGGTCATTCAACCCTTTGAAGGGAAAACTGACCAACTGCCACGTAACTGGCTGCGAAAGGTAAAATTATAACATTAAAAAAATCATTAAATTGTTAAATCTTTAAATTCACGTTTCAACTTGTTTGGAATTTTAACTCAAAATTAATTCAAATTCCCAGGCCATTCAGTGTGCAGAAGATTCCTCACAGTAATCTAATCCTGCTAGTAGTCGACACACTCTGCCCGTGCGGCTCCAAGCAGCTGTTCATCACACCCCAAGAGGTGCCACCGTCGGCCACCTGCCCCAAAGAATCTCTCTTCCGCCGACGACCACAGACATGTGTCAACTACCACCCAGAGGTAAGATTGGTATTTTAGTATTAAATAAAGATTTTAATAATATTTTTTGCAGGAAATTGAAATTAAGGTTTGCGGGAGCTGCACGGCTTTGAGAGCCTCACTTCTCTTCTGCCTTCTAACCTCGGCGTGGCTGATGGTGGTGAGCTGAACTACATATCAAGCGAGTGTGATGACTTTGTCTTCCAAGTGTTGGCCCGCGGGCCCTCGGTCACGGGACAATAAAAGCGATAATAATTTTTAACTCTAGCAAAATGAATGGGTGCACCGCGCGAGTGAGTCGTTGTTGTTGTTGAGTGCTGCCAATTACAATTTAATCGATTAATAGTCTCTGTACCTCAATTAAGAAAAATTAAACAAATGCCACACTATTAATTATCACTATGCCTTGCAGTTTGCATTTTAATTTCACTCCATCAATTAATTTGCTAGGTAAAACATCAATAATTTAAATATATAATTTACTTAGAATACAACACGGCAAATGCATGTTAGTCAGTTCCTGACTAGGAAGGAGATTCAGTAAAGCGTCTTGAGTTGCTCGAAGGTGACAAAGAAAATCACATTCCACGGACCCATGCGCACCAATGTCGGCACAAAACCTTTGTACAACGCAGACACACCCTCAAACTTCACAGTCTGAAACGAAACGTCAAATTTTATTATTTATTCAAAATTTCAAACAGTAAACAAACCTGCAGTAAACAGTCTAAGCTTCCTGAATAGATTTTGTCCGACCCTACCTTCAACCTTCTTTGATTCATTAAGCGTGTCTGCGGGGAAGAATGGAAAATAGAATATATTTAATCACTGTTGATTAAAAATTATCTTACTCTAATCACATCTATCGGAGTAGATGCTACAGCACTTCCGATGCTTGCAATCAAACTGGCACTGAAATAGAAAAGTCAAAAGTGAGTTCACGTGTTTAGAGAGTGATGGTGGCGTGTTCAGATATTGATCCAGGGAAGAGCAAGAAATGCGGAGCTTTTGTTACATAACTGTGGAGTTTTCTCTTATCAAAAAATTCACTCGCACCAGCAAGAGAAATTTCAAGTTGAACTGATAAGAAACCGGTCCAAATTTTTGTTTCAATTTTAATTAAGTAGCAAAAAATTAAAAATTGGCACCTAAAATGGTTAACAGTGGTGTCTCCTAGGCGCTGCCTAAGTTTGTGCTTGACCCAGTCGTAGACGGGCAGCTCGACGGCCGCGATGATGGCCGCCCTTTGAGCCGTGGGTCCGACGCCCCTCCACAGTCCCCGGACGCCCTCCAGTTGCCAGACGTCGACGAAATTGACCAGCAGAGAGCCCTTGGTGGTGCTCGCCTGCATCCGGACCTTCAGAACGTCCGTCGGGTTGGCAACCGAGGCGGCCAGGACGGCGGCCACCACGGCACAGCCCACGTTCAGGGCCGGACTGGTCCCGGTGCCCCCGAGGGCGCCTTGCATCCAGTAGTACGATCCGAACTTCAGGGTGCCGTACGAAGCCTGTCGCAGCAGTGCAGGCGCCATCCTGTGGACACTCGGTTAATTAGTAGACGGACGGGGTCAGAGGTGAGCGAGCACTGACCCGGAGTACAAGGCGCGAAAGCCCTCCTCTTTGGAAATGTTGGCCAAGGCGTGCAGCATCCCTCGGTAGCGCTGCAGTCCACCCTGCTGCAGCTGCAGCCGAGTCTTGGTGGTATCGATCGGAAAGGTGCCTAAACACAAGGTCACCTTCAGCACCAGGTCGAGAGTGGAACTTTCGGACACTTACCGAATTCGGCGGTGATGGATGCGAACCCTCCATAGACGAACAGTCGCCAGTCCTTGCCCATGCGGTCGAACAGCCCTCGAGTGGAAAACAACACGAACGACGCCTGACGGGTGGCGACGCAATCAACTCGCTCCTGCGAGTGTCGGCGGCCGGCAAACGCGTTCGCGTTCAGACTCGTTCGCGGCGCTAAAAATACTACTCGGTGCTGGCGCGCGAATTGTGTGTAGTCTGTAGTCTTTTCTTTGTATTTGCCGAGAAGGAAGATAATTATTTCTGCTTTTTTGCGCCGAAGTGTGAAGAGCGAGGGAGAGATGCAGCGTCAGAAGAAGAATAATAATGATGATGACGAGATTATTGTTTTCCCGCCGCCGTCGCCGCGACCACAAAAGATCTCGCAAATCTTATCTCGCGCCGAGGCAGACAGAGAATCCGACGAAGTGCACCAAATGCTGCGAGGTGCACACGATTACATGCCGTGATTTTCGCGGCGTGATTCACATTGTCACAATTGGGAAAGCCCGCTTTTAAGATTAGAAAGATACATACTTATTAAACTAAAGGGATACTTATTAAATTAAAACCCGAAGTTAGGAAAAATTTAACAATCATCAGCCTTTAAAAAAAATATTAGTAACTTTTTTAAATTAATTACTATTTTCGTAGAATATTTCGTTAATTTTCTATGTATAGTTATGCATACATTTTAAATTTTATTCACATCAAGAATATTTTTATTTAAATTTAATTAACTTATTTTCAAGTTATTCTATGCTATTCTATAATTTTACAAAACGTTGCAGAAATCAACCATCCTTCACCTTGTTTTTAATCTGATGCACGTTGCTGTTGTAAATCAAGTAACTTGTTTACTTTTGCAAAACTAATGACATATTGCAATTTTATTGGTATAATCTGACAAGAGTGACGCGCTGATCATGCATGCGTGTGTAGTTATAATCTATAGCTCGCATGAATATATGAACGCGCGGAAATCAATGTCAATAAAATTACTAACTGATCGCAATTAAATATTTTGCAGATGTGCTGGACAAAGATGAGACTCGGGGCGAGGCCAATTCCAACTACAAGTCGACGGACAAATTTGTGCACAAGGTTTGCAGGAAGTTGAAGAAGATCGACCGCTCGTCTTTGCCAAATTCCTTGAGGAAGCAGGAGAAAAGCAGTTTTGAAAATTCAGAAAATTCTGAAAATCCATCAGAGGAGGAAGCAGTGCAAACTCCGCCAGATTCCCCAGAATGCTCAAATTCCAATAGTGCAGTGTCTGATTAATAGAAAAATCTGGAAATATCAGAGTAATAAAAAAGGTGAAATTTGTAAATTAGTGTTTGCATGATCAATAATAATTATTCTATTAAATTTTTAATTGAATTTCGTAATAAACATAAACAATAATTACATTAAAAATTAAAATTTTTAGTAAAAAAAGTTACATACTGAAACTCTTCAAAAGTCTGTCAATATTATTTTCATATCAACTTAAAAATCAGGAAGTCCTCTATTTCATTTTATTAATAGCAATGTAATTTAAAAAGAAATAAATTTTAACTCATAAAAATTTACTCAAATTAATAAAATATAAAATTATCTGATTGAGAGAAAGATTCTTTGAAAATTAATTTTGTATGTAGTAATTTTTTTCCCAAGCTTAAATTTTAATTATTCACACACAAAAATCATGATATTATTACGTTTACCCAGCGTGTACCCATAAAATTATAATTAATTATGATTGCAATAAGTTTCAATTACTTCTTGTCTACTATAATTATAATATATAGAACATTAGAAAATTGCTATAAATTGAAGATTCATAAATAAGAATCATAATATAACTGAGCTATTTAATTTAATTGTATATAAATTTGCATGTTTGTCGGAATTGCAGATCAGCTATTACTTGATGATAATAAGTTGTACATATGCGACTTCATTGCATTATTCTGCTGATTATTGTGTTTGAAATGTAGATGCAGGATGATCTGTAGCTAATCGCCTGCACAATAAATGAAGTATCGCGTCTCGCAATCAATTGTGAAATAATTATGTAAAAATATCACTTAATCCGATTAAGCAAAAAAACACAAGAAAATTTACAAATTTTTAAAAATGAGTTTTCTCTCAGGTTTATTTATTTTTCTGTTAAACATAATTAATTAGGAAGATCTTGATCATGACTTGATTCACACTTTTTGACACATTCAACTTAAAAAGAACCATTTTATTATTAATTCCTCTCTATTTTGACTGCTTTAGGAGTAGTCGGCGTGTCCGGCCATCAACTTGTTGAGTTTGAACTCGCACTTCTGCATCTTGTAGGGGTCGTACGAGTACTGCTGGCAGGCAGCGTTGGTGGTGGTCGTCTTGGCGGGGTCGAACGCAAAGCCCTGCCAGAATTCGGCCTTGCGTTCGCACTTGGCCAGCTTGTAGGGGTCGTACGAGTACTGCTGGCAGTGTGGCACCTGCGTGGGGCCACCCTGGGCCCGGTCTTCGCACTGACTCAACTTGTACAGGTCGTCCACGTAGCGGCTGCACTGCGGGGCCTTGAGGGGTTCGCCGGCGCGGTGCTGGCCCTGCTCGCCCTGCTGGGCCTTGCGCTCGCACTTGGCCAGTTTGTAAGGGTCGTACTCGTAGTGCTGGCATTGCGGGAACCGACTGGGGGGCCCCTGGGCGCGCTGCTCGCACAGGGCCAGCTCGTGCGGCTCCTCATACACGTACCGCTGGCACCGCGGGTCCTTCGCCGGCTGCCGAGGGGCGCGCTGGGCCAGACACTTGGCCTGCTTGTATGGGTCGTGCGCGTACCTGTCGCAGTAGTTGCTGCCGCCCTGCGTTTGCTGGTTCGGCCAGTCGCCTGGGACACAAATTCAGACAAAAAATCCAGATTTAATTAATTTTAAATTGGATTTAAATTTAAAAATATTTCATTAGTTTACCATTACTGAATTGCACTATGGATGATTAATAATTAACTTAACAAGGTCAAAATGTAAATATAATTTTAGGTTGCTCTTACTTATTGTTAGAAAATTTGATTTATTACTTAAATTTATAAATAAATCTTCAAAAAGATTTCCGAGATTTATTTTAAACTTAAAAATAGCTCAAGAAATATGTTAGAAAATTAATTTCTAACAAATAATTTTTTTATTTACCTTTTTTCTTTTCTGAAATTTATTGAAAATATAAAATAATACAAATTTGTAATAACATAATATTTAATTAATTTGATGAAAATGATAGATCAATCTATGAATATATAAAAATAAAATGTTAAATTGTCATGAAAACAGGAAATTAAATTGAGCTAGCAGTGAATTACTATTTTTGAGGGCAAGGCATTATCTTACAATTAGTTGGTATATTAATCAAAACTCATCAAACTAAATCAAGTGCGAACAGATAACAAATAATCAAGGCAATCGTCAATAATCTAGTTTTTATAACAACGCAAAAAGTTTAAATTGGGAAAAACCGAATAGAAAAAAAATGCAAAGCATGCATATTAATTATTAATTAATTAATTTATAATATAATTAAATGAACAATGAGAAAGTTGACAATTTACCTGCATGGTGATATCTCCTGTTGTAATCTTCACCATCACTGCTGTAGCTGGAAATCAAAGGTTATTTTGTATAACACATAATTATCTATACTTTTTGTAATATTCGTTAAACAAAATTTAGAATCAAATTTTTAAATAAAAAGAAGTAATATTTGCTGAAGAAATTTTTCTTACACATTTTTGCCTCTTTGATGATTATCGTTAAAGTTTTGTTGGTAATCATTTTTATTCCCAATGTATTCGAATCTACCCTGCTGCTTCCAGGGCTTGCCACTTGAATTAAATTTATTTAATGAAAATTAAAAATCAGAAAAAAAGAATGTATATCAAGCAAAGCAGAATGCAAAGAATATCAGAAATGCAAAGGAAAATTCAGGCAAGGCAGAAGACAAAGATTTTTGAGCGACTGAAAATGCTTGAAATGCAATCAATGCCAATGTAAAATTTTTTTACCTGTCCCTTCTGCCACGGTCGTAGTCCTGCCATGCCGAAACCACGCTCAAAAGCACAACGGCCAAGCACAAAATTATCAGAGACCTGGAAATCACAAACGAGCCGCGCTTTTATTGGTTGCCTGGAAAATTTTCCGCACGCATTCTAGAATTTTCATTCCAGCAAGGTCAGTTCAAAATATCTAATTTTAAATTATTAAAAATTAGCCTAAAATTTTGTGAATATTAAAACTAATTCAACGATCAAGTTGGCAGAAGTTTGATGTCATCGTGATGAAACAAGGAAAGAAAGTTAAATTTAGATTTTATGCAAACATTCGTGAAATGCGGTACAAATTAACTAAATTTAGAATTTCACTACAATTAAAATTGTATTCTTTTCTCTTTCTTTAAAATTGATTCAACGTTAATTGAATCGTGAATCGTTCCTTGATGGTAGCAATAATGTTATGAGATAAATTAAAATTCGCGAAAATTCTGCTTACCTATTCACAGCCATGGCTGATGTGGAGAGCTGAGCGTCGAGCACCGAATTGACACAAAACTCCAAGGCCCAACACCGTTCCCCTTTATAGCGGTGGCCCTCCCCGCCACCGGTGCTCAAAAAGTGACGTTGGGGCTGGCTCTGCAAAAGTATCAATCAAGAAGGATTTTTATGCTGATTTGTAATTAATATTTTTTTAGTTAATTTCTTTTTACTGTTTCAACGCTTTTATATTTACATTTATGTAATTAAATTATTTTTAAAATTACCTTTGTTTGTGTTTTTAATTTTCCTTCTAAATAAAAAGAAAAAAAAAATAAGCTCAAATGCAGTCTGCACTCATAATAATAAATCATGACACGAGATTTAATCACCACAAAACACAAAACGCTGTTCTCCCATTCCACAACTTTTGTATTACAAGATAATTATTTTTTTCCCAAGCACTCTTCAAAATTAAAACTTTTTTTCTATTTGTATAGGGCCTTTTAAGAAGATATTTTTTGTGACAAACTTAAATGGAATAATTATAAGTTGAAGACAAATTATTCCAATTTATTTCCTTATGAGTGATGAGATGTTATTTCCTACTTTTCATTTATTGTTAGTGAATGAAAGTTAATTCATAATAATATTTATAAAATTTGTCCACAGCTTGATATTTAGCGCCACATTTAAAAAGACCTCTAAAAGGTTGACATGTTCTCCGAGAGAGGGGTCGATGTCAGTTGGTGCTCAAACTCTGGCTCATGGCTGACATCTACATTGGTGCTTATGAGCTAACATAAGCTGTGGGTATTGATTGAAATTGAAAATTTTAATAATAAAAAGTTAGTCTTCATCACTTGTTTTAATCAAGTGATAAGTAATAAAATTATAAATATTTCCAGAAATAATTCATAAAATGTGATGAAATATAAGATTTCGTTACAGCACCATATCAAAATTGATTATTATTTTATTTTTAATTAGAAAAGTAAAAATTATATATTTTTCAAATGAATTTAAAAAAAGGGGATTCCTTCATCGATATAATTTATCTTATTTTTCAATAATTTTTTAAATATCAACATGGGGCACCTTATGGAATTAATTTTATGCAAAGAGTAATAATTCAATACCATGAACAAAATCAAACAAACGCTACTATCAGTCGCATGCCACCGTCTCACAATTTCGGCTTTGTTCACCTTGGGGAGCGTGCGTAATTGGCGTCATCGAAAGTGATTACCTACGCGCAGTCAAATGGTAGAGCAAACATACACCACGAGGGCTTAAATTTACACTCGGCAACGCTCTGTAGGGCCATTAATATATCTTAGCAGCCCTCCTATGAAATTTAAGATATTTTTTCTCGATGCAATTGAAATATAATTTCCTTCAACTAGGTCAACTAATGTGATTTGTTAAACAAGCGTGATAATTCATTTAACTGGACCATACTTAAGATCATGAGTCCGTTTTTTCTTTAATTTCATCACAAAAAAATTACACAGAGAGATTAAATGACAAATGCGAACCTCCACAGTCAAACTCACTTTTTGGCAAATGAAAATTTTAATTTTAATTATTTAAATAAGCAAAATTAAAATAAAATTACTATTAAAACTAATCTTCAAATAGTAAAACAATCTGCTACGTTTTGTGTTCAAAAAAACAGAAGGCCATTGAAGAGAAAATAACAGGCGGCTGATTTATTTTTAACCCTTTCTCGTGTTCAAGTTGCTGATGGAGCGTGCGAGAAAGACGAAGAAAAATTTAACTGAGAACAAACGCAGAGCATTGATTAGCAGTGACCCAATTTCTGATAAATTTTCTTTCTAAAAAGAGAAAAACTAAAGCTCATATGATAAGAAATCCCACAGACAGATTCCTCTGGATTAATTTAAATTTAAAGTGCATTCGCAGGTAGATAAAAGGGGCAAAGCGCGTGCTGAAAAAAAACTAGTTCTTGACACCCGCTGAAAAAGCGCGTGTTTGCGTTGCAATTATATGCATGCCGGCGGACTAATTAGTCGCGGGCGCGAGAAGTTACGTCACTTGGAGCGCAGGTCACGTGACAAGGTGAACAAGAGAAAGATTTTATCGGTGGGGCGCGCAGTGGCGACGGCGCGCTACCATCCTCTGGCCTGGTCTCTCTCGCGGCGGGTGCACTCAGGACGGCTGCATCGCCAATTACTTGTTAATCGCCAGTGCCTCCGTCACCCTCACCGACCGTCGAAATGTCCGCCAAATTCTTCTGCCTTGCTCTCCTCACGCTTGTCCTCTCCGCACAGACAGGTGAGACCTTTATAAAAGAGACGAAGGAACGAAAATTTTTTTCCAGCTACCCCTCTGCCAAACGGGCACCCACTTCACTCGACCCTTCATTCCCTTTTCGGTCTGAATTTGGAAAATTTATAAATTAGTCAAATGCATTTATTAATTCATTCCCTGTTTTCAATCGCGTTTCCAAGGAAATAAAGTTTTCGGTCGATCGCTTTGCGCCGATTTGGCCCATTTTCAAAAGAGAGGTCCGGGGAGCGAAAGCAGGGCCGAGGGCGATCAATACGCGAGCATTGGCGGCGCTGCAGCATCCCGATCCTCTTCCCGACCCACTAGCTTTCTTTCATAACTGTGTCGTTTGAGTCGTTTCCATTTGATAAGATTTTTGTGGAAATAAAAAGACGATAACTTTATCTCTTCAGTTGCGGTTAAAAAGTGGGCACTTGAGATGTTCGCGAAGTGGAAAAAAATAAAAAACCTCTTCAAAGAGAATATGAACGTTTTAAGAAAAACCAACGCAATGAAAACGATGTTGAAAAATTGCATCTTTCAATAGGAAATCGAAATTCTTTCAAAGTAGAATCAAACATAATTTTAGATATTAAATAATAAATAAAAAAGAACACAATTGTTAAATTATTACGGGTTGGGTTAGAATAATACATACACAAAAATATGTAGATTTGAGTAAAAAACGTATTTTAGTGTTTTATAGAGGTTTTACATGAATACTTGTTTATATTTTTTATATTTATATTGCTGCTATATTTCTTTTTGATGAAGCTGGTTGAAACTTGGCTATTTTAAATAATAAAAAAAAACACACAATTTGAAGGTTGACTAAGCCCTTTTTATTCTTTATTTTATTTTCCCCTGCACTGTGAGCACAACCAACAGTGCGATTTAAAATAAATTTTTATAAAATATAGTTATATTTTTCTCGTCTCTTTAGTATCGTCTCTCTGCCAATATATTCACAGATCCTTTTCTTTAACCAATAAAACATTGTGTAACGCGCCTCTAACGGTGTTATGTTTGCTCAGCAATTATGATAAGATTTCACCTCAAACTCGGGCACGCGTTCGCCGGCTGCAACAGTCAAATTTGTATTTTTTTTTTTTTTAATTTCGAGTTGTTCTTGTTGCTATTGCTATGAAATAATTTTCCGCCAGTTTCCAGTTGGTTTTGCAACTTTCGACATTTCATAAGCAAGATACAAAGCGACCTCTGCCCCGGGTTTTATCTTTTCAGATATATCCGTATTTATTCGAGCCTTTGACCGCAGTTGGCGACCCTAATTGGTTTTTCGTCACTTGACAAAAAAAATAATAGAATAACAACACTATTTGACGAAAACAATTTTGTGTGATGGTGAAAAATCTGGCCTTGATGTTAATAAAAAGGACCGTGTCAGCTTTTTTATAGCAAAAATAAATATCTTTTTCTTGTAAAGATGCGCTGTAGTTCAAAATATTTAATAATTTTGTGCATTTTTTTTTTATTAAATCAAGGGAATTTGATACTCAATTTCGTTTGAGATAAAATATTTTTATTATATTTTTAAGAGAAACCCTAAAAAAAATTAGAAATTATTTTTTTGTAAATTATTTAAAAAAATCGCAATTGTTCCCAGGATATGCGATCAAGTGTTTTGTGTGCAACAGTCACACCGACAAAGCGTGCATGCAGGACCGCCCACCTGAGTCCCTTGAGAAGGATTGCACGGACGCTCCTGATGGCGCCACATACACCATGTGCCGCAAAATTGTCCAGCACATTGACTTCGAGGTCAATGGACGTAAGTTAATTAATCATTCGACAGTCGAATATTTTTTATTAAAAATAAGCTTTTTTAATTTTCAATTGAATATTTAAAAGATTATTCTTTAGTTTTTAAGGAATTTTTATGTATATTTATAACTATGATTATTTTTTCTCAGCTAAAAAAAAATACTTTAAAAAAGGTTTCTAAAGTAGACAGTAAAATTATTTAATCTGATATATTTTTTCAAAAATTCAAATGCGATTGTGCACAAATCATTACATAACGATTCTAACAAATATTTTCTTTAATTTTAATTGGCCTTCCGTTGAAAAAGGGCAAAATAGACTTTTCTGAAGTTTTTAATTTTAAACTAAAAAAAAATTCAATAAAAATACAAACTACGCAATATTCAAGAGGTTTATTGATATTTATTACTTTAATCAAAGTTTTTGGATGCATTAATAGAAAATAAAAATTGTTTTAATTACCAGCAATTAAAAACCTTCTATTTTTAATACAGTCCAGCCTGACCACCGCGTGATTCGCTCGTGCGGCTACGAAGCGTCCAACTATGTGGACAAATGCTACCAGAGGGCCGGATTCGGTGGCCGCCAAGAAGTGTGTTCTTGCACAACAGGTGACATGTGCAACTCCGCGCCGGGCATCAGCTCGATGTCTGTGATGGTGACAGTGGCCGTTGCCGCCTTGGCCCGTCTCTTCCTGTACTAGAGAGACCAACTGGCCGAAAAAGAGCTGAAATTCATTCAAACCAAATAAAGAGGGTGCCAGCAATTATCCTATTCTTCCGCCATCCGTCGCCAGCTCTTGGATCGGTTTAGAAAATAAAATACCAAAAGCACGCATAATTTGTTTGTACAGAAAGAGAAAAATTGTTCTTCTTTAATTTTAAAAATAAACATAACTTCGAGCTTTTTAAATTGGAGCGAAATTTTCATCGCCTCGTCTCTCACAGTTTGATTCTTTGATTGCGCGTTTAGAATGAACTTTAGCAGTTGACCCCTTCTCTTCTTCTGTAGTGACCGTTGAGCCATATAAAGAAAAAAGACACCATTGATTAGCATCAAGAGATATTCCACTGTGTTAGTGTAAATAATAAGGGATAATTATTAATGTAACGAAGGAGTCGGATTTTCCATCAAGTAAGCCGCTGGGGTTTGTGCATGTCCATAGTCTCATTGCCATTTACCTATTTGCGATTCAACATGCAGCTCAAGGGAGGTAAATATGTTTGGTCGACACACAAAGGTCGGCTCGAGATGGAATGCTATAGTAAAAAGTCGAAGTAATATCACTGGAGAAAGCCAGCATGCAACACAAGAAAATATTTAGGGCTGAAATAAATATACAAAAATCAGTTGTTGTACGCTTAATTATTGTTGCTTTGGATATGAAAAAAAATACATGATTATTATAAAACTTTCACTTTCTTTCTGCGAGATAAAAAGTGAAAATATTATAGTTGTACAAGAGATATAAAAAAACACTGTTCTTAAAAAGATTTTACCTCAATAAAACATGGAAAAAAATAATAAACTTTCGTTTATATAACAAATTAAATTTATTTCCATCATTTATGAATTTCAGTTATGTTTACGTTAGGCGCTCAAATTAAAACTACGTATGTATTCATATTTCAGAATAAGCTCATTTAATTAATTCTCCCCGCACAGCAAATACACGCATGAATCACTTTCATCGAAACACTGTCGTCACTCGGAACTATTGCTACAGATTTTGTCGTGGAAGGTGGAAGCCGTGCATTTATCGTTTAATTATTTTTACAAGGGGTTCTAGTAGTTGTTGAGGTACTAATTTAATTTTTAATTATCTGGAAACTGCTAAAAACCAGAGAACGAGGATGAACGTAAATTACCAAATAAAATAAAGTTATCGGATTATTCAAATTATAGAAATTGATCTTTGGTCGTTACATAGACTTACGTTTAAGTTTGTTTCTTGATTCATATCTAATATCTATTTTCTTTTCTAATTTAAAATACTCGCGTTGTGGTCTTAGTTAGTCCCACTCATCAAAGTTATGCAACTTGCAGCACATTCCTGCTACGCGTGTTGCCTAATATTATATTTTCATGAGTTTCTTAATTAGCTACTTTTTTGTGAAATTAATTAAATAACGCAAAATTTTGATACTTTTAGACTCTAGATAGCCAGATTTACAAATTGTCTCTCTCTCTGGACGATTTAATAAGAACTTTAATTAAGTAATGAAGGGAGAGAGAGTTTTGTCAGACTGTGCATGCCAGTCAATAATTTTATGATATGCAAATGGAATAACTTTTTCTTTTCAGTTCTAGTACAAAATGTTTCGAAATTGCAAATCGTTGCGTATTTCATCTACACTATATTTTAAACTTACTTCACAACTGTCAACGCAGTAAAGGTTTATAACCTCTGTGGTTTATTTAGTTTTACGTTTAAAATATAAAATGCAATAAAATGTTTAACTCTCGGAAATAAATGATCGTTTGATTTTGAGAAGATTGCTTGGTAATGGATACAATTTTTGCTATTTTCCCTTTAATTAACACTAAAATTTTTATTGATACTAGACATTTTCAAAATAACACATTTTATTTATATGGCCAGTAGGGCACGTTTTGCAACTGATCGAGATTGTAAAGTTTTATGCCTTTTTTTTAATAATATAGTTTTTCCAGATTATTCTGTGCGTAGAGATCGATATTAAATTTTAATTATTTCAAATTCAGCAGGTAGATCATTTGATTAAATATTTCCAGCCTACGTCATCGAGTTTGTTTCTCTGGAATTTTGGAAAATATTCACTCCAAAGTTGAGACTAGCAAAAGTTTTAATAGTGCGATTCCTTATGTTTTCACACCCCATGCCCAAATTTGAAGTTAGCCGATTGAGATTTTCACAGCATAACAACCATGACTTAGAAGCAACACCCCTAAATGTTTTTTAAAAAATTTCCAAAATTGCTGGTTTTATGGGACATTTTGAAAAAATTAAAAAACCTAATTTTCTCGCGTTCGTAGAACAAAAATCCGGGTATGGTTGAATTTCGTCGTAGGTCAAATTTCAAGGTCATTTTTCATGACCTCAAATTTTCAAACTCAAATTTGAAAATGGGCCACACGTTTTAAATAATTTTGAGATAGCCATTCGATTCCTCATAAAATTTTACATAGTATATGTAAAAACTGGAGTGACGTTTTTCTTTGTTAAATTTAAAAATAAAAAAGAATATTAAAAAATGTGGTTTTTAGTGCTACCGCAGGCAGGGTCAACATTATGATCGCCTTAAACGTCGTCCCTGATCATTTTAGGTAAAAAGTAATAATCACCAAAGTTAATGCTCACATCAAGCCAAATCGAATGGTGTATATATTGATGGCCTTTGGTGACTTTCAGGTCCAAGGTCACCCAGATCAGTGACCTGAGGTCGCCTGACCTAGATGAATGATACGTACTTAAAAAGGTCTCGTTGAGACGATAATTTTGGTCACCAATTTTTGGTCTGTACCTCAACCACAAACCGATTAATTATGATTTTACAATTAATTGTGTTAAAAATTGTGCATTGAATTAATAAAAAGCACAATTATTCGGTTTGTGGTTGAGGTACAGACCAAAAATTGGTGACCAAAATTATCCTCTTAACGAGACCTTTTCAAGAACGTATCACACATCTAGGTCAGGGGACCTCAGGTCACCGACCTGGGTGACCTTCGACCTGAAAGTCACCAAAGGCCATCAATATATACACCATTCGATTTGGCTTGACGTGAGCATTAACATCGGTGATTATCACTTTTTGCCTAACATGATCAGGGACGATGTTTAAGGCGAATGTAATGTTGACCCTGCCTGCGGAACTGCGCGGAAGCACTAAAAACCACGTTTTTTAATATTCTTAAAACCTCTTAAAAATCCTTTTTTATTTTTAAATTTGACAAAAAAATTCTCTCTAGTTTTGACATATATAATGTAAAATTTTATGAGGAATCTCAAAATTTTTTTAAAACCCATTTTCAAATTTGAGTTTGAAAATTTGAGGTCATGAAAAATGACCTTGAACTTTGACCTACGACTTTTTACACAACAACAAAGTTACTAGTAGTGCTAGTACAGTACTAGCTAATTTTTTCAAAATGTCCCATAAAACCCGCAATTTTTGAAATTTTATCAAAAAAATTTAGGGGTGTTGCTTCTAAGTCATGATTGTTATGCTGTGAAAATCTCAATCGGCTAACTTCAAATTTGGGCATGGGGTGTGAAAACAGAAAGAATCGCACTATTTACAAATTGCACTCTTCACGACTATATACCCGCGAAGTATGATTGCAAAATTACATAATATGAACGTATTTTAGATATTTTCCCAGAAATATCTGGAATCAGCTTTTCTTGAGGGTCAGCGAATTCAATAGTTGAATTAGTACGTTCTGATTTTTTTTTTATGAAAATTCAAAATTAGATTTCATCTCAGGATCAGATAGTGAGAATTAACAAAATTAATAAGTTACAGAAATAATTAAATATTTTTTAGTTAAACACAATATTTTCCAAAGATCGCTAGGACGAAAAGTTCATTGCGGCTGCATCTATTTTTTTGCTTTTCAAAGGTTATCCTATACATTTAAACTAATTTTGATACTGCGATCAAGTTATTTAAAGGCGACGTTCAATAAGGCAGTGGCTGCTGTGGAGCGACGGCATTGACGGCAAGGCGACGGATTGTTTTTATTTTCAAAACTCTCTTTCAATCCGTGTAAAAAGAATTGTTTTGTCGAAATTAATGAATAGAAAAGCTGTAATACCAGAAGGATAAGTTTTCTAACTAATATTAATTACGTTAATTATGTTTCTATGAGTAAAATTTCACGCTTTCCTACCTCAGGTGTTTTAAAAATCATTCACACACGCTTTAAAAATGGTTAATTTGGTTTGTTTACAGAAACAAAAATGCTCGTTTAATATTTAATAAGTTTTTCCCTGCAAATTATAATTTTAAAAGTTATAGTCATGAACATTGAAAAATTATAAATAAATAAACTGTGTGTGATAAATTGTGTAGATTTGGGTCCAAAACCTTATGCTTCTTGTATTTTGTTTAAAATTATTTGTAACCGTTGTGTCCAACAATTCAATTTTTGCATCGAACAATTGTCTTTTTAAACTTAAACAATTGAAAAAATTAAAATAATTGGAAAATGAAAAGCTCAAAATTTCTTTTGATGGAAAAAAAATTAAATTGAAATAGTTGGCACTCAGGCTGAAAATTTTAGAGTAAAAATTTGGTCCCCAAGAAACTTTTTAGCGACCTATTTTTTATACAAGAAAAATAAAGATATTTTTAAAAGAAAAAAAAAAATAATAAAAATAGTTTAATAATTTGAATTTAATAATATTTTTGTTCTTAGTTTCTAAATTTCTTTTTTGATTTCTCAAAAAAAAGGTCCGTTATTTGTAATTTTATTTCTCAGATTGCTTTTCTTGTAATCTGTTTGTAATCATCACGTGACTTTTGCGTCTCTACTTAAAATCAACAACCAATAAAAAGCTGCGCGCAATATTCAGAAGAAAATCTGATCGTGGAGTTCGTGGACGCTTCGTGCGACTGCCAAAAAAGTTCGCGCGAACATGCGGTTGCGCGACCAAAGTTCGCGCGAACAAAAATTTGATCGGAGACTAGCCTTAAAGCACAATTGTGCTCAAAGGCGAATGCACCTGATTTCAATTGATGGGATAAAGCAACGGAAATGCATAAGTAACACAAAAAACTTGGGTACTCTAAGCTTCGGCTAGTTAAGTAAGAGTCAATATGGAAAATTTAAAACCGAAATTTTAGCTGTTATAATAAGATACGGAAAATACGTTTGAACCAGTAGAATGGCCAAAGGCAAATCAACGAGGTGCAGAGCAGCCGCTTATTCTTGGTGCGTGAAGAGTAGAAGAACCACTGATGCTAAAGTCTTTGAGCTACAAAATTCAACGTCAGACGAAATTATTTTGGCCCTTTGGCCAAGCACCGGTGGACTCCTCGATTTAATTCATTTAAAGGTTTGAAAGTTTCTTTTGTTCTTAATTAAAGATGGACATACTGATGGTTTATGGTGTGTGGACTCTATTAAACATCAACCGAACGATGAACATTACTTACTTGTTCGGAAAAACAAAGGTTCATTGACAAGAGATATCGATAAAGGCTTGGTTCCCCATTGTGGAGTAGAAAGCACTTTTAAACACAATTACTCTCACACACATCAATCACATTTTTAAAATAAATAATCTAAAAGTTATATTATATTTAAATCAAAGTTAAAAAGCCACAAAGTTAAATACAATTTTTAAATTTTATTTCTATTGTTTTATTTTAAAAAAAATCCATATTCTTGTATTTAAGCGCTGTGTGAGCTGTGAATCAATAAAAATTCTTTAATTACAGATTGAGGACAAGTCAATGTTGGGGATATAGTCATGAAAAGGTCAACCTGCCTGGTTGATCTTGACCACGAAATTGGGTTCTCCGTTATTCAAGGTTAAGCGGAGAACTTTCTTACGAGGCAAACACCTTTTCAGCACAAACTGTGCGTCTCGACCAGAAATATCTGCTAGTAGGGTGTCACCCTCAGCGATGAGGGTCAGGTGTTTCACTCTGTCATAAAGGGTAGCCCTGTTATCCGCAGAGTCACTAAAGTTGGACTCGAAGCGAAGAATGGAGGCAATGTGGGGCTGGGCCTTCATGATGCTCATGTTCACTAAGGTGAGGTTGTAAATTTTCAGATTCTCCACAAGGAGCCAATCAGGGCAGAAAACAGTGTTGTTGCCCCTGTTTGGAACAAAGTCCAGGACACCAACAAAAGTGGTTTGTCCATTTGGGGCTATCAGTTTCAAGACGACGTCCTGAAGTTCATTGATGCCCAGGGTGGCCATTTTTGATGTAAGAGTGTCGTGAAGGTTTTGGCTCAAGCGCACTCGATTACCCAGGATGAATTCGTCAAAAATTCGTTGCTCCGTGAACTCGCTGATGTGAGACCATTTGACGGCCTTGATCCTCCTTTTCAAATTCACAGTCGACATCTGTGAAAAAAAAAACAGGGATTAAAAACGAACCGTGATTATATTAAAAAAAGAAAAAATAAGATTATTATATGTAATACTGTATAATAAATGGATATTGGAAGACTTCTTAGTGTGGATTGGACAAACCATTGTTGTCCGCACAGAAATTAGCATTGATTATTATGGGGCACACAGAAATCTGTTGTCAAATCCACCTGCAATATATCCATTTAAATAATGAAATTATGATTTTTTTAATGATACCAAAAAATGTTCGCAACAATTAAAAAACAATGCTAATTTCTGTGCCGATAACAATGTTTTGTCCAATCCACATGTACACTTCCAATATCCTTAATAAAAAATATGGCAGCCTCTCGTCATAGAAACTTTTGCAAATAATGTTGAGATATTTTTCAGTTGCGAATTTTCAGTTACATAAAAAATTAAATATTTTCCAAAGCTTAGTAACAACCCCCTTATTAACAACACTATATATTTAAATTAAGGCATTTAGCTTACTGTGATCACAAAGGAACAGGACAGGATCGAAGAGAATCGGATTTCACCAGATTTGGCTATGTACCTTTTGTTGTTCTGTAAATTTGTATACATACGTCATCAAAATGGCGGACAAATGAGAACGTATTCAGTGACAGTGGCGCCTCTAGTTGGTGTCAAAGGAGACGTTGTTGAAAAAGTGGAACATTTTTCAAAATTTTAGAGATTTTTTTAGTATACATTACAATTATATGATTTTATATAGGATGAATTCCATACCAGGTCCTCGCAAAAACTGCAGATCAAAATATTATTACATTATATTATTGAATTAAAATATTCAGCACGTTTCAGGAATATTTTGCAATAACGAATGAGTTTATTTGCTTCGATAAATTAAAAATGTATTCCACTTTAATTTGAAGAAATTATTTAGAGTTAAAAGATTATTAAGTTAAAAAAATTATTCACAAAATATTGCAGATTAATTTTTTAATATATTCCTTTGTCAAGGAATATTCATTTACATTTTCAAATCTTGTGAAGTCCTACTTTTCTTTAAAAAAAAAAAATCAAATGAGCTTGATAATTATTTTGTACAATTGTGAAACATAAATTATTGCTGACTGGGTGGAGTTATGCTTTTTGAAAGATTGAGTTTTTTTAAGCAAAAGAAGATGAAAATTAAGAGGAATATTAGAATAAATTTAGTACTGACAAATTAAGCTGACTGTTTCGACTGTTTTCCTTAGGGTTTGCATTTTATGGCTGGGTAGAGGAAAAAGACAAAAATATGAATCTCTGCTGATTGCTGATGACAACTGTGCAATAGTTTTTATTTCCTATTAATTTCACGCCTAATATTCGGGGAAATTATTTATTGTGCTTGCAACGGGGAATTTCACTTGACGGGGTCGGGTTATATAGATGGGCTGACTTAACAAAGGAAATTTCCTTCTTTCTTGGCTTGCAGATGTGGCCGGCAGCGAAGGGAGCAGGAAAACTGCTGGTTTAGCTGTGGGTTTGCTGGCGGCTAAAGTTCGATGGCCGGACGTCTGGCAGGGCAGGTTGGCTGCTTGGCGAGGCCTCACATCGCGAGCTTGGTTTGGTACGTGTGTCTGTGTGGCAAGCAGCTGGACTGGACGGATCATCAGAGGGGAGCCTGTAACCGCCGGATGGTGAGTATGTATTGATTGTTTAAACAAATATATAATGTTGTGCTTGTAATTCATTTGCAACTGTGTATGAGTAGCGCCGAGAGACTAAAAAAGTTTAGGTATGATACAAGAACCAAGCGAACTGCCACTGCATCAAAATACAAATTTTAATTTACCTGGGTCTAGTATGGTAAAAAAATACCAGTGCGCCTCTTACATTAATTGAAAAAAATTAAACCATTAATTTTGTTTTATTTTTTGGCACTTTTTTGACAGACAGCTGTACTACCTTGGCTGTACTAGCTGTGGGTGTATTGTAACTTGCAAGTACATACTAATGTTGTACAACTCGACAAGTTTGTGTCGTGTGAAAAAATGCAGTGGAGCAGATGTCTGGCAATCCAAGTGAACTTTGGCAGGGTCAACCGATCATTACCAAATTTTACAGGGTGATAGACCATGTTAAGAGGTTTCCAAACATATATAGTTTTACCCCAATATCTCAAAATTTCCGGGTTTTACGGGCCATTCAAATTTGGATTTTGAAAATTTTTAAACGTCTGTATCTCGGCTTCCCGTGGTCGTAGAACAAAAAACTTGGGTGCTTTGGAATCCTCTTATTGCTTTCTACAACTTTGCTTTGAAGTGCAAAATAGTAGGTCACAGGTCAAGGTCACTTCCGGTGACCTCGTGACCTTTGACCTCAAATTTGAGGGTGAGCCGTCACTTTTTTCAAAATTCTGAGATAGCCATTTTGTAGATCGCTAAATTTTACGTAGTATAAGAGAATAAAAAAAATGGGACCCCTCTTAGTTTTTTTAATTAAAAAATAAAACCAATAAAAAACGTGGTTTTCCGAGCTCTGAACTTGGAAAAATAACTTTGAAGCTCTGTAACTTTTTATGTGTTAGAGATAGGTAAATTGTTCCAATGACAAAAAGTGTTTATTTTTAGACGGGCAATCCAACCATGTAACACACATAATGATCAGGTCACAAAAGGTCATTGACCCTGGTGACCTGTGACCTTGAAATTATTTTTTATGCCATTATGATACATCGTTGGAAAGAGGACATTAAGAGGATAATTTTGGTACCCGGAATTTTGTAGTAGCTCAAATAGGAACGGAGTTATTGCAGTTTTTTTAAATTAAAAACTAAAAATATTAATTATGGATAACATTTAAACGTTAATAACTTCGTTCCTCTTTGAGCTACTACATAATTCCGGGTACCAAAATGATCCTCTTAATGTCCTCTTTCCAACGATGTATCATAATGGTATAAAAAATAATTTCAAGGTCACAGGTCACCAGGGTCAATGACCTTTTGTGACCTGATCAGTATGTGTGTTACATGGTTGGATTGCCCGTCTAAAAATAAACACTTTTTGTCATTGGAACAATTTACCTATCTCTAACACATAAAAAGTTACAGAGCTTCAAAGTTATTTTTCCAAGTTCAGAGCTCGGAAAACCACGTTTTTTATTGGTTTTATTTTTTAATTAAAAAAACTAAGAGGGGTCCCATTTTTTTTATTCTCTTATACTACGTAAAATTTAGCGATCTACAAAATGGCTATCTCAGAATTTTGAAAAAAGTGACGGCTCACCCTCAAATTTGAGGTCAAAGGTCACGAGGTCACCGGAAGTGACCTTGACCTGTGACCTACTATTTTGCACTTCAAAGCAAAGTTGTAGAAAGCAATAAGAGGATTCCAAAGCACCCAAGTTTTTTGTTCTACGACCACGGGAAGCCGAGATACAGACGTTTAAAAATTTTCAAAATCCAAATTTGAATGGCCCGTAAAACCCGGAAATTTTGAGATATTGGGGTAAAACTATATATGTTTGGAAACCTCTTAACATGGTCTATCACCCTGTAAAATTTGGTAATGATCGGTTGACCCTGCCAAAGTTCACTTGGATTGACAGACATCTGCTCAGTGCTATTTAAATTAAAATAATAATTGTTATCATTAAAAAACAACTCTAACCAAGATTAAATTCTATTATCTTTATTTAAAATGAAGCGAAAAAAATATGATAAAGTAATTTTTACAATTAAAATAATAATAATTAATCACTGATATCTGTGAAGTTTATCGCCGATGTAATAACTCCAAGTGCGGTTGGCAAAATTGTTTCTCACATGGCCATCAAGGCCATGGACAAAATGTAAACAAGGCATGATGCATGATGGCCCAGAGGTGTCATGATGGTCCAGGACGACTTCAGGTTCATAAAATGCGACTTGAATCCATCAAAATCTACCTCTGCTATGGTATTGAGGTAAATTAATGTAGAAACAGACAAATCGTTAGCTAAAATCCAAATTTTTTTTTAGCTCGATTTACGCAAACACGCTGAACACAGAGGCCAGCAGGCGGCTTGTGGAGTGTGAATTCAACGTGCAAGAGCAGCAAAAACAGTTTTGTATGTGAACGGCCGGAGGTCGCATGAGGCCAAAAGGGTCAGGATTATGCGAATTCAGAATCCCACTGTATTCCCAGCCTTGCACAATCAACCTTGAAGGAAGAGCCTGCAATGCCTGCATGGAATTTTGCAAGTGTCACCTGTTGGGGGCTGACAATCGGGCCCAGAATTTCTCAGAGAGATTCCGAGTCACATGCAACTGCAGCGCGCCCATCGTCTGTTCTAAAAAGGCCAAGAAAACATCAGACTCTGGTAGTCCAACAATAAGTTCAGTATTCAACAAAAATATAAAATTTATTGAAAACTCTTTATTTTAAAATCCAAATTGGTAAAACGTTTTGTAACAAATCTCATGGCCCTGATTTAAAAAGTACCTCTGATCTCTGATTATTGATAGAATGTGATAAAAACGATAAAAACTAATAATTTTTATATTTATGCTTAGGTTAATTTTCAAAAATGAGAAAATCTGCTCAAGTAGGTCTGTGGACTTTCTCAGCGCTAAAAATTGTGTACAGCGAATTTTTTAATAAGTCACTTGTATTCTAAATTTTTAAGTCATTTTATCACGGGCACGATTGTGCCTCGTCCATAAACTCCACAAGTTATTTATAGTCAGCAATATGTATTATGTAACTATATGAATTAATGGAATAAGTTGAGATTTCAAAAAGCACACAAGAAAAGCAGCCAAGCGGAATTTTTTATTTGAAAAAATTTTTATCACATTTTTTAGGAGACTATCAATTAAATATTTGGAATAAAATAAAGATCAATCAGCAGTTTTGTCTGCGAAACTCTAAAGTTAGGTTATGAAAAAGTTCATTTAGCTTTTCGTAATACAACATACAACGCCTCTTACATTTGACCCAAAAAGGTATTTCTGTTTGCAAGATGCCTGAAACAGAAAACAAATAAGGCTGTCAACATAAACTTTGCTCAAATCTCATGAGAAAAGTTTTCTAAAGATGATTTTGAATTTGTCTGGAACAATGTGCTTATGAGATATGTGTCATATTGTCATCGATGTCAAAAATAGAAAATATTTAGCTCTTTGTACTTAACCCCTACGGAGGCAAACCAAATTTGTTCAGCTTTTTTATAATTTAACTGGATATTAACATTGTTTCAATGGAATATAAAGGTCTCAGCCATGGTGTTTTGCGCGGCAGCTGGGCCATTGACTTAGTTAAAGAATTCCACAATTTTTGCAGAATGAGAATACTTTTTAAATAGGGTGGATTGAATTTAAATTCGGCTTTTCCTCGATGGGTTTTTGTGAGTTTGTATTGTTTAAGAAAAACAATATCCTGCTCTACATGTTTCGGCTGCGGGCTGCAGCCATAATTCATGAGCTATGAAAAACATTTTGACAAAAATTAGTACAAAATTAAATCTTTTTTCAAAAATAATTTTTCCTTCAAATTGACAATTTTTCGTGAAAAATTATTTAAATTTACTTTTCTTCACAAACAATAATTTTTAACCAAAATTTGACATTTAATTCAAAAAATTTTTCAAAAAACAAAATAAGTTTTTATAATAATTTTGGTCAGAATATTTAAACGTGTGTTTTGAGCGTACCTTTCTCGGCGGTGGCCGAAACATGTAGAGCAGGATATTGTTTTTCTTAAACAATAAAAACTCACAAAAACCCATCGAGGAAAAGCCGAATTTAAATTCAATCCACCATGCATCAACCCTCAATCGTGAACTTCTACTACAAAACTTTTTAAATAGTTTGGAATAGATCTTAAAAAATTTGATTTTTTTTATCTCCTTCAGGGCAAGGCAAATGATCATAACTTTTGTCGCCTGGGGGTTATAGTAAGTTATTATGCAAACTAGAACAGGGCAAAAGTAGTATATCTTTGGGATTTAAAAAAAAAAATCAAGTTAATTGAGACAAATTTATGGTTCTGGTTGGCATATTGGGCATATTGAGATGATATTATAAGTTAATAAGGGTAACCTTACTTGGTCCGAAAGGAATTCGTTCAAAATGCCTTTTCAGACCAGACATCATCTGAAATCTGAAATATGGAAACGGCCAAAAAAATCGGAAAACACGCGACTTACTAGGTGATCGAAGTACACATGTGCATTGTGCTAACGTTAATGATGAATTTAAGGGACTTTAATTACATAAATTTAGGCTTCTCATGCGTAAATATTCATTTAATTATTTAATTTTAAAAGATAATTTCGTTTATTGCAAATTAAATCAGTCTTTTTATTCGAAGTGGCCTCTGAAAATCCTAATTTAGCTCCTTCTCAAGACGTTAGTGAAGTTGGCGATATCGCCAACAGATTTTGGCATTTTTTTAAAAGTGGAGAAGTTGGCAATATCACCAACTTTTTTTTATCTCAAAAAAGGGCTATCAAAGAATGCTGATTGCGTTCTGGGGGATGCATTTGGCCTTTTATAAGTAACCCGTTATGCATTAGATCTCTAGAAGTACATAAAATATGGGTTTTTCGCGATTTACACCCTCACGGCCGGGTCCAGCCGCTTTCTATCCCACCCCAACTTACACCCTTGAGACCCTTACATAAAAAACAACCCTTACATCGCGGCTGAACCCGGCCTTCTAATTTAATTATTCACCCGAAGGAATTTTTATGGTGCCGATGACACCTGAAAATCGGATTTTCGCGATTTACACCCCCACGGCCGGGTTCAGCCACTTTCTAACCCACCCCATTTGACACCCTTACATAAAAAAACCACCACTACATCGCGGCTGAACCCGGCCTTCTAATTTAATTATTAACCCGAAAATATTTGTCTGGTGCCGATGACACCTCAATGTAGTTTTTCGCGATTTACACCCCCATCTACCATATCTGTTGTTTCAAATAAAAATTATTTTCTTGTTTTGATTTCCTAGATAAGGAAACAAATTACACTCCATGCATTTTTGTTTATGAAATACAATTATTACGTCACACACATTTTCCACTATTTTGATTTAATAATTTTGCACTTTTTTCAATTCAATTAAATTGTATTGTTGTTTCTTAAAATTGATTGCTATTACATATTCCACTTCAATTATCTTTTGAGAATTTCATTATCTTGATATAAAAAAATCAGTAAATTTAGTATTTAATAAAAATAAAATTTATTATGAAAAAATTTGAAACAAGTCCGGGGCAGTAAACACATATATATGGGTAAAATTGGGTAAGGTTAAAAATAAAATCCTCATTCAGAAGCATCAAATATTTCAGATGAAACCAACAAGAAAATCTCAATTTTCTCAAAAGTGGTAAAAAAAAACAATTTAAAAAATTGGAAAATAGAAAATTCAAACCAGAGTGCTGCAAATTGATAATTTGACTTAGAAGTTTATGAAAAAAAAAAAATTTGCAAACAGGTATGGTATGGGTTGCTCTGGGTGATGCTAATCTGTATTAATACGTCGATTTAGAATTAAAAATTAAATTGAATAAAATATACTTTTATTTGAAACTCATATGAGTACAACTACAACTTAACTTACAATTAGAGAAGTTTTTTGCACTTGGCCAGGTGGTACTGGGAGCATTTCTCACCGCTTAGCAAACACACGCAGGAATCACTTTCGTCGAAGCACTGTTTTCGCTCGCAGCTATTGCTACAGAATTGAATAATGTAATGAAAAAATGTAATGCATATTTTTGATTATTAGAAATTTTCTTTAAATCTTCATTTCAATCAATTTTAATCGAATTATTTTTAAGACAAAAATCCAGATATGAAAATGACAGGCCGGAAAGATGATGCACATAGTCAACCCCGTAAAGTTAAAAATTAATTTCTTGTTAATTTTCACAATTCTATAAGAGTTTTATATGGCAACCGAGGAGGACTCTAGCGCCAGGAGCAATTCTAGTTTCATGTCTTCCATGATTGCAGGTCAAGAGACAGTTATAACACTTTTCAGGTTTCATGACCTACAATCGTGGGGGATTCTAGCGCTTCTCGATAAGTGGTTGCAGGTCAAGTGCAGAAGTTGTAAAAATAAGGTTTTTAAAGTAGCCGTTGTGAAACCAAGCACTAGAAGTGCTATACTAGTCTGATGCTTGCAGGTCAATTAACAAAAAACTGTAAAAATATGGCTACACATATAATCGTTGTGGATGTTAGCGCTACTCGATTGGTGGTTGCAGGTCTTTAATCAAGAATTTTTAAATTATAGATTCACCTGACCGTCGTGGATTCTAGTCACTCTTGCGCTTTTCTTCCGGTGATCTGTGGTGGTCTGTGGGCAAAAGTTATTAGAATAATTTTTCTATTTTGACCGAGGTGGTCTCTAGCGCTAGAGGCACTTCTCGTTTCATGATTGCAGGTCAAGGGGTACAGTAATAGCACTGTTACGGTTTCATGATCTATAATCGTGGTGGATGCTAGCGCACTTCTAGTGCTGGAATTCACAACGTCTTATTTTAAAACCATATTATTACAACTTCTACACTTAGACCTGCAACCACCAATCGAGAAGCGCAAGCATGCCCCATCCCCAACGATTATTGATGATGCCCTTTTTTTACAATTTTTAGTCATAGTCCTGCAACCACCAATCGGGAAGTGCTAGAATCCACCACGATAATATATGATGCCTGATTTCTACAATTTCTGCTCATATAGACCTGACACCATAAATCGAAAATAAGCGCTAGAATCCCTCACGATTATATTTTATGCCTGATTTCAACAATTTTCGATCTTATTCCAGTAATCATCAGACGAGTAGCACTTCTAGTGACCTGCAACAACTAATCGAGAAGCGCAAGATTGCCGATCTACCACGGTTATTAATGAGGCCTCATTTTTATAATTTTAGCTCTATAGACCTGCAACCACCAATCGAGAAGCGCTAGCATCCACCACGATTTTATATGATGCCTGATTTATTCAATTTTTGCTCATAGAACTGCAAAAATAAATCGAAAAGCGCTAGAATCACTCATGATTATATTTTATGCGTGAATTTTACAATTTTTGTTCTTATTCCAGTATTTATCAGAAGAGTAGCTCTTATATTGCTGGGTTTCACCACGGCTTATTTTGAAACCTTATTTTTACAAATTCTGCACATACACCTGCAAACATCAAACGAGAAGCGCTGGCATCCTCCACGATAATATTTGATTCCTAATTTGTACAATATTTGGCTCCTAGACCTGCAACCATCAGTCGAAAAGCGCTAGCATTCATTAATATAATATTTTTAGCCCGATTTTTTAATAGTGTATCTTATTCCTGTATTCATAAGACTAATAGCACTTCTAGTGCTGGGTTTCACTTCGTCTACTTTTAAAACCTTATTTTCACAAATTCTGCACAGAGACCTGCAACCACATGTTGAGAGTCGAGAAGCACTAGTTTCACTAACGATTTTAAATGAATTTTTACTCTTACAATTTTGTATCTTAGTCCTGCAATCATCAAACTTGTAGCACTTCTAATGCTGGGTTTCGCCACAGCTACTTTTAAAACCTTTTTTTTACAAATTCTGCACATAAACCTGCATCCACCAATGCATCATTAATAATCGTGGGAGATGGGGCATGCTTGCGCTTCTCGATTAGCTGTTGCAGGTATATGTGTAGAACTTGTAAGAATTCGATTTAAAAAGTAAACGTGATGAATCCCAGAACAAGAAGTGCTACTAGTCTGATGATTGCAGGACTAAGTAACAAAATTGTAAAAGTAAAATCGAAAGCAATCATTCATTTTGAATCGTTGGAGATGCTAGCTTTTCTCGACTGGCGGTTGAAGAGCTCTGTGTAGAATTTGTGAAAATAAGGTTTTCAAAGTAGACGAAGTAAAACCCAGCATTAGGAGTGCGATTAGTCTGATTATGACAGGAATAAGATTAAATATTGTACAAATCGGGCATCAAATATAATCGTGGTGGATTCTAGCGCTTCTCGACTGGCGGTTGCAGCTCCTGTGCAGAATTTGTGAAAATAACGTTTCAAAAGTAGACGAAGTGTGACCCAGCACTAGAAGTGCTACTAGTCTGAAGATTGTGGACCTAAGATAAAAAAATTGTAAAAATAAGCTTCATTTAAAATCTTTGGAGATGCTGGCACTTTTCGACTGGTGGTTGCAGGTCTCAGAGTAGAATTTGTGAAAATAAGGTTTAAAAAGTGGACGTGATGAGACCCAGATCTAGAATTGTTACTAGTATGATTATTACAGGAATATATCTTAAATTGTTAGAATCAGGCATCAAAGACGAAAATAAAGCATGTTTACTAAACATAACTTGAGCTGCAGTTTTTTGCCAGGAGTAAGAGCAAAAAAAGAACAAAGAAAGCGGCATTCGTAACTATCAGGCAGTCATCTAAATGCAAGCTTTCAGCATCCAGAAAAAGAAAAAAAATGTCCAAAGAACTTTTTATTACTGTTAATGTTTCTTTTTGTTTTGTATTTTCTTATTGTAAAAATTTGTATGTAAAATTATCATCTTTTCTCTCAATTATATTAACTTGTATAATTTTGAATGTATAAATGATGTATCCCGTTATGGGCAGCAATTGCCTTTGTGATAGATCAATAAACACAATTTGCAACTAGAAGTGCTACTAGTCTGAAGATTGAAGAACTAAGATAAAAAAATTTTAAAAATATGCTTCATTTAAAATCTTTGGAGATGCTAGTGCTTCTCGACTGGTGGTTGAACGTCTCAGTTCAGAATTTGTGAAAATAAGGTTTAAAAAGAGACGTGATGAAACCCAGAACTATATGTGCTACTAGTCTGATTTTCACATGAATCAGATTAAATATTGTACAAATCAGTTACAAATATATTCGTGGGGGAAATGAGGGCTTCTCGACTTGTGGTTGCAGGTCTCTGTGTAGAATTTGTGAAAATAAGGTTTTAAAAGTAGACGAAGTGTAACGCAGCACTAGGAGAAAAGCGATTAGTCTGATTATTACAAGGAATAGGATTAAATATTGTACAAATCGGGCATCAAATATAATCGTGGTGGATTCTAGCGCTTCGTCTCGACTGGCGGTTGCTGCTCTTTGTGCAAAATTTGAGAAAATAAGGTTTTAAAAGTAGACGAAGTGAGACCCAGCACTAAAAGATCTACTAGTCTGAAGATTGTAGACCTAAGATTATAAGAATATAATCTTGGGGGATATAAGGGCTTGTCGACTAGTGGTTGCAGGTCTCAGTGCAGATTTTGTGAAAATAAGGTTTAAAAGTAGACGTGATTAAACCCAGAACTAGAAGCGGTACTAGTCTGATGATTTCAGTAATATGATTAAAAATTGTAAAAATCAGGCATCAAATATAATCGCGGGGGATATAAGGGTTTCTCGACTTGTGGTTGAAAAAAATTAAGCTTCATTTAAAATCGAAGGTGATGCTTGCGCGTCTCGACTGGTGGTTGCAGGTCTCAGTGCAGAATTTGTGAAAATAAGGTTTAAAAAGTAGACGTCATGAAACCGAGAACTTGAAGTGCTACTTTAGTATGATGATTACAGGGATATCTCAAAAATTGTTAAAATCAGGCATCAAATATAATCGTGGTGGAATCTAGCGCTTCTCGACTTGCGGTTGCAGCTCTCTGTGCAGATTTTGTGAAAATAAGGAT